GTACTCAAGGGTCCCGGATTTGAGGCATAATATACCTCACAAACCACGCAACAAATTATCCACCTTTCATGTAGTTTGTTATATGTACACTCATTGCATTTCTCTCCGTCATCATATTCTTTTTCATGCCTCTCTTGACTGAGCAACATTGTTTTGAAAGCACGTCAATAGCTGAGAAGCATTCACACTATTAACGTCTTTTGTTAGATCATGTCTCTTCCTAAGTGAAATTTTTGTTAGTTCTCCAAAGAAAATGGAGAACAGCATTGTCCTTTTCGTTGCGCATATATCTTCGCCTGGTTGGTGTCCCGGTTTTCGTGAACACCTCAACATGAGCTTTAAGCACATTCGTACGAAGTACGAGGAAACTTCCGGGCCCGTTGGAGAAGAACTTTCCATTCTCTATTGGTATTCCGGGTTGCAGACTGGGATATTTTAAATAAGGACGTCTGCCGTGTGACCAGCTCTGCTCCTATTTCGGGGCATGATTGCCTTAGGTTATGTCGACCCGTTGCAAATACGATTACGGTTCGGTGGGACTCGGGCCAATCCCAGCAAATATGGGATGTTTTGAATTGGACGGTAGCTTGTGCTGATTCCAAACTGCGGTAAGCAGAGATTGGGAAGAGGAAAGACGACCTATCCCCGTCTGGTTCATGGGTTCTCTCGCACAGTGGAAAGTTTTCGGCAAACAAACATATGAGCCTCTCCACCCCCAGCGCAAAAAGGCTATTCTACTCCCTGAAAGACGAAATTATTGAGACCAAAGATTTGACATTCTTTAACCTGGGGGAGGGTGTGTACCCCCTAGAGATAGGCTGCCTAGTGGCCAGGTGTTTATCAGAGGATAATGACATGGAACGCATGAGTATAGCGATTGTTTTCAACCCCTTTGAGAAGATAGTATCCATTGAAATGCCGTCGGCCGCGCACGAACCGACTGAGGTTTCTATCACATGAGGACGATCTTAGTATTGTCATTTCTGTGTCAAAGTATCTCCGTGGCTTGAGGACTGGAATTGCCGCGGGATAGATCTAAGGCAATTCGACCCATGTCAGTGGAATCCCAGACATAGAAGGGCTATTAGGATGTGGAAAATCCACTGTTCTGACTCCATTCGCGATCTTCCCAGAGTGCTACGGGTCAAATATACTCTTGACTGGACACAGCTATGCGTCAGACAATGCTTTGGCTCGTGCATTGATTGGTCATGTTCATCAAATCAACTGCACCAGGGTGTGCGGTGGTGAGGGTGGGGCGAAGCTCTACCTTTAGGACATGGTGTAGATGTGGAGGTGTTGAAGCACTTGCACATTCTGGATTCGCGCAATAGATGTACTTAGGTTAGATCTCTACAACCATGCTCTAAGGACTCCAGATACTCGGAGCGTAATCGGTCCCAGATTGCTCAGGAGGGTGAACGAAAGATATACACATCGCAAGGGAGATCTGAGTTAGCAGGTACCTATGTAACTATGTTCAAAATACCCTGCCCAGGAAATTTTCACGTCCCAAATCCTGGATCGCAAACGGTATGTACCAATGGCTGCAGAGAGCAGACCCTGAGGTTGTATTTCGCCTATACCAGGCGATCATCCTTGAGTCTAACCGCGCCATCCTGAGTCACGATAGTCGCGTCGCATACCGCAACGCTTGGAGCAACACGGTGACAATTCATTAGGGAAAAGCTATAGAAAAGACGCCAATTTCCAGGAAGAGGTAGCACAGAGGGGACTGTGAGCATCAGCAGTCTTTCACGAACAACAAGGGCGTGCCATAACTTGCAAGCCTTTACACTCTGGCGATACACTTGTTTTCAAAACTGAAGATCCCATAAAGTACCCTTTACCTTCTTTTGACCTAACTATGGATGGAATGGGTGCTCCGTAGGGTTGTTGTTTTGCGTGGTGCAGCGCAGTGTGCTCTAGACTTTGACTTTGACTCCCATTCTGGAGAGTGGGAAGATGTGGAGGTGAAAAAAAGAAGAAGGAAGAGGAGGTGGGCATTGAAGCTGTTCTGGTTATACTCACCATTGTGAAAAATCGACTCTTCTCCAAGTCTTCTGAGATTCGTTTAGCATGGATCACAGAAATTACAAGCCCGATTATGCGGAAAGGGGGGTTGTTGGCAGCGGAGGAAACCAGTGTAACCTGGATTCGGCTATCTTCGAGAAACTTGGTTGATACATAGCGAGCAATCATCGGCAGCTACCTCATGAACGAGAACCGGTGGCGACAGATGTTAACCGGAACACCCCAGACCACAACTCACAGCTATATCTAAGACTCATACTAGCTTAACTGCCGGATCGCTAGACTTGATCGACACTCCATCACCCCAGTCTTGAGAGGACACGTCAGGATATGATGCAGAGAGACAGTTAACAATTGCAAGAAGCGCTGGATACCCCCGGAACCGAGTCCATACCGGATGAAGAGATGGATGAGTGCGAATGTTGGCTGCTACAAGCTCCAAATAGTCTGCACTGGTGGGCTCCGGAGACACATAAGTATACTCGGATGCAATGTTTGAGAGACTACAAGTGGGGAAGCTCTTGCGACATTCCTTGCCAATAGGCGCGAGGCTGCTGTATTGGGCTATGCCTAGTTCAATCGAGGGCCGTCTCTTCATGTACTCCTTGCCTACTCATCTTCAAGAGACATGCAAGCATCCAATGGACTGTTTACCGAGCTTTGGGTCTCCATGTGATGATCACCGCACCAACACATTTCGTAGCCGATGCCATTTGCGAAGGACTACGGAAATGGGAAAGCCTCTCATAAATCGACTCTATTCCACTCAGAGTTTACCGTTTTCTGTCGAAGCTGGACCTTCCGCAACCACGGTTAATCCATCATAGACCTTGAGGCAGACACAGCATCCCAGGACGGCGATGAAGCTCTATGTAAAGGCGAAGATAGACGCGAAGACAATACTACTCCTCCAACGTTATCCAAAGAAGGATACTAAAGCAGCGATGGTTAAGCCTCCAAGTAGCAATACCAACGCCAATTAAGACGATAACACCGAGACTATTCCTAACACCGTGATTCCTCTGCATAGTCGGATTCTGACTAATAAATATCTCAAGGTTACCCAGGAAGCCCATCACAGTAAATATTATCCTCGTGCAGATATCTCATTAGAGGCAGAGGTCTTTGAGATCGCGTCGAATAACAATAAACCATGAATGGCAAGGCTATCATCGGACAAGCAAGTCCTGGACCAGGTTACAAAATTTCTACTAAAGGTCGAGACAGTCGAATTCCAAGGCACACAGCTTAAGTGGTTTTGGGAGCCACCAGGTGGAACGAGGAATCATTAGGCTTTGTGTGGTCACACAACGTTACGTCGGGGGGGCTTTTTTTGGCGGCAACAGTCAGCCTGGGGAACTGATACTAGAACAGCACGCTGGCTATAGATAGATTATAGACCTGAGTCACCTGACTGCCTGTTTAATGGTTTCGTCTGATAATGTGGTAGCAGCTACCAACTATACCCTCCCAGATACTGGGTAAACAGACGGCCAGGCTAGTTACATCCGGGCATTGCGAGTATTCCTAGGCGACATGCTTCCTATTCCCGTTGCCTAGTCTAATCTCCACGCCCCCACCTTGGAGCAATTCCATCATGGTCATAACACGGAAGCGGCATTTCTTTTTACTGAAGATGAACCCTTACACTTTATAGCATGAGAACTTAGTACACCTGGGGATAATATCCAACGAAGCCAAAAGAGAGAAAGAAAAAAAATACATAGTCATAGATGATTCCACCTTCTGCGCGTCTCTCTACGCCTGGTTTGGAACCTCCCCGGGCTATACCGGCAGATATGCTTGACCCGCTTCAGCTGAGCCATGCCCGCATATCTTCAGCAGAGCGAACCTTCCCCCCCCCCCCTCCCCCAACCTCCTCCGATTTACTCTGCCAATCGCGATTTATGTGCTCAGACCCATTGATGACACCATTTTATGCACGAATACGGAGAGCCTTAAGACCTGAACCGTAAAACACGCTGGCTAACATAAAAGCAAGCTGTATTCCCAGATTTCCGGGAGGCGCTCATCCATTGCTTTCTCTTTCTCTACCAAACCAACAGATCCTCGTCCAAATATCTGATTCCTACCAAATCTTCTTCCAAGAATATACCTGCCAAATACCACACAATCTACAACCATGCCACAAGGCACAGTGAAATGGTACAATTCCGAAAACGGGTATGGATTTATCGCACAAGATCAAGGCCAAGATATCTTTGTCCATTACTCAGACATCGACACAGTATATACAGAATGATCGAGCAAGAACACATTTAAATGATAAACGTACTGAAACACAATCACTACTTTAGACCGAGCAGAGAGGACTAGAGGAGAATCAAAGGGTTGAGTTCGAAGTAGAGCAGGGAACAAAGGGACCTAAGGCTACCGAGGTCAAAGTAATCGGATAAGCGATTCTCTAAGATAATGGGGTTTCATATATATATACAGAGCCCTCTATAATTATTCAAGGTTGGACAATATGCACATTAGCTCGTTCGTCTTAGGTCTGTCCGCTGCTAGGCTACGTGGCGCGGGGCAATCGGTATAGACCAAATACCCAACTCTCCGCTAAACCCTTAGGGTCATGACGATCCACCTTAACTAGTACTAATGCTATCTTACCTAATTGTTTGTGTGAAGTAACTAGTTATAACTATGTTGGTGGCCTAGTTGGCCGAGCTAAGCCTGAAGAATATCCTTTGTTGGACATGAAGAGATCGCCATGGTCCATTATCCATACTCCGGTACACCTCTGCAGATAATGAACACTGACCCGGCAATGGTCATAAACACAAAAGATAGTATTCAGTTCAATTTAGTATGTAGATCAGAGCCAAAGAGTGACTCCAGAGGTTTTCATAGAAGCGGATATCGACACGCATCCAGAAAATTCCACTTCCATATGGAAATCAATCATTGATTCCGGAGATCAATTTGCACTCAATGGAGATGCACTCGAGCTTAACTCCCGTCACAGCCTTACGACAATAGCAACCTAATCAAAGGTATAACCCGGTTTAGCCAGTACAAAACGCAGACTATCTCGAGCGTGAGGTATCATCCATGGCTGAAACTCATCTGCACATATAAAATCATAGTATTCAAACCCAGACTTCTCCAATACCCTCCCCGAAGCCGGATTCTCAGTGTCACAACGGCCTATCAATCGATAGTGGTCGGGGTGAAGTATCCAGAACAACTCCGTGAACGCCAGTAGTGCTTCAGTTGCAATTCCGAGCCCCCATGCAGATCGATGAATAGTATAGAAGACTTGGGCCACGTGATTAAGATCATAGACACCTATATAGCCAATGAACCCTCCAGGCACGAGAACATTGCTCTCATCTTTAGCTTCTGGACATTGCCACTCATCAATTATCTTGGGGTCAAGGTCATCGCGGAGGAGGATTGCCCAAGTTTCGCGGTTGGCTTGCGCCAAATCTTTTACCATCTCTCGTTCTGCTTCTTCAATTGAGGTGATTGGCTGAGGGGAGTTCCATATCTCAACTTCTCCATCGGATCGGACTGAAAAGTAACCGGGTAAATGGTCTTTGTTTAAGAGAACCAGCTCAAGTCGGGCTGATTGCATGATATGAGGTTGAAGGTAGTGGTGGTGGTAGGGAAACCGGAGTGTGAAAGTGGAGTTCAATTAGGTTTCGCTGTTAACATGCATTACATTAAGATAATGCCTAGCACTTTTTAAAATGTAGGCTACCTCTGCGTAACAGAGCCACAGCTTACATAAATAAAGGGCGCAGTGATCGCCACCTACTCATGAGTTTGAAGTGGGTGAAAGTGGGATTTGCACCGCCACAACTTCAGCCTTGAAGATGCGTTGGCAGTCTGTGCACGTTAGCCTTCAGCTGAATATCCGACCATAAGTGGAAAATGTCGTTCTTGATCCAAGTACAATTGCCAATCACTCACAGGCCCAATGTTCATTAGGCATATGAGCGCTCCTAACCGATGGCAAGTCCTTTGAAAAGCGGTGTGCACTGGTGTGTTGTTGTTTTCTACCGCGAGTCATGCCTAATAACCTCACTGATATCTAATAGAGAGTTTCTGATACATCTCAAAATAGAAGTGTTGAGATCTTTCTGAGAGGCAATGTTATGATGATGAGCGATGGAGATTGTATGGCGAGTCGGTAGGTGTGGTCCGTCTTAGCTTCGAGTAGGTATCCTTTTGAGAATTTGGACAGTTATATAAAAAGTATATTCCGGATTGATAAATAGGGCATGAGACAGATGGAGATGTCTAAGTTGCCACACTCGATCGAACAGTAAGTAGAGTTCCACTTGACGATCTTTTCGGACCCTGGCATACTGTAGTGCGTTTTGGACCTGCATGTGCCATGTACTCATTAGAGGCACTATGTTCGCCAAACGGAGTTGATAAGCTCCTGTGCATTAAATTAGCTTGACATCGGGATTTGTGCATACGTAAAGCTCTGTACCATACTTCATGGAAGGCTGCTTAGAATCAGGGAGGCCGATTGAAAACATGAGCAGTAACCTAGGATTTGAAGGCTATATGGCAAGGTAAGGCTTTTGCAATTAAAAACTATGCCGCACTATATAAGATTAGAAGCTGAAAATAGATGTTTTAAGGTACTAATAGTATCGTGTAGATTCAGTAAAAACTTGCTAAGTAAATACTATAAAGTAAGATGGCCTGAGGAATGATAGTACATGTTTAATAATAAATCGTTGCCCCCGTCATGGTCATCCGAAGACTTTTTATACCAATCACACCGATCCCCTCGGTAGTACGGTTTTGACTTAAAAATGGAATATGATTCATGATCATTATCTTGGGATTAATTCTACCTGATTTTGATATAAACTGCATCGACGACTTATTCCATGGTATGTACCCATAGCCCACATATAAAACACACAACTCTTTACCTTTCTGGTAAATATCCACCCTATGGAGCCTGACCAGACTTCCAGGCATGTGCTCTCTGCAGCAGCTTGGACAGGTTTGCCGCTGATTGATCGTCGGCTGGGAACACGTAGTCCATGTATTCCTCGTACCGGTCGTCGTCCAACTTGCGGCGCTTCTTGACGCGACGCGGCATCTGTTTCTCGATCTTGTCGATGTCCTCGGGAGACCCATGTGTATGTTCGAATGACCGCCAGGCATTGAGGAGTTCCACACGCTGCATAATGTTAGATTCAAGACCTTCCTCTTTCTATATATCAAGGCACAACTTACCTCTTCCTTGAGCTCCTTTTCTTTGAACACCTTGTGTGCACGGTTGAAGACCGCCCGAGCGCGCCGTTTGGCCTCGTCGCTGACTGGCCGTTCCTCTTCCTCCTCCTCCTCTTCCTCGTCTTCCGGGATGTTGATCTCGAACCGGGCATAGTTGATCCACACCTTGACGTGGTCGGTCTTCTCCAGAAGACGCTCGTAGAGCTGCCGGACTCTGTCATACTCGCCTTCGTATTCCTCGAAATCGATATATGACTTCCACACCAGCTCGGGCATATCCAGAGTCGGTTGCTCAATTCCCAGCTCAAAGATGGCCCGCGCACGATCGCTATCATCTAGACCCCGCTCCAGCTCAGCATACTGGATCCAGGACTGGCTGTTGGAGGGATTCCACTCGATCTGCTTCTCGAACAGTGTCCGGCACCGTACAAACTCGAAAAGCTGGCGCTCGAGATCGATGTAGCCTCTGAAGAGCTTATCCTTGGGGCAAATGCCGATCGCCTGACCTAATGTCTTGCGGGCGGTTTGGAGCTCCATCTGGCGGATTTCAAACTGGGCTTTCATAAGCCATATCTTGGCAAATGTGAACTTCTTGTGTGGAATGAGCTTCAAACATTCGTTATAGATCTGGCGAGCACGTTCCACGTCTTTGGCTTCCATTTCTTCCCAGATCGCATAGAATATCCAGAGATAGATATAACGTCTCCAGTGCCGCTTCTCCTGTGACGGAGGAATCTGTGCAATGGCTCGTTCGTATGTGTCACGTACCCGCTCAGGGTCACCGGAGGTCTCTTCTAGGCGAGTAAAGTCAAACCAAATGTCGTAGTTCCGAGGGTTCTCCTTGAGCTGCTCCTCGTATTGGACTCGGCGTTTGGAAATAATGACATCCTCAACACCCTCCCTATCACCGAACTGTTTCTCGAATGTAGTGTAGGCTTTGTGCAATGTAACGGACTTAGAGCGAGGAAGTCGGTCAAGAGCATATTTGTAGATAGCACGTGCACGTTCATACTCCTTCATCTTCGCCTCGAACTTGGCATAGGCCATAAAAAGCTTCTCATCCATGAAGTCCTCACCCAGCGCCTCAATTCCTGCACCGTAGACTTCTCTCACTAAATCACTAGTCCCGTACTCCTCCTCGAATCGAGCCCACTTGATCCAGTTCCTCGGTTCAGGATGAACAATCGTGAATCGTTGGAAGATATTGCGCGCCCTCTCGAATTCATTGTACCGCTTCTCGAGCTTAATATACGCACTCCAGGCTCCCTCATCCGGCTCCCACGACATCCACCGCTCAAAAACCTGCCGAGTACCAGGGATATTCCCCAAAGTCTCCTCCATATAAACATATTTGTACCAGAGCTTATCGACACGGGGCAAGATCGTCACTGCACGGTCAAGCAAGTTCCTCGCATGGTTGATGTTCCTATTTCGCATCTCCGCCTCGATGTATCGGATCCACAACGGTACTGAAGTCGGGAGGACGTCCAACGCTCGCTCGAAGATAGAACGCGCCCGGCGGAATTCCTTCTGTTCAAGTTCCCATGCTGCATAGCGCATCCAGTTGTTCATGTTAATCCTGTTTCGGCGAACATAGTCCTCGAACTCCTTTCTCTTGCGACCTTGATACTCGTGCAATTCCTCCAAATCGGCAAAACGTTGCGTCGGGGCCTGCAACGCGGGCTCCTGCCGGTCGACAGCCTCACGGAGCAACTGCTCCGCCGAGATCTGAATCGGCGCAGCGGCCTTGTTCTTGACCCTGGGAGGGCCGCGAGACGACTCCATGGTGAGGTGAGATTATACGAAGCAGATATTGTTGGCGACGCGTATTCGAGTTGGGGGCGTTGGGTAGATCACACTATCCAAGTTAACCTCAGGAGGACAGCGTACCTCCTCCGGAAGCCAAAGACGTAGTAATCAGCTTCTAACCAACAGCGCGGTATCGGGACAGCTCCAAGTCAGATGTCGTTGCTGCTGGATCAACTTTTGGTTCTGCCAGCCAAGAGTCGGAAAAGCTGCATGTTAGGTTTGTAGCGCCACCCGAGATCAGCAGCTCTCAAAGTGGATGACTAAGCACATGACCTAAATGGAAAAGCAACTCAGCGGCGGCGTCGAAAGTTCATTCAACCACCACTTCACCTTATTCATAGTTTACCTCTTGGTCGCGTCGCAGCTCACTCAACATGTCTACTGCTGAGGAGCTTTTGAGGGATTTCGAATCGGACGATGAGGACTTCCAGGCGGGCGAGGGAGCTGAGGAAGATGTGGACGAAGAGCAGCAGCACTTACAAAAAGCTGGCTCTGAGGTCACCAATGAGTTCGAGGTCGCCCTCTCCACCGGTGACGAGCTTACTCGCCTACATAAAGTTTTGCGCGACCACTACTCGGTCAGATTTCCAGAATTAGAAACCCTTGTTACGAATCCGATCGACTACGCCAAGACAGTCGCTATCTTGAAAAATGGTCCGCTCAACGATATCAAAGCTATCTCCTCATCGGCAGACAACATGGTCGGCGAGCCGCTCAAGTCTATCTTGAATGGCCCCTCATTGATGGTTGTTTCTGTGGAGGGTACCACCACCCGAGGACGTGAAATGACCGAGTCGGAACTGAAGGTGGTGCTCGATACTTGCGAGAGGATTTTGAAGTTGGATCGAGAGCGGAAGGCTCTTACGGAAAGCATCCAGTCTCGTATTACGCAGATCGCTCCCAACTTAGCAGCCTTGATCGGACCTGAAACAGCAGCTCAGTTCCTTAACCAGACCGGAGGGCTACGTGAACTCGCTAAGATCCCGGCGTGCAACCTGGGTGCGCAAGGCAATAAGAGAGCCGAAGGGCTAGGATTTGCTACGAATATTGGTGTTAGATCGCGTGGATTTCTCTACAATTCGCCATTGATACAGGACATTCCGGATGACCTGAAGCGCCAGGCGATCCGTATTGTCTCGGCTAAAATGGTCCTTGCTACCCGTGCGGACGTATCCAACTTCAGCCCCGATGGATCGCTAGGCGAAGATTTGAAACAACAATGCTTCACGCGGCTGGAGAAGCTGACAGAACCTCCCCCGAATTCTGGAGTGAAGGCCCTCCCCGCTCCCGACGACAAGCCGTCCCGCAAGCGAGGTGGTAAAAGGGCCAGAAAGGCCAAGGAGGCAGTTGCTATGACAGATATGCGCAAGGCCCAGAACCGGATGGCCTTCGGTAAGGAAGAAGCGGAAGTCGGTTACGGCACGGGTGAAGGAACGGTTGGATTGGGAATGCTCGGCCAGCAGAACGATGGACGGGTTCGATCAACTCAAATCGACAACAGGACTCGAGCGAAACTCAGCAAGTCGAACAAAGGTTGGGGAACCGCAACTCCTGCCAGCGGCACGGCCTCGTCTCTCCGTGGATTCACTTCTGGGGTTGGCGGAACGGCAAGTGTTCTACAAGCGAAAGGTCTTCGCTCTTCTGGCATTGGTACTTCACTGGGCGGCAGCGGTACAGCTAGTACCATTGCCTTTACGCCGGTGCAGGGACTTGAGCTCGTTGACCCTAAGGTGCAAGCAGAGTTGAGCCGTAAACGTAAGGCAGAGGAAGACCGGTGGTTCAAGTCGGGTACTTTTACGCAGGTTGGCGGTAACCAAAGCAACAATAACTCTTCCCAGAAGGATAATGGAGGGTTCAAGGTGCCACCAATTCCTCCACAGAAGAAGGTCGATACGGGTGAGGGTAAGATGGGCCCTCCACCACTGCCACTGAAGCGATAGTGGGGTTTCTATTTGTTATTTGTTTTCGTTACCGATTTTGCTTTCCTGAGCATCTTAAGAAAGGCGTTTTTGAGATTGGGGATCCGTTCGGAATTCGCATGATACCATCGACCAATGTATGATAAATCTCGAGACAGTGGAAAACTCGAAGAGAATGAAATATAATAGAGCTCTTGCTTTAGATTTCCCACATATTGATTGCTGTGTTTGTCACGGGTAGACTCCGGATAACCCTGGCAGTGCCACGTGCCGATTGCCAGGTACCATGGAACTGGGGAAGAAATACTCCGGGTCCGACGTAAAATTCTGTGAAGATGGCGTGCTAGTCCCAAGGATTTCGCCGCTAGAACATCTCCCGAATAGTTCTGGAATGTCAGATTCAAGTTCAAGCGCTGTAAAACCAACTATAAACCCATAAAGAATGAATTAGTTGGCTCAATGCCTGGTACTTGTTCATCAATATTTCTCTTGAACTGTCCGGGGACTTCTTTGCCCTAAAGACGCCAAAACGGGGGCGCTAAGCATAAAGTTGCTTTAGTTGAAAATCCCCCGGCAAGGACGGCCCAATGGCGAGCCGGTGGATGACTTTTGCCGAACGGGCCTCAGGCCGTCTCGTCAGCGTATTGCGTGCTTTGAAGGGGAGTTGGCTCAATACCGCCCTTTCCCCCCGGGGGACGTTTGAGATATATAGGCGACGTTTCGTCGTCATGTAGACTTTTTCCCACTTGTCTCTCCTTTTCCTCCGTTTTCAAGCAAAAGTCTGTCCTTCCACAGCATCCTCTGGCTTCATTTGATACCCCATCTGCATTCCTAAATCTGACTACAAGCCCTAATTCACCCAAAGAAAAAACCCCAAAGACAAAGACAGAATAAAAAGGACCCAATGGCCCCAGTGGAAATAGGCAAGCCGGTCTTCGGTGTAGACAGCCCAAAACCCACATCCCAGCATCCATCTCTGTACGACCATACCCTAATCACCACCGACTTCGATGCCCTCAAATTCCACGCCGCAGCATCTCTCCAGCTGCAATCCGGCCATCCCCACAAAACAGCAGCACCACAAAGTGATCTGTTAATCACATCACCGTACAACGACCCCAAACACCTCTTGGATCTCAAAACACTCGATACACCCAACCAGTTGCTCGCCAAAGCCCTCACCATATTCAAACCCATCCGTGACGACTACGCCACAGCGCCGTACACGGAATCATTCAATTGGCAAGCAGTGTTTGATTTCCTGCGGGACTTAGCCCAGACGAATGGGTATCGGTGGGAGACACGGCATTTCTACGTCGTTGTTTTCCGGTCCCGGCTCCAGGCGGATATCGATAACCAGAGATTGCATGATTTGGATGCCTATTCGCATCAGGAGGCTGTTGCTAGTGGGGGGTTGCTGAAGTATTGGTTTGGAACGAAAGATGGGGAGCGGAGGAATTTGGCTACTTGTGAGTTATCTTCTTTTTCCGTTTTAGTCTATTGTGAGGACAGTTACTGATGATGATACTAGGTCTCTGGCGTAGTCGCAATGATGCCAGGTTGGGAGGTACCGGGCCTTGGCATAAGAAGGCACGCGGTGCTGCGCGAGATCTGTACGAGAATATCACGTTTATGACACTTAAATTGGTCATTGAAGGTGATGTTCGGTCGTGGAGGGTTACGGACTGGACGGATGAGGATGAATGAGAATCGGTAATGGTTGGTTGGTTTGAGATACCATAGCATGGGTTTTCACTTTTTGGTTTAGACATGGGTATTTCTTAGAGCGTTTATACTAGCATTCCTTTCTTTTTTAATCATAGTTATATGTTATATAGCAATTGAGTTTTCATCTGTAATATGTTTCCTGTCCAGTTCTGGTCATGAATACGGTTCGTGTGTAAGTTCCAAGAACTTGGGCCGTTAGCGTACCGTAGCTGAGAGAACTTTATCTATAGCCAAGAAAAAATAGAAAAAAGATAATTGGAAAGAGATACGAACTACATATCGAGAGGAGACTTCTATAACTATCATGCAGGAAAGGGAGGAACACAGAGAGGGATTTATCGCAATAGGAGGGGGAAAGAAGTAAGTAGGTTTACTCAAATCACATAATTATCTACTAAAATGAGATATTCGGCGCGAGGTCCGAGCACATTTCTCGTTGAGCGCCATGCTAACCTTGGCTTAAACATACGGAGAAAAAGAATATCTTCCAGGTTATTTATGAAGATTATGAATTTAAAAGGCATGATTTGACAATGCATGTTCGATTCGAACTAACCATTGCCGAAGAGACCGGGGGCTAGGACGAAGCTGGAAATTCTACACGACTTGTCAGTAGGCCTGATGAGATGACTACAGGGATAAGTGACACCATCCACTACACACTTGCACGGCAGCAATTGTTCAATCTTGCTCAATGCTTTTATATAAACGAGCTCTGCCTGGATGTTTCAGGACTTACTGTATGTAAAGATGAAATTGTATGTCTGCGACGTGAGAGGAATCGTATCTCGTGGCGGGACAAAGTAAGGTCTATCGGAATGTCGGAGGTTTTGGTCGTCGAGATTTAAGCTTATGATACTATTGCGGAGACGAGTGTCGTCATTCTCAGCATGAGCACGAGGTGGCATTAAGAGCTCTAGCCAATAACCATTATAAAGCTTTAAAAAATGCGACAATGATATTCTCGTCTAGGCCTATCATGCTTCCCGATAGCGCCATTCAACGCCAAATTGAGCACTGCGTGGGGTGGTAGTTATCTAGCATCTAACCGAGATACAGTTCCTCATTCTGTTTGACAAGGTATAAATATAGCTTAAATGGGAGTAGACATGTCCATGGATGTTCGAGGCCTTTGTAATCTACATTTTCCTACTATTTTATTCTATGTTTTCTCTCTTTTTTTTGCAGGCCAAATAGCAAATCTGTAAACCTGTCAAATGGGTCTACCGTTTTGGCACGATAGAGAGAAGGATGTGGGCATCTCCGTCCGCGAACATGCCTCTCAAGAGAGTACCATTCAAGATGGTGAAGTCAAATATACAGCGGCAGAAGGTATCAATTCCACTAGTGTGACCTACCAAGATGCCAGTGGTGCACCCGTCGAGACGGATTCGCCGTTGGGATACTCCGTCAGCTTTTGGACAAGTCTATGCCTGAATATCAATCAAATGGTCGGAACTGGTATCTTTTCAACGCGTGAGTAGGTTCCAAACACCCCTGCTCGAGTCTCATACTTATTTCTCCGAAGCGGCCACTATCCTTAAGGGTGTTGGTTCCGTTGGCCTTTCCATGATATACTGGTTCATAGGATATCTGCTCGCCCAAAGCACTCTTGCGGTGTACCTGGAGCTGGCATCATACTTTCCCAGTCGTTCTGGTTCGGAAGTCGTGTATCTTGAGCAGGCATTCCTAAAACCAGAATATTTCTTCCCTACAACGTTTGCAGTGAAACATGTTGTCTTTTCGTTCGGGAGTAGCAATGCCGTTGTCTTTGCCGAGTACATCTTCGGAATCGCAGGCTCGGGGTACACGAACTGGCAATTAAAAGGCGTCGCGGTGGCTGCATATACAGTTGCAACATTAAGTTTGTGGGCCAAATATACACAATACCTGGCTATTTGACTGATGAGAAATGCAGTTGTGAGCTTAAATACCAAATGGTCACTGAGAATCGTTGTCTGGTTTGGGTTCATCAAGATTGCAACCTTGGTATTGTATGTTGTGCGCGATGCAGATATAGGTTAATCCACCCACTCACCTATCATTACAGGATCTCAATCGCTGGACTGGTTGTGCTTGGGGGGCATACAAAGGTCGAAGACCCTATGATCAACTGGCATGATGCCTGGAAAGGGACATCATCGGCAAGCGCCTACGGTGCTACTAATGCCATGGTCAAATTGATCTTTTCTTACTCTGGCTATACCAACGCTTTTAGTGTGGTTAATGAGATCAAGGTTTGCTAGCGACTTCCCAAACGCTTGAAGATAACAAGGCCTGATCACTCGTATAGAATCCCGTCAAAACACTTCGTTGGAGTGCCCCATTTTCATTGATCCTTGTCACATCACTCTATATCCTCGTGAACGTCGCCTACTTCTCCGCTGCCTCAAGGGAAGAAATCTTAAATTCGAAGCAAATCGCCGCAGGAGTTTTCTTTCAAAAGATCTTTGGTACGAATGGGGCCTCCCGCGCGCTGAATGTGCTCATCTGCATAAGCGCATTCGGCAATCTAATGGCTGTTATGGTTAGCAATTCCAGAATGCTCCGAGAGACTGGAAGGTGAGATTAGTAGTCTACTCCGCTAGAAGACTAGGCATCCTCTGCAGATTCATCTAGCAAATATGCTAATTCCTTGGACATATAGACAAGGTGTACTTCCCTGGCCTAGATTCTGGACTTCTACGAAGCCGTTTGGAACACCACTGGGGCCTTATCTCGTCCAGTGGGCCATAACTGTTATCATGATTCTTGGTCCTCCCGCAGGAGATGCCTTCAACTTCGGTCTGTGCTTCTCACTAACTCCTCACATAATTCTCAAACTGACAAAATTACTGGATAGTCGTCGACCTCTCCGTCTACCCCACGAGTATCTTCAATTTCCTCTTGGTGGTCGGCCTCCTATTGATTCGTCGGCGCCGCAGTAAGCTCAATCTACCTAGACCCGAGTATCGATCATGGGCCATTGCGATTGGCTTTGCACTATTGGCAAATCTTTACTTGCTTGCTGCCCCATGGTACCCGCCCACAGGGGGTGCAAACGGTGGGGACGTTAGCTTCTGGTACGGCACATATTTGGTAGTTGGCATGGGACTGTAAGTAGTCTTGCACCTCGCCTTTTTGCTCTGTTTGATTAACGTAACATTCAGACTTGCTGCGTGTGGTGTATACTACTACATCTGGATCATATTACTTCCTAAGCACAAAGGGTATAAGTTTCGACAGACTGTGTTGGAATTCGACGATGGATCTATTGCACATAATCTTGTCAAAGTTCCTGTTGCAGAGCTGGTGCGCTGGGATGCAGAGCATGATGCCGTTGGTCGTCTGCGTCGCCGGACAACATACCAAAGCAGCACTGAGACCGATGAAGATAAGTCGAGCGAACAAAAGAATATCCTTTGAAGTGCATGATGAATGTTGCCATGAGAGATACAATGGGAGATGCTTAAATCTGGATCTGGCGCCATGTTGTACTTGAGGAATATACATATAACAGGCAGCAAAATATTGGAGTTGTCTTTCTGTTGCTCTTTGTGATACAAGCCTCTCAATAAGGGAAACCGGTGGCTACATATAGCGGTCATCACGTGCAAACCCTGCATACTGGTTAAGATGAGAAGCCGAGTGAATGATCGGATTTGCTTTGTGTGTCTTGAAGGGTGTGAAACGGCCTTAGGCATCACTGTGAGAGCCTGGTTGGTTGGAGGGATGTGCCTGTGCCACTTCCATAGAATTGGTCCCTGACTTTGTTTAAAGCCCGACTGATTCTTCTTCCAGTTCTCACTCTCATTCATCCGATTCTCTGGCACTTTACATCATCTTGGCATAATCTAACCGTATAGTTATCAAGGCAACAATGCACTGACTGCCATCTTTGCTTTATTTGAACCACTTGACACACTACATCTTAACCGCCACAAGGCGATTAGGATTCTTTTTGAAGCTTTTCCCTCTGAGATCTCTGAATTCCTGTGCCTTTTAGTCTTGACGTAGTCTATTTGGCTTGTTTGCGCCCATTGTGGAAGCTATTGAATGCCTATGCTTTGTTTCCGCAGTGATTCTCACGCCCCAGCCGTTGCAGAATCACCAAACCTTCTTTTTTCTTCCTTTACTTCAAATACAAACACCGCACATACCTAAGCTACAACCAAAGTATTTAGGGCACTCTTATTGATTACTACTGTGATACTGGAGCGCCGCTTTGCGCGGTATACGCGCGTCTCATCTCAATCTTCCCGAGATACATCAATAACAACCGGTGAAATGCGACCGATATCACTGATCTTCTACCTAATTGTGCTGCTTGCTGCGCAGCTGGTAACAGCTGACGAATATATCGAGTCTAGAGCGCTGAGTTTGTGCTCCAACAGTTTGGAATTTACAGCGACGTACTTCAATGTAAGGTTCACGCCGAAGAATCGTACTATTGCATTGAGCTTTAATGGAAGGTCATCGATATCTGGCAAAGTCATCGCAGAGTTGATTATCACGGTTTACGGCTACACCGCGATGACCAAGGTGTTGAATCCTTGTGATATGGATCTAGAAGGGCTTTGCCCAGTGAGGGCTGGCGAGATCCCGGTGATGAATACCAACATCAAAGTACCTGACTCATTTATTTCACAGATCCCTGGTGGGTTGGTATCCGTGGTGTACAAATGTCTGTATAGGATTACTTGATTCCCTAACTATGCTGCGCAGGTATTGCCTACACTGTCCCCGATCTAGATGCCTCCGTGCGCGTTTTCATCAACTCCTCCGACACAGGAAGGAGTATTACTTGTCTCGAAGCAGAGCTCTCAAATGGAAAAACTGTTTATCAGCCCGGGGTAGGTTGGACGACGGCTATAATTTCTGGTCTGGGTCTGGCTGCCTCTGCAGTCACCTCTGCGCTTGGTCACTCAAAAGCCGCCACACACATAGCAACTAATGTGCTCTCGCTTTTTGGATTCATGCAGTCACAAGCAATGTTTGGAATGTCATCGGTTCACATGCCTCCGATTGTTCAGTCATGGACGCAGAACTTCCAATGGAGCATGGGCCTCGTTCGTGTCGGTTTCTTGGAGACCTTGTGTACTTGGTACCAGCGATCCACAGGTGGGCGGCCTTCGATTCTCATTGTCGACCATTCTAAAAAGTCGATTCAAATTCTCAAAAAGCGCCTTCATGACACTTTGCTAAAGCGAGCCGGTAAACCTGGAGCAGATACACATAAAAGCATTGTGATACGCGGAATCCAACGTGTCGGGTATAAGGCAGGAATCGAAGTGACCAACATCTTTCTGACAGGCTTGATCTTCTTCATCTTCTTTGCCACACTTGCAATGGCCTGTGTCGCAATATTCAGAGTTATCTACAAGTCCCTAGTCAAGTCAAGGAAGATCAAAAACTATGAAGTCAAATGGAACTTCATTACAAAGGGCATTCTATTCCGGGTAATCCTGATTGGGTACCCTCAGATATGCATACTTTGTTTGTGGGAGTTCACTCAACATGATTCCCCTGCCGAGGTTATACTTGCCGCCGTCATGCTCTTGACTACCACAGTTGCCATAGGGTTTGCAACACAAAAGGTCGCCCGTCTTGCCAAACAATCGTTGAAATTGTACAGAAACCCTGCATACGTTCTCTACACTGACCCTGCCTGTTTGAATAAATGGGGTTTTTTATACGTGCAATATCAAGCCAAGGCTTACTACTTCATTACGCCAGCCCTTGCCTACATCATAGTGAAGTCCATGTTTATCAGCCTGAGCCAAGCAGCCCCTGTGGTGCAGACCATAGCATTGGTAATCATCGAGGCTTGCATACTGATCTCCATCAGCATTTTGAGGCCCTGGATGAACAGGAAGACTGACATATACAACATCTCAATCGCAGCTATCAATTTCGTTAATGCTATCTTCTTGCTCATTTTTTCGAACGTCTTCAGCCAACCTGGCATTCTGACAGGCGTGATGGGAGTTGTTTTCTTTGCCTACAACGCAGTGTTCTCACTAGTCCTCCTGGTCCTCGTGTTGATGGCTTCCACCCACTCCGTCCTATCGAAGAACCCAGACATTCGATACCAACCAATGAGGGACGATCGGGAGTCATTTATTAGGTCACAATCTCAGCATCAGCTGGGTACTGAGTTAGATGATTTGGGTGCCGCTGCTCGTGGTGAAAAGCATTCTAATCACGACAAGTCTACCCCAAGTTTAGTTGATGCCTCAGACAGGCATGAACATAGTAACGAGCCTAATGGTGAAGATACACCTGAGGAAGATCCGCCCTCGTCAGATATTCTTGGGAGTGAACCTCTGGGGTATCAGGATCACCTCCCCAAAGCTCCGGCCGGTCGAGTATATTGTCACCGGAAAGGCTGCTATAGACCCCCTGCAAACCCCGATGGTACATTGCCTACAGAAACTGGCAGGCCTTGCAACAGCTCGAGTCCATGGAAGAGAGGAGCTGGATATGAATGAAGCATTGGGACTTTAGAGCAGGCGCCCTTCTTCACCTGTTTGCTACTACCCTTGGCTGTCATATATTACGTTTAACTTGAAGTATGCAACTGGCATGTTATCTAGCTATCCAATGATTTGTAGACATAAGTCCATTACTGCTGTTTGCTTCCACCAACTGTGTAGTGTTTAAGTATCAATCATCATTAATCATCAGTCTAAGGTTATTGGTCAATCAAGATGATTATTACTCGACGTGACCACCTGAGACCGATAGCGGTCAACGTCACTGAGATACCTTGGTTACATCAGCCAACATTTCTTAGTAGTCATGATTGTTGTAGGCGCCTGGAGGCCTAGGCAGCCAAACATATGATCTACGCAGAACAAGTAACTCTGTATTTGCAGACTTATAGCAAAATAATGCTCAATTCAGACGTCTCCACTTCCCATACTTCTCCCCTTAAGCACCATAATGGTCTTGATCACTACGGGACTGGAATTTACTATACTATTAGACACACGCAGCAGTCCCCTTCTCCAAACCGTCGGACAAGCCGACGCATTTGAAAAAAAAAAAAAAAAAAAAGAAAAGAAAAGAAAAGAAAAAGAAAAAAAAGAAAAAAGCAGATGGTTCCAAAAATTGCTTCGAGGTCTCGAGGGTCCTGAAGACTCAGCCTACTTAGCTAGGTTTCCCTATTCTAAATACTAGGATATACCTGGACGGCACGCAAAGAGGAGCTGAAGAGGAGAAGAAAAGAAGATGAATCCATGGGTATTTATTCCCAGAAGTGCCGTTTAGTTGTTCTTTCCAATAGTAGAAACTTCAAGGAGCCTTGAATGGAAGGAGCTTCGGCGGAGTACACGCAGCACACTGCTAACTAATTTGGACCTATGTAATCAGATACCACCACTACTATTTCGTCCAACGGGGACATTGGCCGAGTGGTCAAATGGCCAGGACACGCTCAAGAGGAGTTAAGTTTTTTTTGCCTGTCTACCATACCTTGCCTTTTCCGAGTTCGAATCCAGCCTCCTTTTTAATGTGTATATACTTGTTGCGACTTAAATAAAGCTGTTAGTATTCGCTTAACGCGTGTTATAGGCATGATGAGAAATGATCAGCGTAGAATGGGTCTATTGTGGATCCTCCTTGACCCACTCTATGAACTAATTAGATCACGTGAGAATCGTCGTTGGTTTACTATGCGTTGAACAATGGTTAGAAGAAGATATCGCTGAGATATGGAATCAAACTATAATTGGACTTGAACTTATCTGAGATAACATCTGGTAGACGGTATTTGATTGACTATATTGCTGTACGGTCCAGGAGGTGAGCAAGGCATGACGCGGTGATACGGCCTTTTGACTATTGCTGTCGCTTAGGTATTCTAGAACTATGTGGGAGTAGAGCTAGCGATAGTCCGATAAAATATCCGCCAAGGGTTTCTAAGTTGATAAGCATCTATGTTTTATATTTGAAGTTCTATTGGAGTGGATCTGCTGCCATGTTTCCTAAGGCGGCTTCTAAAAAAAAGGGTAAGGAAGTATCCTCACGCAAGGGCAAAGTATATAACATATTCGCCTATAAACATTACACAGACATCTACAATAGACTTTCGGGCTTAAAGATCTATCAATTCTATTAGACCTTCTATGGGTTTCCTTCACTTACACTGTTATGGACATAGGTGCCTCCAAGAGTTCCAAAATCCCATCGATATACGAATCATAAAGCGGCAGGTTTTGGTTCCTAACCACAAAAGGAAGGCATATCACGGGTTCCGTTCACAGATCCCACAAATAACCAACCGACAATTCTGATCCGATCATCAGCTGCCGTATTTCCGAGACCAAATCCCCATACTCGGCCCCTTCTAGAGCGAATTTTGTATACGGATGAGCGTTTCATTCATCTAAACAGGAATAGTTACCCGCCGGGTGTGGGGTCGGGCTCCACAGGGTTCTGCAACGGGAATTGTTGCCCGCCTATGTGGAGAGCACCCAATGGGGAAATATTGCCTCGTGCAGCAACCAAGGACAGCTTCGCGGCATGCTACTGGTGATAACGCGACACGACTTCCTTATCCGATGCGGGGCAGGGTGGAACACGATGACATTTGCAATCCACGGTCCCTAACTGGGTTGACGAGGGGCAGAATCTATAAAGACAGAGTCGAATCCAGGTCAACATGGCCTCTATTGCAGTTTCACCAAACTATCATACACATTCTTCAACATGCCCGGAGTACTAGCCGAGACTACCCTATCTGTTAACGATGGTCCTTTGACCTCTGAGAATGCAGCTTACCTGCGTCCCTCTGACCCCAACCTCCCCGTCGAGGAACTCCGCAAGCGGTACAATGAGGAGGGCTACCTTTTCTTAAAGCAGGTACTGCCCCGCGAAGATATCCTGGAAGCCCGCAAGGCCTACTTCGAGTACCTCGCTCCTACCGGGGTTCTGCAAGAGGGTACTGAGCCCGTGGAGGGAGTCTTTAACCGGACGAAATCGATCGACGACTATCCCGGCATTGGAGCCGGCCATGTGGGCGGGAATGGCCGCCCCGGTGGAGACAACGCGGCGCAGTTCGTTGACAAGGCCATCGAAGCCCATTACAAGGACTGGTACACTAAGAACGTGGTCAACCACCCCGCTTTGTACGATTTCATCGCCAAGTTCACCGGCTGGGGCAATGATACGTTGACCTTCAAGCGGACGCTCCTGAGAAATAATATTCCCGGCTCGAAGCCGATTGGTGTTCATTATGATCAGATCTTCCTTCGCTATGGAGAGCCGACGGCGGTAACTGCTTGGGTGCCTATTGGTGATATTAAGATTAACGGTGGAGGTTTGATTTATCTCGAGAATGGTATGTGCGCCGGAGCGTGGAGTATACAATCACAGACTGACAGTATGTAGGTGACTCCATTGGCCAGAAGATAGAAAACGATTTCACTGCCAAGGCATTGAAGGCTGGCCTGACGGAAGAAGAGGCCAAGTCGGCCTTCAACTCAAACATGATGTCTACCGGTCTACTCTCAGAGTTCCCGGCTGAGTTTGCTAAGGAACATGACCGTCGCTGGCTTGTCTCGGCCTACGAGGCGGGTGATGTGGTCTTGCACAAGCCTCATGTCGTACGTTCATCATTTTTACATGATAGCATCTGGAGCACTGACTAACGGAATCTCAAGATCCACGCGTCGACTATCAACAACGACGAGGATAACATCATCCGTCTTGCAACTGATCTGCGATTCTGCGATTCCTCGAAGCCCTATGATAAGGTTTGTTTCCTGTTCGACCTACTTTTATGATAACAGCTAACATCTCGTAGAGGTGGATGAACCACTACAGGTTTAATGACGGCGTTTGATTTGAAGGATTATTTGAGTTCCATTGTTCACTCTTACGGCCGTATACCAGTATTTTAATGCATGAGCATTTTCTTTAACGAGATTATATCTATGACCATCTGCAATTTGCAAGCTCAATTTGAACCGAGGATGCACTGGCACTATGCGTATAGCATACACGAAATGAATATATCCACATACCCATTCACCGACCCGCATCTAATCAGGGAAGCCATTGACAGCAGACCCTACATTCTAGACAGAATCTCCAAACGTACAATGGCAGATTCTAACATCATTAGTACTTCCCTTTTCTCGTCATACCTTAGGAATAAGAGCATACTGTTTATCATCACAATACCCGCCAGTCCATCCAGGGCCTTGGTTAATGCACTAGATCGAATTAATTAGCCTCTACATCGTAAGTCACCGAATGGGGACAAATACAGTAACACGACATGCCAAGTTGGCAGCCTCATCCCCTCCCTGAACCTGACAGGACGAGTTGGCGCTCAAGATGACATCCCGGAGGGGTCTGCCCATCGCGAGAGAAGCAAGGGCAGCCGAGGTAAACAAACAAAAGAGCTTCATGGTCTATGATTTAGAGGGAGGTATACGAAGTGTACAATCAGGTCTGAGTAGGCGTAGTGAAAAAGTTCTGACGAGTTTCTTTTACGGCCAGTGCATCCGCGGTGACGTTATGCTTAACTGGCATTCTTGAGGTCGCCTGGAATGCGAGCGTTCGCATTCGGAGATCTGCGGTGATATCGTGCAGATCTTGGCCGCGGAGGAGTATCCGCGTACCCCTCGCGTCTTCCCCGCCATGGTTTGTTGTATGCTAACTCGGAGCTGGATGAATCATGGTTCGTACCTTGTACTACTCCTGTAGACGTGTTGAGGCGGGTTTGGATAAGACTCTAGTATTTTCTACTTTCCGGGATTATCACATTGGTGAATTGTTTGCATGTTCCTCATTTCTTAAATCCGAGGAGCGAATCGATTATGTCAGATTTTGGTACATTGGTAGCTCCGATTGGACCTGAGTTTTGATCCCTTGTCAACCAGGACATTAGGATCTGGCAGATCCCTTCGTCAATGCCCAACAACTTCCATTCGAGAAGGGGAGAAGATGGATGCATGGGGACCTTTCGGGGTTGAAGGTGTCAGAGCGCATGTGACAGATATGATAGGTCATTGGCTGGCCGTTTTCTGAGGCACCAATCTTGAGGTCATGTGACCAAACGTAAACATTCGACAGGCAGCGGGTATAGATGGTAGGCATTGTAAGAACTACATCGTAGAGAACCAGGATATGACCATCTTTGAGTGACAATTGAAACCTACGAGGCATTCTGAGATCCAGTCGACTCTGACCACTTTCGACACGCTCTGCATAAAAGGTCTGCTCTTGTTGATAGACGCTAACCTTCTTGTAGTCCGGAACCACAGTTAGTCCGGGAGAGAAAATCAGCAGCCCCGCCAGGCCAGGGCCACCAGTCCCCCTCGGCGGCCCCTCTCCTCTTTTGATTTTGCTGTTGCTCCTCTCCCTTTTAATTCTTCTCTCCCCTCCCCCCAAATCCACTCTTCTTCTCCTCTTCCATCCTCTCATACCCTTCTTTTTTTTTTATACACCTCTCAGTATGTGCTGTCCACCGCCTTGTTTTTCCCTCGAAGATACCCATTGCTAACAACGTTCAACAGTACCTCTTCCTTTTCTCCTTGTACCATCATAATATCAGCAACCATGGCTGCTCCCGCTCACCAGTTCAAGGTCGCCGACATCGTACGTGTCTCCAAGGTGCCGAATATACTGTCATGTTCAGATTGTTGACCATTCCCTAGTCTCTGGCCGCCTTCGGTCGCCGCGAGATCGAGCTTGCCGAGATTGAGATGCCCGGTCTGATGGCCATCCGTCGCAGATACGCCGCTGACCAGCCTCTTGCCGGTGCCCGCATTGCTGGTTGTCTCCACATGACTATCCAGACTGCTGTCCTCATCGAGACCCTGGTTGCCCTTGGTGCCGAGGTTACCTGGACCAGCTGCAACATCTTCTCCACCCAGGACCACGCCGCCGCTGCCATCGCTGCCGCCGGTGTCCCTGTGTAAGTACAGGAACAACATGCCCCGACTTCTCCGAGCCTAACGTATTTTAGCTTCGCCTGGAAGGGTGAGACCGATGACGAGTACAACTGGTGCTTGGAGCAGCAGCTCTCCGCCTTCAAGGATGGCAAGAAGCTCAACCTCATCCTCGATGATGGTGGTGACCTGACCTCCCTCGTCCACGAGAAGTACCCTGAGCAGCTCAAGGACTGCTACGGTCTCTCCGAGGAGACCACCACTGGTGTCCACCACCTTTACAAGATGATGAAGGAGAACAAGCTCCTCGTCCCCGCTATCAACGTCAACGACTCCGTCACCAAGTCCAAGTTCGACAACCTCTACGGTTGCCGTGAGTCCCTCATTGACGGTATCAAGCGTGCTACCGACGTCATGATCGCTGGTAAGGTCGCCGTTGTTGCCGGTTACGGTGACGTCGGCAAGGGCTGTGCTCAGGCTCTCCACAGCATGGGTGCCCGCGTCCTTGTTACTGAGATTGACCCCATCAACGCCCTCCAGGCCGCTGTTCAGGGCTTTGAGGTCACCACCATGGAGAAGGCCGCTCCCCTCGGTCAGATCTTCGTCACCACCACCGGTTGCCGTGACATCCTTGTTGGCAAGCACTTCGAGGTCATGCGCAACGATGCTATCGTCTGCAGTAAGTAACAATCGCTGATCACTCGGACCTGAATATGTATTAACAAGACTAGATATTGGTCACTTCGATATTGAGATTGACGTTGCCTGGCTCAAGGCTAACGCCAAGTCCGTCCAGAACATCAAGCCCCAGGTTGACCGTTACCTGATGGCCAACGGCCGCCACATCATCCTCCTTGCTGAGGGCCGTCTTGTCAACCTTGGCTGTGCCACCGGTCACTCTTCCTTCGTCATGTCCTGTTCCTTCTCCAACCAGGTTCTCGCCCAGATCGCCCTCTTCAAGGCCGAGGATGCTGAGTTCGGCAAGAAGTACGTCGAGTTCGGCACCACTGGCAAGAAGCCCGTCGGCGTCTACGTCCTCCCTAAGGTCCTCGACGAGCAGGTTGCTCTGTGCCACCTTGAGCACGTCAACGCTGAGCTCTCCAAGCTCACCCCCGTCCAGGCTGAGTACCTTGGTCTCCCTGCCGAGGGTCCCTACAAGGCTGACCACTACCGTTACTAAACTCCTTCTTTCCGTTTGTTGTTGATTGGTATACCCTAACCTAGATTCTTTTCAACATTATCACGATGTTACGAATAACATAGAGTTCCATTTAACTTGGGCTCAAAAGTATTTTGTCTTCAACGGCAATAAAAGTGGCATATATGGGGGTTATTACGGATAGTGTTTATGGGTCGGCTTGCCTATTTTGCATTCAACAGTGCGTACTGATGGGTCATGTCTTAATGCGATACGTTTGGCGATTAGATGAGAGCCAGACCGAGGCCATGCTATAGAGCATTTAAATAATAAAAAAACAATTGCCTCAAATGTTGAATGAGTTTTGTAGACTGGCATCGAGAAATGGGCCAACGACTTCACTGTTATTGGGATATTGTTCTGTTCGTTAAGCCGTTTGCTCTGCTAATCGTAGTGTACAACTAAACACGAAGCTCTATGCGTCGACCCTGCAATACCTTTTGCCACTTAAGCATATGAGACTAGTTACCTCCATGTTTCACAAGGCTTCATATAAGCTATATATTATACTGCTAGAAAGACAGAGAGGCCTGAAGATGACAATGGAAGTATAGGTCTTTCTGTTGCTTATTTAAAGCACTGCAGTGAACATATATACATAAATATTATGTTGCGTAGGATGGTATAATAAATGGGAAAGTAGACATCAACTTTTTCAGGACATGAAGATTGCAGGACAATTCAACTCCGGTAGAGGGCCCCTTCTATACAACATTACCACAAATGTGGACTTTCAAGATATATGTGGCGAAGGATAAAGGAGGATAACAAGGAAAAGAATTAAATATATAGACATGTACGTTGGACCAAAAACCAAACCCAGGGTAACTTCAATGACTATCCTGGATGGAATATCCTTCCTTCACGCATCATCCCTGACCCCAGACAAGGACTAGTAATCATCAAAAACCATCCTCAATCAAGCTAAATGCCCTTACTAAAACGGAAGACATTTGTTCAAATCCGCCACAAGCTGTGAGAGTCCTGCTTGGTTTCTCAGATCTTTTAGAGGGCCCTGAACCTGTATACAAACGTTAGTGAGATAAACTTAATATACCCATTCTGGTATTATTTACGCAATAGATCAATTCTAAAGGAAGTCGGGGAAGATTCAGAAGATAGGTGCGTTGGACAGCTTCGGTCACACATGGTTCAATATCTTGCAACTTGTAGCACAGATCAGTGCCACTACACAATTCATTAACTTTATTCTGCACAGTACTCTTGGTACATTCAAGGATATCTGCAACAGCATCACGCTCCTCGAGGTTGTGAACTGGTGTAGCCAAGGTAAGGCCTACAACAGCGAGCGAAAACAGTGCCTGGATCTTCATCTTTAGATGCTGTTGGGTTATCGTAACTAGGGAGGTGGAAACTGAAACTGATTTCCAATAGAGAAAGATATGTTTTGCGTGTGTGGTATCAGGAGCGTTGTAAAAAGGCTAGTAAGAGAAAAGAGAGAGATGGCATGTTTATTAAAAAAAAAAAAAAAAAAGAAAAGAAAACAACGCAGATGCAGTAATGGTGCCGATATTTATATCCTGACTGCAATGCCTTAGGCATAAGAAGGTTCCATAAAAAGACCCACCCCCTTCTAGCTACGTAGATTGGCACTTGGTAAATTAAGTGTAGGTTTTGGAAAAATGCCATACCGGCTTCAGGAATAGTAAAAAATTTGACTTGACTTATGTTTTGCGATTGATGCGATGAATATGCTAAATTCTGACCTAATAACCAATCATATTTCGACTCGGCAAGAACCATGGGAAATGATCTTTTCAAATTCCCGATTAGCGTATATGCAAATACTACTGTATGGATACCAATCTATTAAGATCGGCGATTTGTTGACAGAAGCGAGCTCAGTATGGGCGGGCCTTCTTAAAGTCTGTTTTACTAACTCTGGGGAACAAACTTCAATAGATCCCTCAGTGGCTGAATAATCACTTCACCGGATATAGTTTTCCTTAACAAGGATTGGATGTGGGCTGTGTACTGAGTACTCAGGGTGCAAAAGTGTATCCCCCCCTATTTATAAATCATGAATTGTATATGTACAGGCTAACCTGCAATAGTCTTATATTTCTGGTCTTCGGATCCGCCGATCACGATACATAATCTTCTCGGGTTTGTACAAGTCCCCACTAAAAGCTCCCGGAAAATGCCCGCAGCTCCATCTCATGTTTTCGCGCCACACGTGTTTAGACTTCAGCAATCATGCTTCTAAGAATGTCCCAGGTTAACTAAGATCTAACTATTGATGTTTATTAGGTAACAGGGAAACTTGAATTGACTCCCTCTTTTCAGAGATTTTCCACGTGGAATCAATCTACAGATATTTCTCGGGGGGATTTCTATCAAAAATTAGTTAGTAGCTAGCTTCACTTGATGATTTCGAGATTAGTACTATTGAGAAATTATTCTTTGATGAAATGACAGAACATCACTATTACAGAAAAGGTATCCCCAAAAGGCTATTAATACATACTCCTTTACTCTATATGAATCGTTCCATCTCCCAGACAAGGACCAGTAAAGAGGAACCATCACTTAGTTGAAGTAATTCCTGCCAACGGGCTACATTCGAGACCAACAAGGACTGAGTTGTTCTCAATTGACTGGAGAAGTCCGGGAACACTCTCGATATCCCCTGATGACTGTACACTATTATACTATATACAAATATTAGTGAAATAAGCCTTAAACCCCCATTCTCTAGTACTGCTTACACATTCGTCATATTGAGTCTGTAGATATCGCCGGAAGTGGGCGACACGTTGCCAAATATCGGTGACTTCGTCAACACCCTGGACCAAACATGTTGTCCACTCCTCCCGGAGGGTGCAGTCGTCGGGACGGGCTGCACACGCGTCACTAACTAATTTCTCTATACCATCAGTGATGCATTTAGTCCAACTATCGCGCTCTTCGAGGTTCTGGATTGGAGGTGAGGCCAACAGTGGCGAGCGAAAGCAGTGTCTGGATCTTCATATTTAGATGTCGTTGGATGGTCTTGAGAGGTGAAACTGATTTGCAATAGAAAAAGATTTAATTGACTATAATATTAGGAGCGTTGCTAAAGACTAGTAAGTGAAAAGAGAGATGGTATATTTAAGAAGCAGCAGATCCAGTCAGTAATAACCCAGATCTTTATAGCTTTGATTCCAATGCCTCAGGCAGAAAAAACTCGACAAATTTACCACTTCTGGCCACATAGAATAATCTATGTGATAGCTACAGTATACCAAGGAAATAGTATATGCATACTAACCCACAAGAGTATGTGGGGGGGGCCCATCTAAATCTGGTCCTGAGATCTGTAGATCACGTTGATCTTCCTAGGTTTGTCCAGTCCCACCACAGGTTTTCAGCTTCAGCTCGTGTTTTCGCGCCACGCGGTTGTCACGGAGCCGATGAGGAATCGGCCCGTGAAGCCTGCAGAACCCCCGGGCCCCTATATCCTGGTTCATCGTGCATAGGCTCTGGTCCCGGTCCTTCCTATATAGGACCTCGGACCCCCTACAGTTTAGAATCGGTCGGAGGAGAGATTACCTGACCTTTCACTGACTCTTCAGCGGGAAAGACCTACCGAATAGAGAATGATTCTAAAAGCTATTTAAGGGGGTCGAAAGATATAGATAGAAAGGACAAGAATCAATCTCTTTGTATTCGTTCTACTACGCAGTTAATGATAGAAATCTCTTCTTCTCTCCGCCTACGTTTCCTTACCTAGTTGACAGGCTATCTACCCTGTATAGTAGATCTTCCGTTACACCTAGCCTTAGAGAGAGAAATGTAAATATTTGAAGTACATAGACGGGAATGGGCCGGGAATGGGCTTTTGGTGGGTTTTGATGGGTTTCGGAGGGCTATTGGTGGGCCTGGATGGGCTTTGATGGGCTTCGATGGCTTTGACCCATTTAAAGTATAATATTTAGCCAATTAGCAGAAGTTACCTGACTTTATTACGCTCACAACTTAATATTTTCAGCTAAACTAACCATTATCTTTTAACTATTGAATATACTCTCTATACCCTTCTCTTTCTAATAATCTACTGTGCACTATTATCTATATACTATTGTGATTGCAAGTAGCGGTATGCTATGAGAGGTAGAGAGTTGCCGACCTCCTACTAAGGGTAGGGGTCGCTACGCCCTTTATATACACAGGGTAGTTAAGCACCGTAGGGTTAAGCCCGACGCAAACTAGTTAGACTGATACTTAGGTTTAAGGTCTTAAGGATGGAATCAAGAAATATTATTAAACTGAAACTGCAGTCTCAAGTAATTGTTCCTACCTTGAAGTAACCAAAAGAAAAGAGGGACCAACGCAAACGAGAAAAAGAAGCTGTCCTCTCATTGAAGCTAGTGTAAAATGTGGAAAATGCGTGCTCTTTCTACAGGAGGTTCCTAAGTTTAACATTAGCCAATGCCGTGCATAGGACTGTATGCCCAGGAGGCGCACCAGGAAGCCAATTATCCGGTCTTATTATCGCTTTGCTTTGAAAGCGATATCTGTATATTGTAGTACGGATGTTAACTGCAAGCGAGAAAACCTACCATAGGAGCGAACTAGCCACTGTGCTCATATTCTTAAAAGATTCTTTCCATTTCCAAGCAAAATGTAAGAGAATAATCTCTGAAAATTCCTGATGAGCCTTCTCTTCGGTGTAATTGAGGGGGGTCTTGCCAATCGAGTCTTCGGTATATAAATTCAAGGTACCTATTGATTCAAGGAGCTCTATAAGTTTCTCGGTGAATGTACCATGAATTGCTCTATGGTATATAAAAGTCTTCCTATCAGTATCTTGTGCTGCTGGATCCAAGCCCAAATTAAATAGTAAATTGAGGATTTCATGATCTACTCCCGTATGATGTATAAGAAGATATTCCAGATTTTCTTAATATTTATTGACCTATAGTGTATCAGCACCTATCCAAATAAGTAGGAAAAAGATATCCCTGTCAAAGTTTAGGTGAAATGAGTCCATATACAGACTGAGGCAAGAGTTTTCCTTTGCGTTGGGTTTGTTGATATCGCAACTACGCTGTATTAGGAAGGCAACAGTGTCAATACAACAGAAGATAGATGAGATATATGGTACAATGGGCTCTTGTTGTGGTTATCCAGCGAGTGCCAAAACTGTAAAAGCTCTCTATCGCGAGCCTCTGACATGAACTACAGGACATCTAAACAACCACAATTTAGTGCATAGTAGAATGGATTTAGCCTGTGGATATCCTTTAGCAGAATATTATGACTATTTGTTACAAGATTGTGTACAACCTCTAGGTTACCTCTCTTGCTGGAATGGTAGAGATATGTCTGATGCGATCTGTTCAATTGTAAACTATCAGCTCCTTTCTCAATAAGCTTATATAAAATAGACTATGTATAAACTTTTTGAAAGCCTATCACATATTGAGAGTAATCCCTTCTGGAGTTAGCCAAGTTGATATCGATAGTTCTACTCTCTAGGAGTATCTCAACAAAATATATCTAAGCTTTGTTAATAGATTGGCTGATATCAAAAGCTTTTTCACTTTTAAAGTCTGTGATCAAGTCTCTTAAAGACTCAATAGTGTAGTTACTATTCTCCCAGATATCCTTATATTTGCGACCTGGAAGATGGCGTCTGATTATAAGATATAGTGGGGTATCGCCAAAATTGGAACAAGTAGTTGGATCGGCCCTATGTCGGAGTAAAAAAGCGGTCGTTTTCGTGCATGTGTTCAATACAGAGAAATAAAGTACTGTTAGGCTGGAATCTATATTCGCTCGAGCTACTACTTGCTGGTCCTAAGAACTGTGTATAATAATGCTCACTATTATTTGTCCAGGTCACTATTGTCTTTCAACTTTTTGTCTCACCTCGAATCTGTTCCGAAGAAAGACTTGTGCAAGTTCTGTATCTGAATTCCTAATTGCATAAAGGAAAGGTGTTATATTATCTTTGTTATGTGTATATCGGGAGATCCTGTTTTTAAGCAGGAAGTCGGCCAGTTTACAGTCATTGTCTCTGCTATTTTTGTAAATTATATGGAGTGTGCTTTGATAATCATCATCTAGAGTATTTACGTATGCTCCAGATTCGACTAAAAGCTTAACGGCTTCAAGTTGAGAATGCCGAGCGGCAGTAAGCAAAGGGGTTCCGCCATGCGTATCTCTCGTTTCCAGTTCATCTTGAAAGCACGAGAGTAATGGGATAATCCCCCAGCGAGCTGCAACATGAATGACGGAGAGCCCAGTGCCCAAATCACTTCCAAAGCCTCTTTTTAGGTAGTTATGACTATCGAGCCACCATTTCAACGGCCATGCCATGTACAAATCAAAAGCCTATATAAACCGAAGGATCCGAATACAACGGATCTGCGGTTCGAGTGGTTATGGTGACCATGGATGCTGGTCAATCATACCCGTAGTTAAATTGATGATTATTCCGGACGTATTCGTTGAAGTGACATTCCATTAACCTAGATTAATACTTAAGAGGGGGTGTTCTATGTGAGGATTTGATGTCATTTTGATGCTTCGATACAATGCAACAATCTGCTGGAAACCATAAATACAACTTCAATTTTTATTTTTATTTTTTATTTTTATTTATCTTTTTTTTTAAAGAAAGAAAGAAATTGAAACAGACAGAAGTAACCTGACTTGGGTCTCTGGGCTAACTTTAATCGCCCCTTCCAGGCCAAGGTCGATCCACCAGCAAAGCATGTCTTGGCCATGAAAACTTTCTTTAACCATAGAAATCAAGCCTCACTTGTGAAGAGTATGACGCGTACGCATTGTTTGTAGGGCAATCTAGACTTATCTTATGGAATAGTGGCCCACATCAGGTTGAGTATAGATAATCAGCATAAGTGCGTCCCTTCTCTTCACGCTTTTCATGTCCATTCTTTCCCCCTTCTGCATACGCTTGCGAACGTATAACCTGGGATCCTAACACTTTCCCCTGCCAATTACAACCACACATACTTTCCTTTATACTATCTTGCCTTGGCCTACAGTGCGCAGAATGTCAGGGAATTGTCCAGCTAAAGCGCTGTTCTGGGCACTGTTTCTGATCTTCATATATTTCCACGGCGTCCAGTCCGCACCTCCATCGTGGATCTGTTGCAAGTATTGTTGCAACTCTGGTACCACATCGTCTCAACCCGGGCACATCACGTACTTTTGTCATCCCTCTGCCATTGGGACGACATGCCCATCCAAGCCCGGTCCACCGAGCTCGGAAACCTGCATTGCTATGATTCCCAATGTCATCCAGCCCGACAACTGCCAGGACTGTGTCAATAATCAACCAGACCGAAATAACCCCTGCTAAAAGCCTACTACCACATCAACTCATGCTGATTTATTAACATCACAGCACAACATGACATCGATATCTAACCATTCTTCGTTGTACGAGTGACAAGGGTCGTATGTGCCGCGTTAATGCTCGTTATCATTGGGATGCATGGATGAGCCGTTCAGTTGAGACTTCAGAAATTGGATGCGCCTTTACGTATATAGCAATTCACGCTGTAGCAATAATACTCACTAACTACATGGGTATTCAAGCACTTGCATAAATTAGAGCGTAATACACTGTACCACGAAAGAGAGGAAAAACAGGACTGCATATTTTTTGACCATGACTCAAAAAGGTTTCTACCCTCACAATGGTAAATGGGATACAATGCTTATATCTGAAGGTATAGTATTGAATTATCTAAAGAGGTTTAATACCGTGGAATATGCCCACTACGAACATACGTACGTTAGTTCCATATCATCTGTGCGTATTTTATGTCTAAAATCATTCCCAAACCAAACCGTGAGCGATGCCATCGATTTCTGGGCTTAGAGCTAGATTATTCGGCCTACCCTAACAAATGTCATCTGGGTGTTTGAATGCTCGACACTTCCTCGTACGTTAGGGTTAGCAGATAACTTTAGAAAAAACTGCTTCCCCCTTCCTCATACTGCCCTGAAGGTTTGTCGAAGCCAGTGGATTATTTTCATCCTCTGAGCAACCAGCCTCGCTTTCTAATACAGAACCTCTGTGACCTCCCAACTTCTCAGATCCCATGGCTTCCCCCCTAGAGCCGCCCTGTCGCGCCTGGATTCCGTACATCCCATGACAAATGCCTGTCATCATCGACCTCAATTCTGCGGGGTGTGGGGGTTGGGTTACCCCGTGGGGGTGTAGCGAAGCCTCGTCCTGGGTTGTGGCCTGTTTACTGGCGCCTGGAGCATTCCACAAACTCCCTTTGTAAGAGGCAATGTTAGGGGTTACAGATTTTGGGTGTTGTGTGTGTGCAATGGGGCCGGGAGTTTGTAAACTATTTTACTGCGGGGTGAGCTAGCGGTATGTCGGGGGGGCTCTCCCTACCGGCCATCAATTTGGATGCGACGTCTGGCAGATCTCTGCTAGACGTATATCCATAAAAGAACACCTGGCGACTATAAAAACATGATTCTCTTCTTCAGTCCATCGGCTAATATGTGAATATTAGCCGTTGAAGCAGCGGGTGGTGATTCATCGGGATGGGTTGTTCCTGACTGGACCCCAGAGCTGGACACTGCAGTCAACAAAAGGTTCGGCATCACCACCGCGATACTGTCGCTCACAGCGCCGGGTGCCTGTATCGTCAAAGACCCACAGGCATCAGCCGAGCTTTCCCGCAAGACAAATGAGTATGCGGCCAAGTTACGGGACGAAAGGCCCAATGCATACGGCTTCTTTGCAGCGTTGCCCAATATTCTGAACAAGGAGTACGCGCTGAAGGAGATTGTCTACGTTTATGATGTCCTCATGGCGGATGGGGTGACGCTGTTCACCCGCTATGGCGAAGATAACCACTATCTGGGCCACCCAGATTTCCAAGATATCTGGGCGGAGCTGAACAGGCGCACGGCAGGTTAATATGCTATTTAACAAGACAGTCCGCAACAATCCGAACTGCAAGATCATTCTGTCGCATGCAGGAGGCGCGCTCCCTTATCTGATTAGTCGTCCGGCATGCACTCAGCCCCCGGAAGAGCTCGATGCATTCTGGGATGATGCGCGGAACTTCTATTTTGACACTGCGCTATCTGGCACGGAGGACGTTCTCCACACCCTGGAAAGGTTTGCCAAGCCAGGCCATATACTGTATGGAAGCGATGACCCATACGCCAACGTCGATATCATCAATTTCCATACGTCTCGGCTGGAGCGCTATCCGTTCGAAAACCCGAACCTGCCGGCAGAGATCAATCGTGGCAATGCGCTTACATTGTTTCGTAAACTGAAGTAACCAGAAGGCTATCATGGAGTAAGGCGGTTGTGGTATGTAGGGTGGCAGACAGCGATCGAGAAAGTTGGGGTGGTCAGCTTTGCTATACTTCTCTCTCCGTTATTAGCTCTTTAGGGGGCATACAAATGTACTTAAACTCCTCCTATTATATTCGACGTCCCGGTTCATTGTTATATATGAATTCCCTTTGTTAGGAGCCCTACCACGTGGGAATGCCTTTTCTGACTGCTGGCTTGGTCTGGATAAACAGTAAATTATCGGCATTGAGCCTAGGCTCCACACCCTGTGGTCGTATATCTCTCCCCCAAAGACAGGAAGGGGTATAGATAGATAGACACAGAGAGAGAGAGAGAGAGAGAGAGAGAGAGAGAGAGAGAGACGAGGAAGAGGGTGGCATCAATGGTTTACGGATGACTTAGGTCAAAGAGGAGACTGTGGCGGAAATAAGAGTTGTACCTAACAACTATAGTAAATATACTGAGGCTACAAATTAGGAAAATCAGACCTGAATTTACCGTCAATGAGACCCTTTTAGTTTTAGGCCTAGAATACTAGGTAATACCGAAAATATCGTTCTTTCAATATATACTGTATATAAAAAATACAAATCAATCTATTATAGATAGAAAGACCAAATATAATAAAAAAAATAAGAACATAGCAGATAAGATATATTTTAAGATATATAGTCACCTCCCACCAGTATCTTATATGAAAATTGAGATTACAGCTTCAGATATAGAATTGGCAGGGAAATCGAGTGATTAACTTTATTTTATCGATTCTACAGATATTTAGTAGGGATAATGTGAATTGCCTTAATTTTCTTCCTTTACAGTGAAAATTTCTTTAGGCTACCGAATACCCGCTGGCGGAAGGCGGTGGGTGTTCGGAACCGCCACTGATACTCCTTTACCAATCGTTCCATTTCCCAGGTAAGGACCAAGTAGGCATCAATCACCCTCAATTCAAACAAATGCTTCTATGCCTTGTTAAAGCAGCTAGACACACTCTCAGTCGTGATCTCCAAAAATGACACTTGCAGTGTGTTCAGATCAGCATCTGATACACCCGCATTCTTCACACCTTCCCATAAGTTCTGGCCCTGTATACAAACAAATCAGTAAATTCTTTCGAATATACCTACTCTGGTATTACTGACACAAGTGTTCACAGACTCCAGCCATTCTGAGCGACGCTGAATATGATCCTCAAGATCGGTGAATTTTTCAGTAGCATCGGTGGTACATGATGTGAACGCGTCCAGCGCGCTGCATGCACCGGGAATGGTCGTACACGCTTGGTTGGTTCCTTTCTCTACCACACCCGTGACACATTTGGTGAAACTGTCACCGCGCTCTGCGAGGTTGTTGATTGGGTTGGCGAAGGCAACACCAACAGCAGCGAGCGAACAGAGAGCCTGGATCTTCATGTTTAAGATAATATTGAATGATTCGGACTGGGGAGGTCAAAGCGATTTTGAAAAGACAAAGTTTGAATGTGATATTAGGAGCGTTGCAAAAAGATCAGCAAGAGAAAAGTGAAATGATATGTTAAAGAACAGCAGAATCCAGGAATTACCCAGGTCTTTATAGACTTACTTACCATTGTTACGATGCCTCAGGCTAGAGAGCAGAATAGTCCATGAAGAATTAAAATAGGCAAATTCAATAGCTCCGAGATACTATCTATCAGATCCGCGATCTATTGACATTTAGGAGCTTATTACGAGGTATGATTAGCCACCTGAGTCTGTATAACCTGGGGCACAAAGTTTAACAGATCTATTCATGGGTTGGGATCTTTAGAGAGCTACTTCTCTGGGAAGAGTTTCCATAAAAAGGACTGGATGTTGGCTATGGAACAAAATCCTCTATTTATGAATAGTTCGTCCTTGTGTGCGCCACGTCTAAATCTGGGATCTGCAGATCATCCGCAGTACGAACATTCCTATACGATGATCTTCCTGGATTCGTTCTCAATGTCAGAGAAAGAATTTTCTTCACGAATACCATAGTGGTTTAATTCTCACCTGCACGTTGTTTATGCATATGCCATGGCAAAGGCTCGGGCCGATATACATTCGTGGAGGTGGATTCTATCACCGAAGAAAACCTATCTAGAGGTTAAATTAGCCTATGGTTCTACACCAAATGTATTTGATTTGCCGAACACCCATTTGACACCACACCCGGCAAAAATTCAAATCAATATTATTCCCTAGATATTCTATATCTTAAGTAATTTATATACTACTCGGTATTTGTTCTTTGGTTTACTATAGTCTAGTCCTATCTAAGAGTTGCACGCGGGTCGGGGGCCGGTCCCAGATTTTGAACCCGAACCCGACCCGCGTGCAACTCTACTCCTGACCTTCACAAACTTCAATTCAAGATATACCACATGAAGCAATAAGAATATCATGTTAAGCAGTTGTTTGAGAAATTCTTGTCCAAGAAACAAAGATATTGGTAGAATCTATACTCTGTATATAATTCTCATTTATCACTCTCGAATATAGCTTTATCAATACAATCTTTGTAAACTGATGGAGGGGAGTTGGGAGCTGCTTCTGTAGAGATATTATAAAGAGTATCGACTTCATATTGAAAATCACTAGACGCCATAGTAATTTTAACTATGGATGTATGGAGAAGAGGTAAAAGGGAGAAACTAATTTTACATACATTATTTTGCTTATAAGGAAGCAATTTCTATATACACAGGAAATAATGAATGCTCTGCGTGTTGAAACCCAGGATTATATTTTCTCCGATCCTGTACACACGCACAGCTGGTTGCCCTCGACAATAAATTTGGTCTTCGCATTTTGCAGAACGATGAAGGGAACCCTATAAATCTAGGAGAACCCGTATTAAGGCCGAAAAATGACATCCAAACAAGTAGATAATTGTAAGAAACCCGGTCATCGATGTAGACCTGTATAAAATATTCACGAACAGCGTGAAGAAATTCTATTTACTAGAAGATTGTTAGTTGTAGCCAAAGTGGTTGTTCTATATATAACTTACAGAAGAGCTTTCGCCATTGGGCTATTTAACACTTGCTGTTAGTCCTAATCACACGATCACTGTCATTCAGTAGCGGGATCACTTACACCAGTACCATGGAAAATACCGTTAATAGCACCATGGCCAAGCTCACTAGCCTCATCAACTACACCCTGAACGGCATCAGCTGTGACACTGTTCACAAGCCCTACAACACCTCCATCTTGACGCTTGACTCTGCTAGGGGCTTCACCATCCGGCTATTTATTATTGGCTGTTAGTTCCAACTGCACAATCACTGTTATTCAGTAGCAGGATCACTTACACCAGTACCATGGAAAATACCGTTAATAGCACCATGGCCAAGCTCACTAGCCTCATCAACTGTACCCTGAACAGCATCAGCTGTGACACTGTTCACAAGCCCTACAACACCTCCATCTTGACGCTTGTTGAGTGGTGCTGCCATTGCTGTGCCAAGCAAGAGGGCACCAAGAAAAGAAGTAAGCTGCATAGTTGCCGAAGCAGAGCAAAATAATATCGCCTGGGATAATGTCTAGTAAACAGATATAAATAAGAAGCGGTAGATAGTAGTTTTCCTGGATACTCGATTTCAGAGAGTAGAAGCTTTATTTATACAATTCAAAACAAAAAGCCAAGAAAAAAAAAAAAGAAGAAGAAGAAGCCCATTAATCCGACTGACGGAACTGAAAGGATCTGCAAGAGAACTGTCGATCTTGCAATCTCAGTATATTACACCCAATAAAGTTTAAACTCTTGGAGAGTAAATTGTTATTAGGTCAATGAATATATTTCTATTTTTTTATTCAGAGATACATACTTCGTAGCAAGGGGATAATATACGAGAATTTTGAATAGAACCATTTTAGTTTAAGTTAATCATAAGGAAATCTTGCCATGCTAGGAGGGATAAAATATTCAAGTATTACTACAGTAGGGTAAAACTGGTGAAGAAACACCACTTTTTAACATAGTTGTTATTAGAAGTAGAAATGCGATTGCTGAGCCGACACCCTTTACGACCGCCCCGTCCATGTCCGCCGCGCCGTATCCCGTATAGATTATCCAGTCTCCGGATATAATTTCCATAATATACCGGTCTCCATGAACTATCACCTCGGCTAATTTGGTTCGCCCACATAAATGAAGATTAATCTATTAAGATCAGTAATTTATTGGCAGAAGCGAGCTCATTGATTATAGGGTGGAATTAGCTCATCTGATTTCTTCGTATACTCTGGGGCATAAAGTTCAATAGATCCACCCGTGAGTGAAATCTTTCCAAGAAAATTATCTCTCCGCGGATACTTTCCGTAGCAAGGCTTCGAAGTGTTGTGTATGCTAACTAAATGTATAAAGAACTCCCCCTGTTCATGAACTTCATGGATTATATTGTATACACTCAACTGCAATAATAAGTGTACCGCATCTAGAGCTAGGCTTTGGGATCTGCAGATCTTGGATTGTATACCTGCCACACTGTGTTTGTTCAATGGATTTTGTTTCTCTACAGTGGAGATGCGAGTCCACAGACCCAGCCCAGCTGAGGCAGTGCCCCATTATATTGTGGAATCACATAGACAGTTTAGGTCCAAATCAGCTCGAGTTCAGCTCGCCACTACTTGGTGGGTTTGGATCTAGTGATCATGCAGATCATTTCGGCAACATTGTAGCCGATCACAATACACCAATCTTTTGATACAGTATTCCGCGGAGAGAGCCGGCTACTCCACACCGGAATTCCTCTTAAGGTTTATTTAACATAACCAGGAGTTTGTTAAACCAACTAACGTAAGCCACGGCCGAACCGCGAATTTCTATTTCTTTCCTAATCAATATTATTCCATGCGTCAATTCTTTACCACTACTATACAAAATGCCGCTTTCTAAAGAAACTCGAATGCAGATGGCTATTACTGCATATAAAAACAAAAAAAATTAAATCAAAATTAAAGACTGCTAGAACTTTTGGTGTACCTGAAAGCACCCTTCGCGAGCGGCTTGCTGGTGTTAAACCACGGTCAGAAACACGCGCCAATAGTCATAAATTGACTATTACTGAAGAGGAAGTTCTTGTAAATAGACTGCTAGATACAGATAAACAAGGATTTCCAATTTGGCCAGAGTTTCTGTGTGGAATGGCGCAGATTTTACTCTATAAAAGGATACAAGATATTACTGTATCTCTTGGAGTTAACTGGGCTTATTCCTTTACTAAACACTGTCCTGAGCTATGTACGCGATATACAAGACATCTGACATATTAACATACAAAGCAGGAAGATCCAAGGGTTATAAAACCATGGTTTCAAGCAGTATATAAAGCTATCCAAGAACACAGTATATATAAAGATAATATCTAGAATTTCAACGAGACAGGATTTGTAATGGGACTCTGCTCTATTTCTAAAGTAATTACTGCTGTTGATCGCAGTGAGCGACCACACAGAGTTATCCAAGACAATTGTAAATGGGTAATAATTATTGAAACAGTCAGTTCAAAAGATATATATATATATACTACCAGTTATTATACTTAAAGCAAGCTACCAACAAGCTTTCTGGTTTCAGGAATATAAGCTTGCTAAAGACTGATAGATTGTAACTAGCAAGAATGGCTGAATAACAGATAAAATAGACCTTCACTAGTCAAGAGATATATTTGAACCCTACTCTAAGTGCTATATAACCGATGCTAAGCAACTACTTATTCTTGATAGTTATAGCAGCTATCTGACTACTGATTTCGATAACTTCTGCAAGTAGAATACAATTATCTGTCTCTGTATATCTGTATATACTTCGCAGCTTCTTCAACCGCTTGATATTGGTGTTTTTGGCCCGCTTAAATGCGTATATAGAAAGCTTCTTAAAGAATATATAGTTGCCGGCAATAATTATATTGATAAGGAAGACTTTCTATCTCTATATCCAGATATACGCGCTAAAGTATTTACTTCAGTAAAGATCTACAGTGATTTTGCAGGAGCAGGGCTTAAGCTATTTAACCAAGAGTGTGTTCTTTCAAAGTTTACCTTTCAACTATATACACCAACACTACCACTAGCTGAAGGCTCAATTTCCTCTGCTTTTCAAACTCCTCAGAATACCCGTCAGCTAGACCGGAAGATCCGCAGTCTACAGAACAGTCTTAATACAAAACAGAAGCTTTCTAGCAGTCCAATTGCTCATATTCAACACCTTGAAAAAGCTGCGCAAATGGCCATGCATACCAATCTTCTTTTACAACAAGAAATCAAGGTTGTACGAGCTGAGAATGAGCGGAAATATAAGAAAAAGGCTAGGAAACGTGCTATAATAGGGGACGATAGGCTTTTAATGGTACAGGAAGCAGAAAATCGCGTTCAGCAGCTTAATACACAGTTTAATGAGCAGCCTGAGCAACCTACACATGTGCCTCGACGACGGGCTCCTCAACGCTGCAGCGGCTGTGGGACAGTTGGACATACTATTCGAAATTGCCCTAGTAAATAGCCTTTTTTTTTCTATAATTTTTAATTAATCAGTTTAATGGTGTTGGTGGTTGAAAAGCCTCAGGAAATTGAAATTTAATTGAAAACTCGCGGTTCGGCCGTATTCGCGGTTCGGCCGTGGCTTACGTTAACTAAGTAACTTGATTATGTAAGCGATCTGCTCATCCTACACAATTTTCCATATCTCCTAGAACTAAAGCCATCTGAAATGCCGGAAAATCTGTATTTATATAAAAGATTTAAATAACCTGCCGATTAGAACATTGACAAATCCATAGCCAGTGCACTTTGGTAAAGTGTACAGACGCTAAATTGCTGTCTGACCTTTCTATAGTAGATATGGCTAGTACCTCAATTCTCGCGCTCCTATTTTCCTCGTGCACGGTAGAGCGACGATTGTGGGAAGTACTCCAGTGACAACGCTCACTCCCTTCCTGGCAAATCAGAATCCCCTACTCTGTACTCCGTAGATGGTATGCCATCCATGGTGCTCAGTCCCCTGAAACCTCTTCAGGCAGCTGCACCCTCAGCCAAGATGCCAAGAACACTTTTCGATGATCAAGTGGGTCGACCTACTTAGGTGCCGAGGGGGTCAGTTTAGCCTGGTTCCACGAAAAGGCATTTCCAGGTGATATATGGTTTTTTTTTTAGTAAACAGGGTTCAGAATTATTCGGCACCAGTAAAACTTAGTTCAAGTTAGTAAAAAACAGTATAACAGAAAGATTCATCTACAGTTTCAAACTGATTGTAATAGTTATATAATGATATATTACTATCTTGAGATTGCAAGTAGCGGTATGCTATGAGAGGTAGAGAGTTGCCGACCTCCTACTAAGGGTAGGGGTCGCTACGCCCTTTATATACACAGGGTAGTTAAGCACCGTAGGGTTAAGCCCGTGGTGCAGTCACTAGGGCCGTAGCTAAGGGGAAAGGTCCCCCTCACGTAGCTCTATAGTACCGTTACCTCAGCGTAGCTGCGATCACACTAGAAAAGTAATAAATTATCAAGTCTATACTAATACCAAAATTATAACAAAACAATCGAGTATAATAATATAAATCTCATTTCATTCTGTCCCTTGCATAGATCAGGATACATTCTCACATATGATTTACAATGACTTGATCAAATCCCCCAGCATATCCGCTACGCTGACTGCAAACTCAGGATCATTGATAGCTCTCGGATCCCTGACAATAGAGATCCCAGTCCCCTTCAACTCCTCCTCCAACGTAGAAAACAACACTTCATCGACCTCAGGATCAAAAAATGGCTGACCAGGGGTATCAATCATACTAATCCCTCCAGTAGGCAGCATCAGACAAATCAACTCGGGCTTCACAGCACAAGTCCTCAACTTCTCCGCAATAAACCTGGCCACCTCCACCGTCTCCTCAGCATTGGGCCTCACCAACGTGACTGTCGGATTATGCTCATAGATCAGCCGTCCCGCATACCGCTCCGGAATAGTATTCCGCGGCCCAAAATTGACCATATCGCAAGCCCCAACACTGACCACCTGCGGAATGCCCGCCCTCGCAGCAGCAGCCAACCGCTCCGGCCCAGCAGAGAGTACACCCCCCATAACCTCATCGACAACCTCACTCGTTGTCAAATCCACAACAGCATCCAGCTGTCCTTCCCGGATAAGTCGTTCCATCGCCTTCCCCCCTGCCCCCGTCGCATGAAACACATAAACCTCAAACCCGTAGACATCTTCCAAATGGGCCCGAATGCGATCCACACCCGGCGTCGTCACCCCAAACATAGTAATTCCAACCCTCTTCTTCCCCTGAGAACCCCCATCACCGCCGTCGCCCTGGCCCTGAGATTTTGCCCTCACCAAAGAATCAAGATATCCCCTGGCCATCCCAAACACCGCACACGCAGCATTCCTCAAGATCCCCTCTAGAATCCAATTCCGCCCCGCAATATCAACAACACTATACATCATCGTCACATCCGTCTCCTCAACATAAGGCTTAACATCCCCACTCGCCATCGTCGAGACCATCAGTTTGGGGAACCCAACGGGCAGGGCATTCCGCATCGCTGCCGTCGCGATATTCGTCCCGCATGACCCGCCTATTGAAATAATGCCGTGGATTTTGTTCTCCTTGTACAAATCTGCGACGATGGTGGTGGCGTGGTCGGAGGCAGCTTTTATGTATTCGGCTCGGGGAGCGGGGAGGTCTTTCTGGGGGATTGTGTAGTTGATTTTGAGGTCGGTTGGTGTTGGTGGTGGTTTCGGGGGTTGGCGGCTGACGTCTAGGACTAGGATGTTTGGTTGGGGAGTTTGGGTGAGGAGGGTGTGGTAGGTGTAGGTTAGTTCGGGGGTTTTGGTGTCGAAGGTTCCTAGGAGGAGGATTGTGGGGGGTTGCATGTTGGGTATTTTTGTATTTGATCGGTTTGTTGTTGAGTGGTTGTTTGTATGATGAATGTCTGTATAGGTGGTGATGTAAGTGGGGTTGAGGGGGTTATATAGTGGAAGTGGTGGTGGTGGTGGTGGTGGTGGTGGTGGTGTAGTAGATGGTGTTTATGGAGTTGATGTTGGGATAGAATACTAAATATGTTCGATTGATTTATCCAAGAGGAAGATGGCTGAGAGTTAGGTTAAGCTCGGTGGTATTTAACTTGCGTGTGTTGGATTGGTTGATTTTATAAATTGATTGATGTGCTGTTTGGTGGGGTGACGTCGCATTGGTTGTATCATCGTGCAGATGGAGGGAAAGTCGGGTTGGGTTAGTGATATGTCACTCTAACACCACAAATTGACATGCATGGTATATGAAGAGGTGACGATGAAGTATATTTAGTGTACATGAACAATTATCTTATGGTTCCGCTTAATAGAAATATCACATAGTACCCCTAGACGCTGTGTTTTCTCTAGCCACACCTTTACAATCTTTCCGATACCCAAACTTTGAGAAGATCTATATTAGCACCTTAGCCCCCATTCTTAACCCCATCCTATAATACACGATGAAGATCCAGTGACTCTGTTCTCTTCTGACCGCCCAGCCTTGCCTTTGCTAGGCCAACCGACACCCAAAGAACTCATTTACAAAGAGATACCCAAGGGGGAATCCACCGCGATATTGAATGCTTTGCCAGAAATTTCAGAAAGACCATCAAAAATGACTGCGACGGTTCCAGCGAGCCGTTTTCCAAATGCGACATTCTTGAGGAACTTGAGGCTCAAGTAGTCAGGGGTTTCGACCAGCCCAGCATCTCGAACTTCGACGGAGTCGACGCCGCAACCGCTGATAGTTTATCCCTCGTGAAGACCATTGAAAATAATCCGTTGATATTGCAAGTAAGGAAGACATCGCTTAACTAATCTCTTCATGTTTAGCTGTCGGGCTTCTCAGAAGTCGAGAACGATCCTAATATGGACTCTGCCGATAAAGAGGGGGGTTCTCCAGGCTGTTAAGGAGGTAAAACAGGTGATTGATGACATTGACAAGAAGTGTGTTCGAACGGGGGAGTAAATGAGGGTCGTTGGTTTGCGTGGGGGACCAAGGTTGAAAGGGTGTATTTAGTTATATTGTGGGATAAAGGTTCTGTTACAGGTCAAGGAGTATCTGTCGATTTATTAGTAGGTATCAAGCTTGTTCTGTTCCCAGCTTAAATATATACTTATTGTAGTGGGATTGCACTGAGAGGACGTGAGTTTTGACCCTCGGGATTTGACCTAGTACTAGCGATGTCCGCGCCAATTTACAATGGTATAGTTAGTACATCCAATCTTTAGTATTCTACTAGTAGGAAATTACAGAGGTTATGAACTGGTTTCGGACGGTCAGGGTGTTGGTGCCGGTTGTGGATGGGTTGGAGACGAATCTGGCGAGGAAGAGGAGGATCAGGGTTACAATGGGTAGGATTGTTGTGGTTGCTGAAAGGGAATCGGGAGAGGGAGGTGAAGGCTTGTGGTCCTTGCCCAGGCGATACTATTTTTTCGTTGTTTGTTAATGTTTTTTGTTTTGTCGGGAATGGGATGACGTACGCGCCGAGGATCATAGAGATGGTTGTACACTGTTTGGGGTTTTGTTAGTTTGGTCTGCTTTTATTTGGTGTTGAAAGGAAAATCAACAATGGAGATGGAGGAGGTGATGAGTTGGATCATGTGCGAGGCGACAGGTTGACAGTGACGCATTTCCGTCTCAGAACTTGTACAAAGAGTATGTACTGAGTAAAGGTTACAAAACTACTGTCGATAATAAAGTAGGGTAATGAAGTGGGGGGGGGGGTCAAGGGTAGATGAGTAAATGGTACTCATTGGTGATACGCATAGATCACCACAAATGACCCTTGGCTCCTTGACATCTATTTTGTTTGCCCCCTTGGTCTGTAGGGAATTTCTACTTGTGTTACAGGGTGAAAGGTGCCTAGTGAAGTTCTATCGGCTGGCCATTATAACATCAATGCATACCTCAGGCACCAAAATTAGCCCTAGACCTAGAAGGAACGGCTACCTCCTTTCGACAGCACACACATCTTACTACTGGGGAGATGAGTCTATTGAAGCGAGAGCTAGGGCCTTATATCTTATCCTAGTACTTGGGCAGTACATAGATATGATAACCTATGCCATAGGTAATCATGCCCCGCCGATTTGAGTTGCCATCGGGGTACAGTGTTGGGCAATTGTTCCCTCTGGGGTATTAAGTTCCAGCTTTTCTGGAGATTGGGAGTGTATGGATGGGAAAAGGTAATATCATGATATCTGTACGCTTTCGACTTCTGTCACCGGTATTTGTTGACAATAGCCCATGTTTACATTACTACACAAACGTTGCAGACTACGTAAATATATATCCCATAGAATAACCATCTATGACCAAAACTAGACCAAATTCAAATCCCAAAATAAAGTTACTAGACTGACCTTTATGCGATCAATAAAACAAGTCCTTCCTGAACAATATACGCTCTGTTTACAGGGTTCGTGATATACAGTACATAGCAGTGCAAAACATTGATAAGATAGCTTACAAAAAAAAAAAAAAAAATGACGTCGCAACAAAGGTGGGGTTGAAGAATGAGTTGTTCATTTAACGTCACAATCAGACCACATTTGATGTTCTTCTCCTCTTCCTCTCTAATAAACCAACATTGACCTACCTCACATACATACACCTCTAACCCAGAAAACAACATTATCAATCTCTGAAGAGTCAAGCCAGCTAAACCAAACAAAATGCCCCGCCCAACCACCCGCCAAGAAGTGCTCGACCGTCTCCGCAAAACCGTCGCGGACGGGAAGATCATCGTCGGTGCTGGTGCTGGTAATGGATTCCTCTGATTTTATAAGTAGAGTTGTGTATATTAGGAGTACGCTAACAGAGTAAAAATGCAGGAATTGGCTTAACTGCCAAATTCATCGAAAAGGGCGGCGCTGACCTCATCCTCGTGTATAACTCGGGCCGGTTCCGTATGGCCGGTCGAGGTTCGTTGGCGGGGATGATGCCCTATTCTGATGCTAATCAGGTCGTTGTTGAAATGGTAATATCCTACTTATTATATTATCTACGTTACATGTTCTATCGATATACTGTTACCTACGTACCTACCTTATTTCCAGTCTCAGCAATAAACTTTACACAATACCGACACCAATTTACAACCAAACTAACACCATCACTATTAAAAAGGCCTCCGAAGTTCTCCCTATCGTCGAAAACACCCCAGTACTAGCCGGCGTCTGCGGCACCGACCCCTTCCGTGACATGTGCACATTCCTCACCGAACTCCGCCGGCTCGGCTTCATCGGCGTCCAAAACTTCCCCACAGTAGGCCTCATCGACGGTAAGTTCCGCCAGAACCTCGAGGAAACCGGTATGGGTTACGACCGGGAGGTGGAGATGATTCGGATCGCGCACGAGATGGACCTCGTCACGACGCCGTACGCCTTTACTGTGGATGAAGGTGAGCGGATGGCGCGCGCCGGTGCGGACATCATCGTTGTCCATGTGGGGTTGACGACATCTGGAACCATTGGTGCACAGACAGCGCTATCCTTGGATGACTGTGTTACCGTGATCCAGGAGATTAGGGATGCGGTTGTAAAGATTAATCCGGATGTTATTGTGTTGTGTCATGGGGGGCCGTTGGCGGGACCTAAGGATGCGGAGTACGTATTGAAGAGGACGAAGGGGGTGCATGGGTTTTATGGCGCGAGTAGTATGGAGAGATTGCCGGTGGAGATGGCCATTCAGGAAAATGCCGAGGCGTTTAAGAAGTTGCAGGTTAATGTTTAGTATGTCTCTTTTCTTGTCTCCGGGTGATGCGAATTGTATGTAAGCCGCGCTGCAGGCAAGTTTACCGATCAAGCTGATGGATATTCCCCGTCTTGTCGGCGCGTCACCGGGCCATGCGTACGGGCTTCGGCTACGTTCGAAGCCTCCTAGATCGGACCCGATGGATGCCATCCTTGGGTCAGCAAGCCAATCGTGAATTGGCAAGGCTAAGCATTTATTGGCTCTCTACTTTCAGACATGATTATTGGAGGGTCAAGAGACAAGCACGACAAGCATTTTTGTACCTTCCTAACACGGTACTCTTTGGCGCTGCCCCGTGGAGTCCCGGATATAACGATGGGCAAATATGTGGAGGAAGAATGAGAAAGTGTGGGGTTGTTTACCCGAAGTTGTCCCGGTAAGGGCCAAAGCCTACGTCACGACACGAATATCTCTCTGCAGTTTCGCGATGAAAATTAGCTTTGAACAGCCGTTGATAATCAAAAGCTGCTTCTCTATGGCATGCAGCGATATCTATACTACGGAGAACACTAGACATGACGAACCGCTCGGCATACCGACTATGGGAAGCTCACCAGGGTTGAATCCGAATATCCTGTTGTGGTAACCGGTACGGCGGTGACTCTCCGAAAGTCATGCAATTTTTAGGTTCTTCTCTATCGGCCGGCAATAAAGCCGTCTTAACCGGACCACCTAGAGTGGGCTCGCTGCTCGGCTGAAGCCCGTAATAGTGAAGCTAACGAAGCCAGTCATTATTCATGACATCGCATTAGCCGCTAGTCATTCTTTGAAAGTCAATCATACTCGGCTCCCATCAATATACACCCCACGAGTGGATCTGCGAGCCCTCTGGGGCCCTCTGGGGTATCTCCGGGGTGGGATGCCCGAAGAAATGCCTCAAGTAAAGACATTTAAGAGAGAAGCCATGCCTTCCCGAGTCTTGACTGAATTGGAGAGCCTCGACATCCAGTCGTCATGTTGTCACCACAAGCTCTGTTCGGAGCGTTGGTACTGCTCTCTGCTCCTTCGGCGGTGGTAGCCGACACCTGCCAGGCACCGATTAACCACCCAGGAGAGCCTTTCAGCTATGTTCAGCCCCTTAACACCACTATCCTGACCCCTTATGGCAACTCTCCACCTGTCTTGCCTTCACGTAAGTAACCTCTATCCATTACATTCTCCGTAGGTTGGAGTTTGTGGACTTCTGATCTGACACTGAGCAGCAAACACTACCGGCAATGGTGGCTGGGAAACTGCTTTGGTGAAAGCCAAACGATGGGTGAACAAGCTTACGCTTGAAGAGAAGGCCTGGATGGCAACAGGCCAGCCTGGTCCCTGCGTTGGCAACGTTCTCCCTATCCCACGTCTCAACTTCAGTGGCATCTGCCTCCAAAACGGACCTCAATGCGTGCAGCAGGGAGATTACTCTAGTGTCTTCGTTAGCAGCGTTTCAGCCGCCGCAAGCTGGGACCGCAAGTTACTGTATGATAGAGCGTATGCATTGGCCGAGGAGCACAAAGCAAAGGGCTCCCATGTCATCTTGGGCCCCATCGGAGGACCTCTGGGCCGCAGTCCCTACGATGGTCGTACCTGGGAGGGCTTCGCTGCTGACCCTTACCTCACTGGTGTCTGCATGGAGGAGACTATCAACGGCATGCAAGATGCGGGTGTTCAGGCAAATGCAAAGCATTTCATTGCCAACGAGCAAGAGACGCAGCGCAACCCCACATATGCCCCGGATGCCAACGAGACTACCTATATCCAGGATTCAGTTTCTGCCAACATCGATGACCGTACGCTGCATGAGATCTATATGTGGCCGTTTGCAAACGCCGTTCGTGCCCGAGTTGCTAGTGCTATGTGCTCGTACAACCGTTTGAATGGTTCTCACTCGTGTCAGAACTCCTACCTTCTCAACCACCTTCTTAAGGGTGAGCTTGGCTTCCAGGGATATGTCATGTCTGACTGGGGTGCTACTCACAGTGGTGTGGCATCAATCGAGAGTGGAATGGACATGACCATGCCCGGAGGATTCACCCTTTATGGTGAGCTTTGGACGGAAGGGTCCTTTTTCGGCAAGAATCTCACCGAAGCTGTGCAAAACGGCACTGTTCCAATGTCCCGTCTGGATGACATGATCGTGCGCATCATGACTCCTTACTTCTGGCTTGGCCAGGAAAAGAATTACCCAAGCGTGGACGCTTCCGTCGGCCCTCTCAATGTAGATTCGGCCCCCGACACCTGGCTCTACGACTGGAAATTCACCGGTGCCACCAACCGTGACGTTCGGGCAAACCATAGTGTCATGATTCGCGAGCATGGAGGTCAGTCGACGGTACTGCTCAAGAACGAGCGCAACGCATTGCCCCTCCGCAAGCCCCGTAACATTGTGATCGCCGGAAACGATGCCGGCCCTCTCACGCAAGGTCCCAACCTTCATGCCGACTTCGAGTATGGTGTCCTCGCAGGCTCCTCTGGCTCTGGTTCCTGCAGGTTTTCGTACCTGTCAACACCGCTTGACGCTATCAATGCTCGGGCCCGCAAGGATGGCTCCCTGGTCCAGTCTTATCTGAACAACACCCTGCTCACCACGACGGCATTGACCTCCCCGCTGTGGATCCCCCAGCAACCCGACGTCTGCCTCGTGTTCCTCAAGTCCTTCTCCGCGGAAGGTGAAGACCGAACCTCGTTGGAATTCGACTGGAATGGCAATGCCGTCGTGGAGGCCGTTGCCACCCACTGCAACAACACCATTGTCATCACGAACTCGGGCGGCGCCAACGTCATGCCCTTCGCCGACCACCCCAACGTCACCGCTATCCTAGCTCAGCATTACGCCGGTGAAGAGACTGGAAATGCCATTGCTGACGTCCTCTACGGTGACGTGAACCCATCGGCCAAATTGCCGTATGTGATCGCATACAACGAGTCCGACTATAACGCCCCCTTGACCACCGCCGTGCAGACCAACGGTACCTACGACTGGCAGAGCTGGTTCGACGAAGAACTCGAAGTCGGCTACCGGTACTTTGACGCGCACAACATCTCCGTGCGCTACGAGTTCGGCTTCGGCTTGAGTTACACTACCTTTGACCTGAATGACCTCAAGGCAAAGGGCTCTGCCGCTGCCAATCTTACCGCTCTCCCGGCTAAGCGGCCCACCGAGCCAGGTGGTAACCCCGCCCTTTGGGAAACGGTCTACACCCTGGAGGCCGAAGTGTCCAACACCGGGGATGTTGCTGGATACGCTGTACCCCAGCTGTACGTTCAATTCCCTACTTCCGCGCCCGCTGGTACCCCGCCAAGCCAACTTCGTGGTTTCGACAAGATCTGGCTTGAGGCTGGTGAGAAGAAGACGGTCAAGTTTGGCTTGATGCGCCGTGATGTCAGTTACTGGGATGTTGTTGCCCAGGACTGGCGTATTCCTGCTGGAGCTTTCACCTTTAAGGCTGGGTTTAGCAGCCGTGATTTCCGCGCGAACAGTGTTGCGACGCTGGTTAAGGCATGATTATGATTATGACGTTATGGGTTTTGAATCGACTTTTTAAGAGGCCTTAAAAGGTACTTGGGATGAGTTGTAGAAGAGTTAATGAGAAGAGGTATCAAGTCGACCTCTTTTTGCAGGTGTAGATAGAATATTCGCAGGCTTTTAGAGCCAATTGTATCTATTGATACTCCTATCCAAATGAGAGCAATCCTATTATTGATACATATCTGTTTAAACAACGTACCACACTAGCATCCTAGAACATATTTTTCACCTGCATGGACTTCATCGCTGGATTCCACCGTTACTTCAATTCTCAATCGGACGGTAGCAGTGCTATGATGGTGGGATGGTGGGATGGTGACAATGTTAATGAAGATAAGATAAAGGATGGATGTACCACCGGAACCCAAAAGGGTAATTTTCCGTAGGTGGAGATGAAGAATATCCATGAGATCCACAGAAACCCTTCAATGACCCATTGCGCGGGCAAATCGGTAGGAAGCGGTTAAATAGATTTGTATTTAAACGGCGCAGTATTGGGTATGCGATCTAGACTATATAAACCAGTCTTGTCGTTCCTGGCGCGTGATCAGAGTATTCAGAATTTGTATCTATAACCTATAACTGTGGGAACTTCCGTCTACATCCTCAAGTCCCTGTACAGTACATACTTACCCTCTACATTAACCTCCATAAAAACGCCTCCACAAAATGTCCAGACCCCTAGAAGGCAAATTCGGTATCATCACCGGCGGTTCGCGGGGTAAGTCCAACTCCATTCCCTACAGCCCACCCATTCCCCCACCAAGCAACTCAATTAACACACAAACCCCCAGGAATCGGTGAAGCGATAGCCCGCAACCTCGCCTCAAAAGGCTGCTCTCTACTCCTAAACTATACTTCCGCGAGTTCCCAATCGCGGACCGAAAACCTCTGCACCGAGCTCGCAAGCCAACACTCCATAAAATGTCTCTGTGTGCAAGCCGACCTCCTCCACACCGAAGAAGCAGTAACCACAATCCTCAACAGCGCTAAGGAAAACTTCGCCTCCGAGACGACAGGAGCCCTTCAAGTCGACATTCTAATCAACAACGCAGGCGTGAGCCAGGACCGCTTCCTCAACGACGAGGAAAAGGGCCCTATGGACCGCGAGTACTTCAATTGGCACTATACCATTAACGTGCTTGCGCCATTGCTGCTAACGCAGGCTGTTGCGCCGTTCTTGCCTACCGATCGCAGTGGGCGCATTGTTAATATCTCCAGTGTGTCGAGCAGTATTGGATTTACGGGCCAGACGGTGTATGGAGGTACTAAGGCGGCGTTGGAAGCGATGACGCGGACGTGGGCTAGGGAGTTGGCGGATCGGGCTACAGTTAATTCGGTGAATCCGGGGCCGGTTATTGGGGATATGTATTTTGCTACTGGGGAGGCGTTTTGGCAGCAGATGCAGGGATGGCTGGATAATACGCCGTTGAGTAAGGTTGTGGACGGGGATGAGAAGATGAAGAGCTTGACGGATGAGCAACGGTATTTGATTAAGGAGAAGATGGGGGGCAGACGGCCGGCTTTTACTAGTGAGATTGCGGGGGTGGTGGGGATGTTGTGTACCCAGGATGGGTTCTGGTGTACGGGCAGTGTGGTGTGTGCTAATGGGGGCATGAAAATGGGTCTCTGATTTATTTTATATGTTTTCTTTCTTTCTTTCTTTTTTTTTTTTTAATAAATATGAGCAATTGGTATAGAATTAGTGTTTTTCTTTAGTTTGGACTGTGTATGGATGTTACTTGAGAAAAGTAGGGCAAAGGAATGCACATGAATACATTAGTCAAGTACCGACGTCATCCCTCGGACATTTTAATCACCCCATTTATCTCCAACTCTCCTACTCCGGACTTTTAACTTCCAATTCAACCATTCCCATCTACTCAATTCCATCTCAACAACAAAAATTCAAGCCCTTCAACTGAGAAAAGCAAGAAAATATCAACCATGCCTCCCCTGCGTACAACCTCCCTCCGCCTCCTGCGTCCCTCCCGGGCCATCACCGCAACCCCCATCCGCAACCTCCGACCACTATCAACATGTCTTCCAAAACATACCTCACCAGGCATGCTCATAACAACCAAACCCGTTTTTCTATCTAGTCCCCAATTCGCGACTCAAACAAGGTGGAGATCAACCCAAACCTCCAGCGGCAAAAGCCAAGCCGACTTAATGGTCGAAGAACTCCAAGAACTGTATATCCCCTTCCCTAAGCCCCCGAATCCCTATCTCCATATTTAAGTGAACATCTTACTAATTGGAACAAAAGCTACGAAACTGCTAAAGACGAGTTCGAAATCGCAACCGACAGCACAAACGGCACGACCATCTACGCGGCCTCGGACCGGGAGTCGGCGCGCGACGCATTGGATCAGCTGAGCGCGGTGTTTGCGCTCTATACGACCGAGATGCCCTCGTATGAGGAGTCGCATCAGCCGCAGCAGACACAGCCGGATGATTCCGGGAGTCAGATTGTGTCGACGTATTTTGATCCGGGGGATATTGCGCCTGAGGTCCGCCAGGAGGTTAAGAGGAGGGTTGGGCAGCGGGTGAGGGAGTTGGCGAATGCGGTGGAGGCGTTGGAGGAGAGGGCTAAGGATGATTAATTATTGGTTTAGTCTGTGAGTTTAAATGCGGGGGTAATGGATAATGGATTGTTGGGCATTGGTTGACGACGGTATCATGATATTGCATTGTTGCCATTATTCCGTGGTGTGATGCTGTTTATCTGCTGACATAGCAAACTTATACTATACATGACTTGTAAAATAGACGAATCGTCATCAGACAGCTCGTTAATCATCATATATCCAACCTAGGTATCTCTTTTTTGTGTTCTGCGAATAGTCCTGCATGTAATGTAAATCCGACCACTAGATATATATTCCAACTCCGGTCGCGCCATTCCCGTGTCGACAGTAGGTTGTAAAGTAGGTATAATAGGGCCTGAGAACTCCAAACTCTAAACGATGGGGAAAGAGAGTGTAAACTGTTCTGAAACGGGGGACATCACGGTCGAACTGTCGTGTTTGTGGGTTGATCTCATATGTCGCTTCAGTTGGTCTGGCATGGTCAGCATGGGGAACGCCAGTAGATGTCGTAGGCACTCACCAGGTCGAGTAAAGCTCTTGGTACATCCTGGGTAAATGCATTTGTGTTTCCGTTCACCATGTGCTGTATCTATTAGCATCGCAGCTGGCAAAAAGATGGACTACAATATACTTAAGCGGTGGCTAGACATGTTTGATGACTGCACGAATTACGTTAGCATTGTCTGGCCTCAAGTAATGGATAAGCTAGGCACTCACATCACCGGTCTGAAAGTTACATCCAGGAAAGGTACATTTGAAGGGTTTCTCTCCGGTGTGCGTCCGTGAATGGGTTTCTATTCGGTCAGCACGAGTCATCGCACACCATATGATTGCACATACTCAGTTCACTACTGTCCGTGAAAGCTTTCCCGCATTCAGAGCACTTGTAGGGCTTCTCCCCCCGATGGCTTCGTTCATGCCGTTCCAACGTTGCCTGTCGAGCGAAAAATTTGCCACAGACGGAGCATTTAAAATTTTTGTCTTCCCTGTGTGTCAGTTTCTGTCCGTGATAAGGACGGGTGAGGACTTACAGTTGCTATGGGTCAGGAAATGGCCTTGTAACTTTGACTTCTGCGAGAATGGTTCATCCGGACGGTGGCAGCCCTCCCAGCAGCAGTAGTATCCGGTACCCTTGGCGCCATTGATGGTTGACATGTGTTGCGCGATCAAATGCTCCTGAAGAGTACAGGAATCAGAGAATTGTGCACCGCAAATAGTCTTGACGCCACTTGACGTGGTAGTCCACTTGCAAATATGCACTTCGTTCTCGGTCGGAGTAACCGGGCTCGTCAGCACCGACGGTGTCCCGCCCTCCAGAGGTGGAGGGCTATCTCCCGGGCTAGATATCAACTGCGAGCTCACGCTGGAGCGGGACTGGCGGGAGTATGGTGAATAATGTCCGTACGGGTGCACATGAGCATGCGCATGCGTGCGACAGCGGTGGTGCGTGCGACAAGGGCCCCTCGAGGGGTTACTGTGGATATGTACCGGGCTTTTCATGAGGTCGTTAAGATTAACATTAGGCGGGATATGGAAACAGGCGAATGAATTAGAACCAGTGTCAGGATTCGGTTTGTTAACATGGTCGCAGTTCGTGTTTTCGTGTACATGAAAGTTTTGACAGGCAGAAAGGTCGGGACACATTCCTAGCATGTGGAATACATCTGCCGGATTAACACCGTTCTGAACCGGGAACGGCTGGTGCATCATGTTGCCGTGAGCGTCTTTAGAGGAGTCATGGAAATGAAAATGAGGGAAACTGTGCGAGTGGCAATGGGCGACTGGGATCGAATGCTGAGGGAAGAGGGAGTCCATAGAGGGCTGAGGAGCCACCATCTCCGAAGTTACATTACCCGTTGTTTTGGGCAGTTGATCTCCTTGCGATTGTCCAACTGTACATGCCGAAAGTAACTCGTTGGATTCCAGATTAATGGGGCCTGCTAGCCCTAAAAGAGACTCCAAGGTATGGTCTGCAACAGTTGCATCGTTACCATTATTACCAAAGCAGTGTTCATCAAAGCAAAGGGTCTCGGCGTTCTCGCAATGCGTATCGTCACAGCCATCATTGCAGTGGGTGTCAGTGCATACGGTGTCATCGCACTCCACGAGCCCATCGCATACCGAAGGACAAGTGATGGAGCAGTCGTCCATGTCGCAGCAGGCGTCGTCGACATGGCAGTGGTCGAGCGAGGCGTCATGTCCCTCGCCTGAGCAATCCCACTGGGATGTTGCGGGGGCATCCGACTGGTTCTCCGATTCTTTCCCGTCTATGTGAAACGACTCCCATTGACACTCGAGGCAGTAATCGTCCTTTTTAGTGTGAGAAGCCATGGTGTACGGCAAACCCAACCGACGCCACTTGACGTCGGGACAGTCTCCTGGTATCCGGGAGAGAAATTAGACCGTTGGGTTTGAATCCAGGAACAAAGTTCACGAAGGGTCAAACGCAAGTGCCACCCGGAGAGAAGGTAAGAGAAGAGTGAGGCGGGGGGAGATCACTCGGCGATATGGGGTGTTTGTCCTTGAGCACATCAGACTTCGCAAGCGTTAGCCCACATCGCCACCACGCGATCGAGCAGACGGGTATACTACATACCAATAAGAAGGATCGCAATCTTTCCAGTTGCAGAAACCACGGGGATAATAACCGAGATTGTCAACCAGGCTCAACCAGCCATGCACAGTGCGTCACGATCGCCTGGAATGGCCGGTGCAATTGGAAGCGAAAAAACCTGACCGCCTGGGGCATGAGGGACCAGAGGGGGGCGAGGACCTTGGGAGCGTTCTGAGATGTATAAAATGAAGTGATCTTCAGTATAGAGTTATGATTCGCTTTGCGGTGATTCTATCACACATAAGTTTCAGTCACCAAATCCAGACAACGGTTGAGGACCTTGGGAGAAGTGGAAAGCGGCCTGTGAGTACCTTGCGGGTTAGGGCGTCATTGCCCGCCTTGCCTCGGCGAATGAGCGTGCCCAGATTTGTGAAGTCCCCTTTTATCTCGGTACCAAGTTTTTCAGGCATTCAAAAAGGTTTTTTGCTGTATGTGTTCAGAGTAGGATTAACTAGTAGTCTGTGACTGCCTCATTGGGTCACGGGTGAGGCGGGTGGGAAGGAAAAAAAAAAATAAAAGAAAAAAGGAAAACTGTAAATTCTCAAAAGGCAGATTACCTGTGGAATCAGGCTGTTTCATTTCCCACTTCCCCTGGCACCACTTTTTTCCCAGAGCGGAACCCACTGATGTTCGTCGATGGCCCTACGAATCGCCCTATAACCATGGATCCGGTCGAACAGAGATAGGCTGTGTGTACATGAGCCCGTAATAGTAGTAGAAGACATATTGTCAGCAAAGAATACTCCTCATCCCAATAATAATTTTTGTAGTATTGTTTCCATTCAATGGATATGGGAAGACTGAGCGCAATACGGAATACTTCCATCCTTACTCCGTAGTACTAGAGGAATAAATGCGAATGCGATGCGGGCCCCAAACCACGTGCACCCGCCGTTCTTACTCCAGATCGTCATTCCGAACGGTAGGCTACAACCTAATGAACTTCTTATCTCCGTACAATCTTCAATCTCAACGACTCCATCAACCTTCAATCGCAGTACTCCACAACTAAATCTACCCAATCTGACATATCAATCATATCAATCGAGTCTCCCAGCCCTGTCGGAACCCGTCACGCAGTGAGACACATACACTGCATATGGCCGATCACCACCGCTAAACCCAATCAATCCTTCCCGTCCTCCAGTGGCCTCACCTCACTAATCCACCAACCTCAAGAACAAAACCAAACCAGAAGAATGGGAAACATTTGCTCCCGCTCTAAAAACGAGCCCGAGGCCTTTTCCAGCCCCGGTCGCGTCCTGGGCTCCGCCAATGCTCCCCCCGGAGAAACAGGGAAATCCAGCTCCGGTCCACGCGCCCCGCTCCCCGCAAAGGCCAGTACGGGGAGGACCCTGGGCGGCGCGGGGGCTCCAGGGGCCGGCGCGGATACAGCTGATGCGCGGACGAATGCGGCGATTGCAGCGCAGGTGAGTTACTTCGTTCTTTCCCAGGAGATCTGTATGGTGTCGCTATGCAAGGTGGTGTGCTAATGCGGGATGTTTAGAAACGGGCTGAATCTACTACGGCGGGCAACAAGGGCACATTAGGTTCAAAGTTGGCAGCTCAAAAGGCCCAGACACACGCACAGACGTTGGGTGAGGCTAGTCGGGATGAAAGGGCTGCTAGGGATGCGGATAATGCTGCTGAGGCTAGAAGATGGCAGTGATGGATGTACAGTTTATTCGGTTGAAGGTTGAAGCTTGATTCTGGGCCTGGGATCGCCGGTGTCCCTTTTTTTATTTTTTTTTTATTTTTTTTCTTCATTCTTCGGTTGGAGTTTGGCAGTTAGTCAGCGTTTGGGTTGAGTACAGTGATCTTTAGCGCGTCGTGACTTTATTGTGGGCACCGGTACAGAGTACCCGTTGAGGAATTTGACTATGATACCCAAGCTCCTAAGAGTGCGATTCGTTCCACAAGAATAAGATTCTGTATGTTCGAGATATGATACAGCTACATGTAAGCGCTGATACTTAAAGCACATTATAACGTCCACCGACCGGAGCCCTCGCGTCACTATCGGCAGCAGCGATGGTTCCCTCCTTGAGTAACCGCATCAACTCGCGCATGGCGTTCGTCACAGACAACTCAGTTTCACCCTCAACAAGGATATACAGCTTGGGGTTCTCTCCAGGACCTGGCTCCTTGCCAGTGGCATAGAAACTGCCTTTCGTGGTAATGGATGTTCCTGTAGCTTCGAGAATCTTGGCCACATTAGTCCGGTTGGTGACTGCCCACCGAGCTTTCTCTGTTGTGAGACCGTGTTAGTAGCCGAATCAGAATCGACGATAAAAATCAACAGCAGGGGGTAAGCTTACGGGGGAAGTCATTGATCTCAAGCGTAGCATGGAAAGCTCCGGCATCAGGCCCACGGTTATCGATGGGCACTCCAGACCTCATCACGCCAGCACGGCTCAGACGAGCGTGAATATCAGCAACAGCCGAACCCACCTTGTCCAGTGGGTTCTTCGTACCACTGGCATCCTTTTCAGTCTTGTGCACGGTGATCTTGCCATCCAAATCAATGCCCTTAGGAACGCCAGGTAGGCTTGGCGCAGCGGCGGATTGAACCGATGAGAGAGCCTTGTTGAACCGTTCCTCGGCCTGTTCATTCTTCTCATCCTTTTCTTCCTCTTCTTCGCCTTCGTCGCCAGTCTTGTAGGTCTTGCGCTCACGCATACGAGCAGCATCTCGCTCCTGATCAAGGCGCTCCAGACCCTTTCCACCAAACCCAGACGCACTAGCCTTTTCTTTGCCTGCTTTGACCTTCTCTAAGAAGGAGTCAACCATCTTCTGCACAGGCTCCGGCACAGACTGTCCACTCTGCTTCAACGCCTTAGCAATATCAACGGAGTACCGCTCCTGGTCTTCTGTCAGGAACGTAACCGCCGTACCAGTATTACCAGCTCGGCCAGTTCGTCCAGCACGGTGGACATAGTCTTCGAGATGGTTCGGCGCATCATAGTTCACCACGAGTTTGAGTTGTTTCACATCCAAGCCACGAGCCGCAACGGACGTGGCAATCAAAACCGGGAAAATACCTGCTTTGAAGTCTTCGATGGTGGAGTCACGGTCAATCTGATCCTTACCTCCGTGAATGGACATGCAGGGATAACCCTTACGCATCAACTCACGAAGTAGTGTATCGGCGCCCTCCTGACGTTCAACGAAGATTAACGCCCGTGCGTCTTCGTTTTCGTCGCTAGAGTACAGATTACCTAGAAGCTCAAGAAGCCGGATAAACTTTTTGTCCTCATCCCGAACTTCTACTATTTGTGTGATCTCAGGCGCAACAACGCTTCTACCGCCAACCACGATTTCAACGGGCTTGCTCAGGGTCTTACGAGCCAAGGCCTCCATGTTCCGCGGGAAGGTAGCGGAGAACAAGACAGTCTGCTTATCAGGTCGGACGTTGGCCAAGATCTTCATGACTTGAGGCTCAAATCCCATATCGAACATGCGATCAGCTTCGTCCAAAACGACATATGTGACCCTGCGTAAGTTTGTAACTCTGCCAGCATTTGCTGCTAGCAAATCGATCATACGTCCAGGTGTGCAGACAATAATCTCTGCGCCACGCTTTAGGTCAGCAATTTGGTCTTTGATGGGAGCGCCACCATACGCGCAAACCGCACGAAGATTCAAAGCTTTCAAGAACGGTTTACAATCTTTATGAATCTGTGTTGCCAGTTCACGAGTCGGTGTCATTATAAGACCAACAGGACCTTCCATATTGTCCAACGGCCTCTGATCCTTAATATGCCGAAACATAGGGATCAAAAATGCAATCGTTTTACCCGAACCAGTCTTCGCTACACCAATCACATCACGGCCGGACATGATCGCTGGAATGGCTTGCGCTTGGATCGAAGTGGGTGCAGTATAGCCTAGTCTATCGATCACGTCCAAGGTTTGCACACCCAAACCACACTGAGACCATTTCGACACTGGCCTAGGAACCTCCACACCACGGACTTTAATGCCGTCAAGTTCCAATCGCAGACTAGCAGCCTCTTCCTCGGACATCGCTGCCAAATCAGAAGGCTCGGTGTAAAACTTCTTGCGAAAAGGTTCGTATTCCACCTTCTTGTGATCAACAGTTGGGATATCCTTCTTCTTTTTGGCCTTGTTAGCAATAGCAAGGAAATCATCTGCATCGCCGTCACCGACAGCGGTCATGTCCATATCATTCTCGTCTCCAAAGAGAGCCTCAGGCTGCTGTGCTTTGGCTTTCGCGAACTTGGCGCCAACCTTTTTTTTGGGAGGGGCAGACTCTGCTAATTCAGACATGAAGGCATCCAGGGGATCTACTTCTTCCTCTTCTTGTGCGTCCACTTCCATGTCGTCCGGCGCTTTTTGGTTCGATGCATCACTCATCTGGACGTCGCCATTTGATTGAGAATCACGAGCCTCATTCTGCAGTCGCTCCTCTCTTCTCTCTGCAGCCGCTCGAGCCGCCGCCGCATTTTCCTCCTCGGTGCCACCATCCTGCATGTCAACGTCATCGTCATCGTCATCGTCTTCTACTGTCACATCTTCTTCCTTATTAGTGTCCTTGGCGTCATCTAACGGAGGTGTTGGTAATCTCTCCAACTTCCGCCGAGTAGATTCTTCTTCGCCAAAGCCTAGGGTCTTCGTCGCTGACGCTTTCTCGGTATCTGTGGCCTGCTTGGCTCCCAAACCAAAACTACCCACGTTTCCCTTTACTTTCAGAGCTGCAAATGTCATGTTAGTGCGACCTAATTTAGAATGAGCAGAAGGCTGAGACGTACATGAAGCTTTGCTTGGAGTAGCAGAAGGTTTGTTAGCTTGAACCTGAGTCTTTGTAGAAGGGAAGGTAGCAGATGTCTTAGCGGGCGGCGGAACAGCAATATCATCCCCCAGTACAGACTTTACAGCTGGCGCCGGTGCGGCACTCTTTGCAATCGCCTTCGGGTCAAACTTTCCGGCATACGCAGCTGGGGCAGCGTCAACAGGAGTCGCAGGAGACTGGGGAGACCCAACAGCCGGTGATAAACCTGACTTTCTGTCGATCTCATCCAGGATGCTTCTTGCCCCACCGGCTGCGGCGGCTTCTCGTTGTTTGCGTTCCTTCTCAGCGGCTTGCTTTTGCTTCCATGCTTCGAGCTTGGCCAGTCTTTCGGCTCGCTTTTCGTCTTCTGTCGGACCAGTGTTGGCCGCTGGCGTCGAAGGCTTCGATGTCTGTGAGATAATACGGTCAATGAGTACCCGACTATAGAATCGAAGGAGACCATATGCGCTTACCTCTCGAGACCTGGGAACGGAATCTCTGGTCCGCTCCCGGCTATCATCCCGTCTAGACTTGTGCTTCAAGTCAGCAGAATCATCTGTCCGTCTCCGAGCCCTGTCGCGGGAGTCATCTCGCCTGCTTCGAAAGTCTCTATCGCGACTTCTGCGACGGTAATCCCGATCATCATCTCTATCTCTCGACCGACGTCGATCGCGGGAACGATCCCGTCGACTTGGTCTATACGTATCTTCATCACGGTAATCGGCGCGTCTGTCTAGCGAGCGGTCACGTCTACGATATGAATCACGGTCGCGTTCACGGTCACGGTATCGCTTCTGAAAGTAGATATTAGAGAAAGATCCGCATAAGGCTGGGGCATCCGATTGACATACCTCAGGGCTGCGAGATCTTCGGTAGCTCCGCCCATCGTCTCGCCTACTCCTCTCATAGCGATCATCATCTCTGCGACTCCGTCTGGACGAAGAATATGTGCTGCCTACAGGTGATGGTGAGCGAGTATCCCCGTGGCGAGCCATTGTTGCAGGCCAGCGATGAGTGAGTATTACTGAAGCTCAAAGGAATTCGAGTACGCGAAGTAAATATCAGAGCAATTATTACCCTTCCATTAAAAGCAAGGCTCTGTTGTTATAGAATCAGTAAAGGTCGTATTAAGCACGGTGGCGAGGTTTGGCGGCTTCCGAAGCGCGGAGATACGGTTCTCAATCTATTCTTTTTTCAGTTGTACCTTATCCTGGGCTGGCAACCCGAAGGACCGTCCTATCTATCACGTGATGTCGCAGCTTCATAGCTTCGATCACGTGTGTATGCCTTCCTATTTCGGTCTACCCCCAAACGACCAGTGAGTGACGCGATCCCAACCGCCCGCATTCGTCTTAGAGCTCTTGCAGCTAAGGTCCCTGCAGCAGAAGCTCCTAGTTCTACTAATCTTAGAGCTCGGCCTCTCCTGTCTTTGTTTAATAGCACTTACGTGCTACATTGTTGGTTCCCTTTCCAATTGCAGTTAGTTTGCTCGCATTGTTTTGGACCATGCCTTTGAATCTAGCTCGCCGTGGAGGAGGCCTCCTCCGAAACCTGCATCTTAGCGATGCGTTCTCTCGTCCTATCCGTGTCGCTGTTGCCCAGAGCCATGTGAGACGCATTTCTTTGATTACGCGCGGTCAGAGTTTGCGCCCAATTTCCAGGGTACTTCCGTCCACCAGCGTGTTCTCGCAACGCCTACTTAAGACCTATGCGACCACAAGTGATAGCAAGAGCGAGAAGGCAAACCCGACCAAATCCACCAAGGGCGGGACCAAGAAAACCAAAAAAGCCAAGAAGAGCTCGACAACGAAGCCCAAACCCAAGCCGAAACCAAGAAAGCAATTGACTGAGAAGCAAAAGGAGGCCAAGAAGGCAAGGGAACTCAGGGATCAAATTAAGGCCCTCAAGGCTACTGCGCTGGAGGCACCAAAGAAACTTCCGGAGCGTGTGTCTAACTTGATTATTATCGAAAAGCTTCAAGAAACAATGAAGACTCACAAGACCCCGCAAGAGGCATTTAAAGCTGCTAGTGAGCTTACCAAGACAATCAGTGAGGAAGAGCGAGAGGTTCGTCTGGTACCCCAATGGATTGTGGCAGTGTATAAATTACTGACTAGATGTGACAGCGCCTCACCGCAGTCGCAGAGTCCAACAGAAACTCTAATGAATCTACATACGACCAATGGATCAAATCTCACACGCCACTTCAGATCAAAGAAGCGAATCTCGCACGAAACAAATTGACAAGGCTCACGAGCAAGAGGTATCCCCTTCTTCGGGATGAGCGATTGGTTAAGCGTCCTTCCTCTTCCTATGTCTTCTTCTACCTTGAACGCACTGGCCAGGGCGACTTCAAGCACATGGCCGTCAAGGACATTAGTGCACGGGTCGCAGAGGAGTGGAATGGCTTGACGGACTCGGAGAAAGAGGTACGCCTCCCCCGCGCCCTTCTGAAGACGATACACATATGTGGATGAAGCTAACATGGATCAGAAATACCACAAACTTCAACTCGCCGATACAGAACGTTATCTCCGCGAGTATCAAGAGGTATACGGCGAGGAGCCGCCAAAGACTCGAAAGTCCTCCGAGTAAGAGTTTATATAAGTAAAGCTTGTGAGCTTTTGCTTTGGTCCAAGGAACAACGGTGATTTTGAGTTTGGATGAGTGACTGAAGATGGCCGATTCTTCTTACAAATGACAAGTATTTTTCCTACCATCATCCTTCTTTCGTCTGTTTGCGTCTCAGGTGTTCAAGGGTTTATCTCGATCAATTGGTTGCTTGTATTCTAAATAGGCTGTGATGTGCTGAGTTCAAGTGTCGCTACCAATGTCATTATACCACGAATTGCAGGCCAGTTCTAATTTATGCTCGTACACTGCGGGGCTTTTTCAAGCCGTGACCTCTTCGCTCTAGTCAGCTCATCAATAGAGTTGAGGCTGTATATCGTAGTAGATAATGGGACTTCTGTAATTCAAAAACTAAGACAAGTACAAGAAGACGGTGGTGTTGCACAGACAGGACTGTTCCTGGTGTTGTATTCAATTCTGCATATGCAGTGATAACGGAGGTTTCGATACTCCCTGGTTACTTGCATCTATCATCATGCTGCTCGGTAACACAGCAGATCATTTACGACGGATCACTGCAGTAGATGGCATGGTTGCAATAGACACGGTGGTCCTTTAGCCGATATGCAAGTGGGTTTATCTCCGGTCCATATGGGGTCTAGACGACCTGGATTACGATAGGTAACAACTATTCGGTGTGCATTGTTGGGGCTGCAGTCGGGTATAGTTGGAAGATATATAATCTGCATTCCACGGGCTTCTACCCCATCTGTTTACTGAATCGGGAAGGGGATGGGCCCTACTAATTTGTTTCAAAGAGACTCTCACAGACAGATACCGTGAGTCATAGAGGTATTGCATGAATTATGTGCCAGAGAGATGCATAACACCGGGGATGTTCATGAGTCACTCACAGGCAACGGGCATGAGGGACATGATGTACATGTACCGTACGTACTATGACGCTGCCAAGGGGGACAAAACCACTTTCCCCGAAAAGGGAATGCGGTAATGCACCGTTTCCCGACGAGGACTAAGGCATCAATCTACGGATACGGCTAGCGTCCTCTGTCATGGGATTCTTCTCAGTATCGGAAATGAGTATGGAGTCAGGCACTGGGGCGAAGCGCGATAGCCTGCAGTAGAGTTTTGACAACTGTCAATACTAAAAGAAGGAACAACGGATCAACTTGCCCTAGAACCGACAATCCTTCATCAGGAGACGTAAGACGAAAATGGGGGGAAATGGCTCCATCGAGAACGAGGGTTCTCATAGGCTCACGGTGGATCTTCGCCTTCGATGCGGTGAAGAACACCGATAGCGGTAGAATCTTTCCTTCGAAGTACCTCAACGCTTTTCTCCTCGTTACCCGAGGTTCTCGCTGCTTTTCGAAGGATGTATCGAGAGGGTCTCCTGCTGCCCGAAGACTCTTTGGCTCCATAATTGTGCAGTGGTTGTTTCACAGGTGAGCGAGTATTAGTAAATCTCCTCCATTGTTTTGATTGTTGGTCCCTGGTTGTTGCCTCGCGGCCTGAGTCAAATTTATTCACGTTTAGCCATTTTAGTAGTAAGGTAGTTGAATAGTTAGGTAGTTAGTCCTCTAGTCTCTCTTAACTAGCCCTTCAATGCGAGGTCATAAAACACTTGGTTTCTTTTTAGAGAATATCCCAGTTTCTTTGCCGCAGAACATTATTGGGATTTCTATATACTCCCTTCAATCTACATTATTTAACGGAACCAATCATTCAATTGGTATAACAGTTCCCAGGGGATAAGGTAGTAGAGTACCCAGTTCCTGTACAATCCTCCAACCTTCCCCGAGGTGAACCACGGAACCGATCATCTCTACTTTTAGCTTCCTTGGACCGGAACACTAGGGACTGATCTGTTGTTCCCTTGGGAACCCCACTTTAATGGGACAACAAACGCTCTATCCGAAGGTATGTAAGTACGATGCAATGAGAGTGACTCGATCTGCTAACGTACATATCCTACTGACCATTAAGGCATAAAGAAAACATATATACCTAATCTAGATCGCACTCGAGTGTCAGTGCTTTCACCACCATTTGTTGTTCGTCGTACACCAGTATCCTTGATACCCGCCGAGAAGGAGGGGTGGAATCTTTATCGATAGGACCGTCGACTCACATCCCCAGTCTCTGCGCGCAATCCCATCGCGTGTGTAAGTGGCCTGTGCCTGCGTGACTTCTCACCTTGCATCTTTTCTCCATTGCTCCTGTTCAACCAGCTGGTCTATGACCGAAAATAATTGCTAATTTTAATGCACCAAATTCAGTTAGAGACTTTGTCTTAACCACTTTGACTCGATGTGGTTGGTTCATACGCCCAGCCACCGTTTTACTATCTGACCCGTCGGGGATCAAAGATACTATCGCATACAATTCTTCCGTACCACGCAGATCATCGCGCAGCACAAATTATTATTTCAAGGTAAGAAAGTATAATCTTAAAATTAACAGAAAATCTTTTTTCCTTTTGCGCAACCGCCGCTGACTTGCTGATGTATGTACCAAAACTACTAGTTCACATTCCTAGCTGTCCATCGCATACCCATCCGCCCAATCCTATCTGTTCTCCAGGGACCGATTTTCAGCAACATTACTCTCCTTTCCTCCTTTCCCACCGCCTCGTGGTCATGAGCTCTATGACCTCTTTTTCGCTCCCTGTTTCTTCCTACTGCTGAACTTTCTCTCTCTCATCTCTGCATACACTTTTCCCTTTCATTTCAAACGCACCATCAAATACCGTATGCTCTTTAATTGCCCACGGCTTTTGTCGCAAATCTAGTTGGATATCCCATGGTATACCGATCGCGCTAACATTTGCATCGTGTGACCAGCTTTGGTTACAAGCATTATATTCTAGTGGAAGCGTTTTTATCATAGCATTTTTTACTTTCTTTCTTTTCTTCCCTTCATTCTTTGTTCCCGCCGTTTACGCAGTCTTTTGCTGCTACGCTCCCGACGGTCTAACCCGGAACTTCAATATTTTCCTGGAACCTGCGGCAGCCTCAATTGAGGCCGGAAGTTGTTAATATCCATGCGCCTCGCATAGTCGAGTCGACCACCGTGCAAAGACTGGTCCGTTACCGCAGTATGGAAAGTATGCGCATTGTTCACCATTATGGACTCGAAGCCGGCCGTGAGAAGCCTTTATACTCCTACTATTGTTTAGTCGAGAATGAGCAGAAAAACGGATATCCGGTTCAATCACGAATAGCCGGACACAATGAGCGATTCTCCAAAGCAACTCTGGCTCTCGAGATAGAGCTCCGTACGCCAAACCCTCAGTCCTACGATCAACCCCCTCCATCCTATGACGATGCTATCAAAGACTTGCCTCCAGATTACTCTACACTTTCACCGTTAGCCAAACAGAAAGATTTGTGTGGTGACTGCACGCCCTCGATAGGAACAAAATATTCTACAGTTAGATCTAAGTCCCCTCTGATCGTTTTAGATCGTCCATTTGGCATACAGGAACATAAGGGGGCAGGCAAGAAGAAGAAAGGAAAGCAAGCCGCACAACAGAGTACTCCACCACCGAATGACGACGGTGACAAAAGCCCACCCCCTGATGAAAACCAGAATGGTGGGGACAGTGGAAGCAACGGGGATGGGTCGGGAGGTGGGAATGGGGACAACGGTGGTGACGGAGGCGGCGGCGATGGCGGAGACGACGATGGTTGGGGAGATGCGTGGAATACAACCAGCAAGAAAAAAGACAAGAAGAAGAAGAAAGAGGAAGAAGAGCGACTAGCCAAAGAAGAAGAGGAGCGGAAGGCCAAAGAGGAGGAGGAGAAAAAGGCCGCAGAAGAAGCAGCAGCTAATACTAATAACGATGATCTTAGTTGGGCGAACGATGGTACTGGAAACGGCGATGATTCGTGGGCGGACTTTGCGCCTGCAGGGAAGAAGAAGAATAAAAAGAAGGATCAAGTACGATTCCCCCTTTGTTCTAGAGTATTATCACTAACTCGTTTATAGAGTGCTACTCTGATTGACACCGACCCCCCTTCCAATTCTTTTCAGGATATCAATTTAGGTGGCAATACATCTCCACCAAATCTAAGCCTAGATCCCCTTGGAGGCAAATCTACTGGCGGGGGCCTGGATCTTGGCGGATGGGATAAAAGTTGGAATACAGGGAGTAAATGGGGTCTCGACTCTCTTGGTGGCTTGAGTGGGGACAAGACACAGAATACCAACCCATGGTCATTTGGCTCAGCGGCTGACCCATTGAATGCTCCAGTCGGATTTGGCTTTGGCTTTGGAGCCCCTCCTGGTCCTAGCAATGGAGATATCAGCACCCAAGAAAAGAAGGATGACTGGGGCTTCCTGGATACTAAGAAGACCACCGAACCAGAGCCGGAGATAGCTGATGACGATGATTGGGGCTGGGGCGTCCCAACTAAAAAGAAAGACAAGAAAAAGAAGAACGGTGCTCTCCTTGAAGAGTTAGAACCAGTAGTGGAAACTTCTCCAGTTGTCGCAGATCTAGCGCCGGAGCCTATCCCTGAGGAGAAAAAAGAGGAGGATGACTGGGGAGGCTGGAATACCTCCACACAGGAGAAGAAAAAGAAGAAGGGCAAAGGTGCAGAGCCCGAGCCCGAACCGGAACCCCCAGCACAAGCTGAGCCAGAGCCTGCACCAGAACCAGCACCAGAGCCTAAGCTGCCTGATGATCCACTTTACAATAATTGGGACACACTATCATCTAAAGACCGAAAGAAACGAGAGAAGTCTCTTGTCAAGAAAGGTCTTCCTATACCTGGTAAGGACTTTGAATGGCCACCACGTGCGCCAGCCGCACCTGTCGAAGAACCCGCGAAAGATCCTGAGCCAGAACCCCAACCGGAACCTGAGCCTGAACCAACGCCTGAGCCTGAGCCAGAGCCGGTAGCTGAACCTGAACCAGAGCCAGCCCCGGAGCCAGAGCCCGCAGCCCCAGAGCCGGAACCAGAACCTGAAGCTAAACTGCCAGATGACCCACTCTATAATAACTGGGACATTCTTTCATCAAAAGACAAAAAGAAACGTGAGAAGTCCTTGATAAAGAAAGGCCTCCCAATTCCCGGGAAAGATTTTGAGTGGCCACCACCTGCACCTGCACCTGCCGTGGAAGAGCTAGCACCAGAACCAGAACACCAACCAGAGCCTGAACCTGTTGTTGAGCCAGAACCGGAACCTGCGGCTACACCCGAACCACAGCCAACGCTAGAACCGGAGCCAGTAGCTGATCCAGGACCCCCAGCCGAGCCAGAACCACAACCTGTGTCCGAAGCTAAACTGCCAGACGATCCACTCTATAACAATTGGGACGATCTTTCATCTAAGGACCGGAAGAAGCGCGAGAAATCATTGACCAAGAAAGGCCTCCCAGTTCCTGGTAAGGATTTCCCTTGGCCACCGCCCACGGCACCAGAGCCTGTATTAGCGGAGCCGGCAGCAGAACAAATAGTAGAAGAAGTTCCTGAACCAGTGGCGGAACCAGAGCCTGAACCAGCACCAGAACCAGAGCCGGTACTTGAACCTGAACCTGAACCTGTGCCGGTACTTGATCCAGAACCACAACCTGCGCCCGAAGCTAAACTACCAGATGACCCTCTGTACAATAATTGGGACGATCTTTCCTCTAAGGATCGGAAGAAGCGCGAGAAATCACTGATGAAGAAGAGCTTGCCAATTCCTGGCAAGGATTTTGCCTGGCCACCACCACCACCACCGGAGCCAGTGGCAGATGAACCTGTACAGGAGCCATCGCCAGAACCGGAGCCGGTACTTGAACATGAGCCAGAGCTAGAGCCTGAGTCCAAACTTCAAGCTGAGCCTGAACCGCAACCAGAACCAATTATTTTGTCACTGCCAGATAATCCGCTCTACGATAACTGGGACAATCTCTCAGATAAAGACAAGAAAAAGCGTGAGAAATTGCTGATAAAGAAGGGTCTACAAGTTCCAGGTAAGGATTTTGACTGGCCACCACCTCCACCGCCGGAGCCATTGGTGGAGGAGCCAGCACTGGAGCCAGGGCCAGAACCAGAGCTGGAGCCAGGGCCAGAACCAGAGCTGGAGCTTGAACCTGAACCTGAACCTGAACCTGAACCCGAACTGCAACCGGAACCGGAACCCAAGGCTCCATCACTGCCAGATGACCCGCTCTATAATAACTGGGACAATCTCTCAACCAAAGACAAGAAAAAGCGAGAGAAATCACTGATAAAGAAGGGTCTGCCGGTTCCGGGCAAGGATTTTGACTGGCCACCACCTCCACCGCCAGAGCCATTGGTGGAGGAGCCCATACAAGATCCGACACAGGAGCCGGAGCTGGAACTAGAACCGGAAGCTGAGCCAGAACCGGAGCTCGTCCCTGAAGCCGTTCTTGAAGAGCCCGAGCCTCAAGCCGAGCCTGAACCAGAACCAGAACCAGAATCCAAAGCTCCCGCACTGCCGGATGATCCACTCTATAATAACTGGGATAATCTCTCCTCCAAGGATCGAAAGAAGCGAGAAAAATCGTTAATAAAGAAAGGTTTGCCTATTCCTGGTAAGGATTTTGAGTGGCCACCGCAAGCGGCACCTGTAGCAGAGGAACCCGTACAAGAACCAGAGCCAGAACCCACCCCTGAACCCGTTCCTGAGCAAGCCCCAGAGCCAGAGGTAATCCCTGAACCGGTTACCGAAGAACCAGGTGACGATAGCTGGGGCATCTGGGCTCCTCAAAAGGATAAGAAGTCTAAGAAGAGCAAGATTAACGATGAACCTCCACCGCCGGCGCCTACTCCACCTTCTTTGGGATTTTCGCTTGAACCTGATGGGTTTGAGAGTATACCAGAGGAACCTCTTTGGGATGATTTTAGCACAATGCCTTCTAAAAAGAAGGGCGTTGTTGCGGAGGAAACGCCGTCAAAGCCAGCCAGAGGGTTCTGGGCAAGCATCGGAGCAGCAGCGATGGGGATGCCTAAGGCCACTAAAAAGAGGTCGGCAGAAAAGCCAATAAGAGAGGCCGAACCCCAGCCTGATCAGGATGATCTGCTTATTGACGTAGGGGATGCGCCGAGAGAGGCTGGTGCGGCTGACGCGGCTGACGCGCCAGTCGCAGAAGTCTTAGAACCTCAGCCAGCCGCGCCGCCAACAAAGACACCTGTTGTCACCTCAAAGACCAAGTCATCAACCAAGAACTCTGTCGCAGAGCGCGTTAAAGTCCTTGAAGAGAAAAAGAAAGAAAAGTCCAAGGGAAAGTCGGCGGAAAAATCAAAAGCGAAGGAGGTGCCGCCGCCGGTAGAAGATCCTCTAGAACCTCCGCAGGAGCCTGAGCCGGAGCCGGAGCCAGAACCTGAACCAGTTATAGAAAGAAGGATTTTACGAGACACTGTACCAGGAAGCTTTCCAGACGCTTTTGACGACGATTTCGATGACCTCCCACCCCCTGTCCCAGACCCGCCAGCGGAGCCGGAGCCGGAACAAGAGCCAGAACCTGAAAGGCAGCCAGAAGTCGAGCTTGAGCCAGTAGTATTGTCCAAGAAGGCCAAAAAGAAAGACAAGAAGAGATCGAAGACTGCTATTCCCGAGCCCCAGCCGCCTGCCCTAGAGCCTCCTGCACCAGAACTACCAACAGAGCCAGAGCCTGCGCCGGAGCCTGCGCCACCAGAAGAGGTTGTGTCTATTGTTGAACCTGAGCCGGAACCAGTTCCTGAACCCAAGCCCGTACTACTACACAAAGCCGAAAAGAAGAAAAAGAAGGCTAAAGCGGTTGAACCCCAGCCCGAACCCGAACCTGAACCAGAGCCGGTGCCCCCACCCAAAGTCGAAAAGAAGAAAAAGAAGGCAAAAACGGTTGAACCCCAACCTGTGCCCGAACCAGAGCCGGAGCCAGAACCGGTGCGAGCGCTTGATCCTGAGCCCGAACCTGAACCAGAGCCAGAGCCTGTACCCCCACCCAAAGTCGAAAAGAAGAAGAAGACTAAGCCAGTTGAACCTCAACCTGTGCCCGAACCAGAGCAGGAGCCAGAACCGGTGCGAGCGCTTGATCCTGAACCTGCTCCTGTCAATGTGCCGGAGCCGGAGCACGAGCCAGCGTTTGAGCCCGCTGAGCCGCCTGCCCCGGAGCCTGAAAAACCCATGAAGAAAGTGAAGAAAAGTAGAAGGTCAGTGCCAGTTCCAGAACCACCACCGGCTCCTCCTGCAGAAACCCCAGTGGCCGATGTTTCAGAGGAAGCTGCTGGGGGTCCTCCGACACCGCCACCTGAACCAGTTGCTACGGAGCGAGCGGCAAGGAAGGAGCGTCCGCGCGTTGAACGCGCACCTGGTAGCACGTCGTGGGATATGTGGGGTGCTGCACCCCCGCCGAGGAGGCCAGGCCATAGGGAAGATAGGCATAGAAGAAGGGAGCAATCACCTTCGGGAATGGGAAGATCAAAGTCCACTAGACACTCAAGGCCAAGGGAACCGGAGGATGAGGTAGAGAGATCGTCGGAACCCGAGAACGCCAGGCAACGGGAGCCTGCACACGATCGGGCTGCGGCATTCTCGAATTTCATTTTTGGCGCACCACCTCCGCCTACCAGAACGAAATCTAGCAGGAGACATGGCGAGTATGCGCCAAGGCACACGTCACGGCGCCCACCTGGAGATATGGATGACACCGGATTCCCATCGCCGCCACCGGATGAGCAGTTCGAGATGCCGGATAAGGCTGCCCGCATGATGGGTGCTCCTCCATCTGGGTCAAGACGGGAGAGACCACGTGGCTCTCGGAAAAGATCTAGTATGGCCCTCTATGTTCGTGTCACTCTTTGTTAAGTTTACTGACACGATTATCGTAGGCGCTCGTGATCCATATGCTATTGACGATGAAGACATCGTCATGGTTAATCCGGATGATGCTGAAGGCGAGCCCAAGGCTCCCTCTAGAGAGTCACGCCATTCGGAACGACGGTCAAGGAAGAAGGTAAGAGGGCAGCGCCGTCTGCGAATGATCTCAAACCAAGTTGGAACAGCCGCTAATGTCGCTTCCATAATTTAGTCACGATCACGGCAGGGAGACTTCCAGGATGATGCTGTCATGGTGGATGCAGACCCAGCCCAGCAAAGTCCAGACATTGTTTCCGGACCTGAAGACATGGCATTTGTGGAGGCTCCGAGGGAACGGCGTTTAAGGCGATCGAATACGGCCCCCAAGAAACAGGAGACTGGCGGTCTCATGGGGTTGATCGGAACATTGCGTCAACACATTCGCCCTGAACTGCCTGAACGTCAAAAGTCTGCGTCTTACCGGGATGAGGACGCCAGGTACATGACGGAGCCAGAGCGAGACGACGCACGGCGCCAGAGACGTGACGAGAGGAGAAGACGCGCAATGAGACCGGACCCTGACCGTGAGGGCTATGCTACAGATGCTGGGCCGGCAATGGATGTCCCAGAGATTCAGATAGAGGATGTCGATGCCAGGAGAGAGGCGCGCAGAGCACGACGCGCTTCTCGACAAGGCGACATTGATCCGCATCGAGACAGCGAGTTCCAAGAAGCCGAGGAACGACGGGCAAGAAGACGGGAAAGGCAAAGGGCTCGCGAGCAAGAGATGCAAGAAATGCAACTCCGAGAGGAAGAGGAGAGAGCACAGCGACGCCGAGAGGAGAAGATGGCTCGCCGGGCTGCTCGTGAAGAGCGCCGTGCCCGGGAGGAGCAAGAAGCTCGAGAGGCGGAAGCTCAGGCACAGGAAGCCAGAGAAGCGGAGGCCCGCGAAGCCAAGGCTGCGGAACGCCGCGAGCGGAGGCGGCAGGAAAGGGAGGCAGCAATGTATGAGAACCCTGGGTACGACCCGAGATCCAGAAAACGGCACTCGCATATGGATGATAGAGCCGCTAGGGACTTTTACATGCAGGGCGGGGACCCGGACAGGGCCTATCGTTCGCGCCGTCATGGAGACGACGCTGAACACGCTAGACGTCGAAGGTCCAGGGCGCCTGAGGAGACGAGACCCGCACCGATGATGCCTGGACAGCGCAAAGACAAGACCTCGTCTTGGGTTAATTCTCAAGCAAGTGATCCCCCTGAACCACCTCCAGTTGTGCCGACTATGTTAGACATGCCGCCTGCTCCCGGGGAGCCCATGGATGGGGCGCACTCAATCTCATCGGACGAGGAGGCCCGACGCGACCTACGCCGGAAGGCAAGGAGACGGGCCCGATACCCCGGACTCACGGATCAGGAGATTGACGAGGTGCGCTTGAAGAAACGCGAGGCTAGGAGGTCTGAGAGAGGACAGAAGAGCAGCTCGGGTAGTGCAGACTACGAGCGAGACCGTGGAATGAGATATGACCGATACGACCAACCACCTCCTAGCTCCGGCGGAAAGCTGCCTAATTGGTTTAAGAAACTTACCAGCTTTTAAGGGTACGCTTTAACAAGAGAGAACTTGCTCGATGAGCAGGGCTATATTCGACAGTGAGAAGTGATGCCAGAAGAATGCTCCTTATCTCTCAGTGCATTTGATGATTGGAATGACGCGATGACTATACACCAGAAATGTTGGAAATGAAACTTGATATTAAATGTTGCATGCGTTGATGACTTGTTCAGCACCGTTTTTGTTTACGAAATTTTTCTCTTGATTGAGATTTTGTACACCTGATGCATGTATGATAAATGATGAGAATAGTTGAAGTCCTCTCTTCTCGACGAGTTAACGTCTATGAAATGAAAAAGAAAACTATAACTGTTTATGACCTATAATACAGACCCTTTTATCTACTCCAACCAACCACCTTCACAACACTCCACCCTCACCATTCTCCATCCTCCTCTTCTCCAAATACATCCTGCCCCCCTCATAAATCCCCAGATAAATACTCATCCCAAAAGCCGACCAAACAGACCTCAATGCACCCCCACGAAACAACCCCCTAATGCCCTCCTCCCTCCACACCTCCCTCCCAACCGCCAACGTCCCCTTCACCTTCCTAACCGTCTTCTCAGTACCCTTCAGCTCCTCCCCGCCAGCCCCCAACATAACCCTCGTCTTAACAACATCAATCGGCGTCGTAACAACCGAAGCCACAGTCCCAGACACCCCAGCCGCAACCCCCGTCAAAGCCGCCCTCTCAACCACTCCATTCCTATCCCGATTCCCCTTCCCTGTTGCCCTCCGCGAAACAAGCCACCCCTTCACCCCCTCAAAAATGGGAAAATGAAGCCCAGTAAAAGGTAAATTCCTCCCCACAAGCGCCGTATACCCACTCCAGAGCTTCCAAGGCCGATGTTTGAATTTAGCCAGAACTTGGACTGTTGCGCTTTGTCTGGGTGCCTTTGTCGAGGTGGGAGATTTCATGTTGAGGACTTGAGCATTTTGTTTTAGGACTTCTGCTGGGGTGAGGATTGCGCAGGAGACCATTTCGCCGAGGGAGGAGGAGAGAGCGTGAATGATGGGTTTGGGGAGCGGGTGGGTGAATGGGAGGGGGTTTGGAGTTTTGGTCTGGGATTGGGGTTGGGTTTGAGTGGAGGAGAGGGTTAGGATGTGTTTTGTTGTTTCGTAGGTTGTGAAGAATGCTCCTGCTTTTTATTGGGTTTCTTGAGGGTTAGTTTACCTGGTTGTGGTTTGGTTTTGGTTGTTGTATGTACATATGGGGGTGATGTTAGGAGTGGATGGTTTAGATGGGTAAGGTAGGAGAGACGTACATGAAGGTACAGTCGCGAGCACAACGCTCCATACACCTTGGTATAAGCCCCGGAAGAGGACGTCTCGTTTTATGGCGCCTGTTGCGTCTTTGTAGAGGTGGTTGTATTTTGGGGATTGGATGCGTGTTTTGAGTGTGTCCATTGGGTATACTAGGAAGTCGACTGTTACGGCTGCTAGGGCGCCGGCCTTGGTTTGTTTGTTAGTTCAATCCATTGAGGGTTCTAATGCATATCTAAAAGGGAAATATAATTGTCTTTGGTTGAGGTTTGATGCGTATAAGGTGTGTATGGACAGGGCATGGAGTTGTGGTTGGATGTATGACTTACAACCCAGATGTCGAGACTACTGTTATCCATTGTAGGGACTAAGGGTATGTATATTGAAATTGAAGAAATATCTATAAACAACTAGTGGAAGAACTGCAGAAATGAAAGATATCGACTTTGATCTTCACGATAACAGGATCTTATCTAATCGGTTATCGATGCTATGATGAGGTCATTGTACTTATCAGCATCACGTGTGGTAGACATGCCCTAGCAAGATTAGGGCATACCCCATCCCATTCATCAGTTGATGTAAGAGAGGACTTGTGCAGGATAAATGGATACGAAGGGTTGGAGATGGGTGAGGTAGGTAGGAACCAAGACAGTCATATCCCGTAACTCTATTCGTCACTGGAATAAACAAACAGACATATTAACAGTCAGATACAAAATTTTCCCTCCCTACGCCGTAAGGTCATGCATGCAATTCCCAGAATCCCCAGTTGAGACAAATCATCATCAGTTACCTCCTCTCCTCTATTTGGCGGTCTCTCCGGGCAGCAGGTTTCCCTTAACTGCAAACATCTTACCCGTCGTCGCCGAGACGAAGCTGTCGATCTGGCGCGAGTACTGCTCCACTTGCCGGGTGTTGAGCATAGTCTCCAGGCGGCTGGGTTCCTGGGGAAGCTTGAACAGACGCTGGTACTCATCCTCGGGCAGGAGGGGCTGCTTGAGGGCCGCACGGCTGGCGTTCTCGGCCTTGCGCTTGGCTTGCCAGGCGGTGATCTTGGCCTGCTCACGAGCGAGCGAACGCTGGTAGTACTGGAAGTTGTTGGTCTCGGTGTGGTGGGTCTCGATGCTGTCCAGGAGAAGGTCGCAGTTCTTCTCGAGGAAGGGGTCGATGCTAAGAGACAGGTTGTCGTAGTTGGGGGCCAGAACGTTGTCATTGGCAAAGGGGCCCTTCTCCAGAGCAGCCAAAGAGGGGGGAAGGTCGGTAGGAGTGGACTTGGAAGGGCACTGGAGCTGGTGGATGAAAGAGGTGATCAAATGAGAGTTGCGGATTTCAACTGGAAGCTCAACGAAGATATCCTGGTGTCTCAGAGTGGACTTTTGGAGCCTGAAAGACGTTAGCGTACAGTCAAGATCACCCCGAGCACACGTATAGACTGATATAAACAGACTAGACTACGCCAACGTGAGAGAAAACATACTCCTCTGAGGTGAACTTGTTCTCCTTGAAAGCAGTCATGAACTTAGAAGACAGGCGGAAGGCACGCAGGCTAAGGCTTCCCTGGGCACTGCGGCTGACATCATGCACAAGAGCAACTGTCCCCTCGTTCATCTCCTTCTGGTAAAAGAACTGGTTCTCGATCACGTTCATGTTGACGAAGTTACCCATGTTCGCGCTGGTGTACCAACCGACGTTGTTCGCATCGACGTTGACCTCCCGAAGCATGCGGATCATCTCAGCCTGGTAAGCCACGTTGGCCTTCGCACGAGGGGCAGCAGCAGCCGGGTTAGGGGCGGCGTTGTCGAAGTGCGAGTCGGCGGGCATCTCAACGACCGGGAATGGGAAAGAGTTGGTGATCTCCAGGGTACCGTCCACGTCCAAACCGACGATCGAACCGGTCGCAGTCGTCGGGAAAGATTGAGAGGAGTGCTTGATGATCTTCATGACCACCTATATGCGAACTTTGTAAGCATTACTGTCGCCGTGAAAATAGCGGGGGGGGATTTTTTGCGGTCATTATCGTACCAAGGCATCGACCTTGACGGCCGTGAGGGGGACTTCTTTCCTGGTTTAATGGTTAGCAGCCATTCTAAAGAAGCGATTTACAGCTAGCGACAAGACTTACTCCGCCATGTTGGATGTGCTGCCCAGGTATACGTTCGACGGCGACAATGGGTTGACAGTCGGCGGCGATGGTTTGTGTGGATTGAATTCATCAATTTCCCACCGCCTAGGGCCCGATGCGGTTTAGCGCGCCAAGACCCTCACGGGATCAGTCTGGACACTTTGGGAACGACAACAACATCGGCTTCAACAACATCCTGCTATGCTAATATTTTCAGAAAGAATGGGTTTCGGTTGTCGCATATTCCCTGATAATGCCCAAAGCATGCTATTTCTCAATCGCCCTGGATTGTCGCATGTTGAACCTATCGATCATGATACTTCTTAGTTGCTCTACTAACCAGTAGTACTACTAAGCAGCCTCTCCCCTCCATTTAAGAAGACTAACAAGCCGTTCCCCTCATTGCCCTCTCTTCCCAGTAATACCCCCTTGAAGACCAATAATAACATTCATCGCAAACAAACCACTGAAGATGCCCACCGAAACATTCAGTTACGGCGAAGACCACGCCCTTCAAACAGTGACAGTCACTACCTTATCAGAAGCACTAGACAAAAAATACTGGATAATGTACATACTTCTCAATCTACACTCTACAACTTACTATACTTTAACTGTCAATATACCTACTAATCATATCAATCCAGCTTAATCCACGGCGGCGCCTGGCGTGACCCAAACATAGACGCCATCAATTTCTCCAACCCCGCCATATCCACCCTCACCACCTCTCCAGCATACGCCCACGTTCTCCCGCACATCACTGCATTCGCATCTATCTCCTACCGTTTAAGCCCCCATCCAAGCCACCCCCAGGACCAGTCGAGCATCAGTCCCCGAGAATACCGCAGCGCCAAACACCCCGACCATATCAATGACGTGCAAGCGGCCATAGCCTTCCTGCAGCGCAAATATGGCTTCGAAGAGCGGTATATACTCGTCGGTCACAGTTGTGGCGCTACGTTGGCGTTCCAGTCGGTGATGGGCCGGTTTAAGGCTGGGATATCGCACGGTCCGTTAGCTGTGGTGGGTTTGGCGGGGATATACGGTTTGAGGTTGTTCCGGGATACTCACAAGGAGATATCAGCATATCAGGAGATTGTGGAGGGGGCTTTTGGGGACGATGAGGCTGCGTGGGATGCTGTGTCTCCTGCCGTGGCCAAAGGAGCGGATGGTGTTGAAGGTGGGTGGACGGAAGGGCGTTGGGCGATTCTGGCGTACTCGCCTGAGGATTCGCTGGTGGATGCTTCGCAGCGGGAGGCTATGGATGATACTCTTAAAGGGTGGTGGGCACTGCAGTCTGAGGACAAACTGAGATGCGCTGCGCTGATGCCTCTAGGAGGCGAACATGATGAGTGCTGGGAGAAGGGAGAAGGGCTCGCGGAGGCTATTGGTTATGCTATTGAGAAGCAATTGGAGATAGCCCCATGAAGAGCCTGAAGAGTCGAAACCACCTGCTTAACGAAGCTTTCCGTTATGATGGGTCGACCTGCAATGATCCTACAATGATGCAGACCGTTCAAATGAAGTGCATATTACGGGAAGGTGGATTGCATTGGCAATTCATATTACGTTTCCCCTAAGATGAATTATGGGTTATGAAACTAGTAAACATCAGAAGAAAAGAAATTAGGCCAGCCATTTTCCAAGCTTCAAACGCCCACCAGTGTTCGTCATCATAAATTCAGAGTACAGAGAACTGAGAGAGAAAAAAGAACCGTTCGTACGCCTACCATTGGAGAACAGCAAGCGATAACGAAACGACAGAAGAACATGTCACATAAAGGGGGAGCCCCAGTTGAGAGGTATTTTGGGAAGTTGGAAGGTGCAGACAAGCATTCGGGGTAGAAGAGGACGGGAAACGGGATATTTTTATGCAATAAGAAGATGGGTGATTCGTGAGTCAAGAGCAGTCAAGGTCAAGGCAGGGTGAGCATTGGTATCGTCAAAACCAGACAAAACATTAGAAATCGAAGAATGGTCGCTCAAATGCCCATATCCATACGACCGGAGGCAGCATCGCCCACAACCCGCTCCTTCGGATCAAGGCCCTGATCTTCATCGTCGTCATCCTCATCATCCTCCACTTCTTCATCTTCGACATATTTGACTTCCATGCCGGCATCACGAAGACGCGTCTTCATGTCCTCGCGGTATTGATCCTGCCAGCGGGCCAGTGCAGCAGCCGCATGAACTCTGAATCCGTAAATACGAGGCTCGTAACGACTGGTACTCTTCTCAGGGACCAAGCCTGGGTAAACCTGGAAAAGCATGCTGGGGAAAGAAGCTCCAAAATAGGCACCGTCGATAGAAGCATGGCGAGAGGACTTGGGGTTGTAAAGATCTTCGCATTTGGGGCAGTAAAGACGGACAGTGCTCATGTTCGGGATGTCATGCTGGCCCATGGGCAAAAGCGGCTGGCCTTCGCACATGACACGGGGGCATTTGCCGAAGTCGCCCTTCTTGTACTTGTCAACCTAGACATCAGTCAGAGGGTTATACTACTGCGATTATATTCTCAAGTTGATACATACCATCTTAGCAAGACCACGAGTGGTGACAATGTATCTTGCGTGGACGAGTCCATAGAGATGACGCGCCGACTTTTCAATCTGTTCGCGCAGGTCGTCATCCGCATCGAGGTCGAACACATCAGTCACCAGATCCAAGGCATACTGGTAGTATGGCACCTCAGTGTTGAGGCCAGTAAGGTTAAAGCGATCAGTCAAATATTCCTCATCGATTTCGCAGAAGTACTCGTTTCCACGAGAGGAGATGAACTGTGTGCCCCAGTTAGCTGTGTCGTCAGAGATTGGTGGCAGGTAGACAGGGAGTCTCTGCTGAGAGGAACGAAGACTAGGATTGGTTCTAAAGTAGTTGGGAACGACAGAAGGTGGAGGTGGAGTGCTAGACAGCTCTAACTGCTTCTGACTGGGCGAGGGAGACGCCATCTTTAGACTGCAGACGCAGAAAGGTGAGGTGATTCATGGAGCTGTGAAGTCGAGCAGAAGTGGCAGCGCTGCCCGAAATGGAAATGTGTTCCTCCTTCCAATGTACTGCCCCTCCCCATCCTGCTGCCACTGCAACCGCATCGTCCAGTATCACTATGCACCTTCCTTCACCCACAATCAAGTCGCAATTCCCCACCCAGTCGCACATTGGCGCAATCGACGATGAAATAGGGAAAGACTCACCCAATCTCTCCAGTAACTGGTATAGTCACTATCAGTCTCACTGTTGAAGTCCTCCATCATTTTGCCGGTGTTTCGTTCAAAGAAAGGGCACGAGTTTCAGTTTCGAGTTTCTGGATCTAAAGGTAAGATTATTTTCTTGACTTTGCCTGTAGCAGTTGCTGAGAGATAACTGGGTCAGACCCCAGGGCAGGAGAACCCTCAGAACCACACAGCTGGAATAATCTTCCTTGGAGACTCCACGGTCACAGCTCGAGTAATACTATGGAGGAACGTCAAGGGTCGTGGGATTCTTGAGTGGTTGCAGTGTGTGTCTCTTCCGCATGCCGTTGTTACTTATCAGCGGATTATCCTGTACGGGATTAGCGCGGGGTTGGCGGTGAGGTTATTGTCCGTGCTTTTAATCACCGCCTTTGTGGTGATCTGGGGTATCTGCCACTAGATAGCACTGTTTACACAGACTACTGCTATGAACTCAAGCTGGTCAGACATACACTGATCGAAACACAATGTTATTGTCATCAGCTACGGTGAACCTACTCCCTATTCTAGGCTAGGACTAGATGTAAATGTCATATCACAATCGGCGCCTCCTATGTAGATAAACAAGAGACTTCAAACTGGCGTAACGAGGGGTTCATTACCCCGAATTTGAAGCGCTAGTAAACATATATCCTGTTGTGGGGGTCCTAGGCATCCTGCATAGTTACTGTTCTGTATACTGCTTAGTGTCCACAAATGAGTCATCGTAATCCGCAGTTGCCTGGACTGCCTCTTCTTGCAGTCGATACTAGTGTCCGATGAGATTCCGCAACTTGGACCATTGACGGTGTTATGACATATCAGTGATTTTATAGGGGACAATAGACAATGTTTACTTTCCTTCAAATCATAAAACGCCAATGCTGTAAAGGGAAGAGAGGCCAAGGGGATAGGAATTGGTAATCCATCTGGTCATACATCTGGCCAGAGGCTCCTGGAGCTCGTTGTTTCTTTGCAATAGGGAGTTCTCCAGCTCTTTGGCGATTCAAAGCATAGTCTAATTGATGTGTCTGGTCAGGCATTCCTGGAACTCGCCGTTTCGTTGGATGAGGGTGCTATCCAGCTCGTTGGTGCGCTGGAGCATAGAGTTATCTATTTGATTATACCATGGGACGAGCGACTCCTCTAACTGGATTAAGCGTTGGAGCAAGGACTCCTGTAGCTCTGTGAACCGCCGATCTATGGTCTTGTCTATAAGCTTGGTCAAGGAATCTTGCAGCTCTCTGCCCTGCTAAAATAGGGTGCACTGCAAGTTATCCACTCGCGTGTTCAGGGACCCCTGGAGGCTGTTGACGCGCTGGTTGATGCTCTGGTCGAGGCCATCAAACTGTCGCTGCATAATGGTAGCCAAGGTTGCTAGCTCCATAATTAGTTCGTAGAGGAAGATGGTGGTGATAATGGTGATGAATAAGTACGTTGTATGTTATCCTAGGAGGGTGCAGATCACGAAAGCAGAGTGCCTTTAGATAGTCCTCTAGGTCGCAACAGAATTCACGGTTACACTGCCTCTTTCTCTCCCAGGCTGATGAGTGAAAATACACAGCATGAATTTCTTCGTCTCATCATTGCTTGGTGGGGGAATTCACATTGGCCTTTGGCAGATTTCACCAGATGCCTGGAGACTCCCTGCCACACTTGTTCGAAAAGGGGGTGCTCTCGATATTGAAGTATAGCTGTACAGTCATTATAATGTATTAAAGATTGTTCTATTATTCTCCCTACTCCTATCCCCAATTCCCTTTATTTGTGCTTTCTTATATATAAGAGTCACGAGGCTTGACGCTGCCCTAATAAGCCTATCGCTGTCATTCCTAAGCTACTTGCTCTTCCACAATCTGTAAACACTGGTCTGTCGAGCTGAGGCACTTGATATAATTGAATTATCTGGGGAAAGGACTACCATCCCGTAGAATCATGGCATCTGATTGATATTATCTCAACTCTAAGGTCTGACCATATAATAACCTGAGTGTTATGTAGAATCTTTGATCATATCTAATATATCTGATATATATACCTACTCTCAGATGCTTTCTGACGGCTAGACTATTATGTCAATATATTAGCCGGTGATCGTGATTCTTCCTATGTAGGAAGTTATCTCAGTATGACAGAATATTTTCTGAAGGAGTTATTGGAACAGTATCATAGATATGCATTGTGATATGAAAGCTGAAAAATCAACAATCATATGCGGGACCAGCAATAACCGTTCTTTCGTGTAACTTACCTTCATGGAAGAGGTATTATACAAGATAGAGTGTGTTCAGCTATTGAAAAACCAATGCCCCGTCGCTGAGAATGGGTGATGGGTCTCAGTGAGCGATCCTTTTGATTGACGATACGACTGACTATGTGAGAGCAAACAGGTCAATAGGCTCAGGAAAATCATATATGATCATGGTCAGAGACATTTAAATACTCTGACTAGCTTGTATTGAGATTCGTTAATTCTCAGTAATACTTGAGCGTGTTGAAATTGATGCTCGTCGTTCCAATGGTCTGCCCTTGGCTAACGGCTTCAAACCGCAATATCCCCTCCTGTGCACCAAAGATGACCTTGAGCTTGTACCGCAGATAATATAGACGCTTGCCGTCTACTGACTTCGACTCAAATCGGCTCAGATCGGTATTCGAGAAGTCAACAACGATTTCGCCCACTTCGTACACCCCTATTCCTCTGTTAGATGGAAGGATACTTTTCGAAAGTGTATGAGACAAACCATTTTCATCTACCCGCTCAGGGACTTGCGTATCATCGCAGGCGTAGAACGTGATGGGTTTCTTCAAATCTGAAGATTCAAAATGGGGATGGTTGATGTTTACGTTGTTTGTGTAGTTCTCTGTATACTTCTCGCCCTTTTCGATATTCACATCAGGGAAATGCATGAGGCTAATATTCAATAGAGCCGACACAGTACCCACCTTGGCAATCATCCATCTCATTATCCCCCTAACCATCTTCTCACCAGTAAAAGAGTGAATGTAGGAGTTGGCCTCATTATCAATTCCCTCGCGGAATGGAATGCCCCAGCAGAATCCGTAATGCCGACGGCAGTGTTTCGTGGTGGACCGGAGGCCCTCCAAGCCGCGAAGGGCAGCCCCTTGCACAATAGAAGCTTGCCTGCATTTTTCAGCACTTGACATGTATATTAATTTGTTAACTCTTCGAATGGGAGATTCTTACGGACTGTCGGGGATTGTGATAGTTATATTTCCCGAAGACTCAAACGACGACCGCATAGTTTTGCGAAGATATTCGGAGTCGCCAAATCCTCCAACCAGGACAATTCTCTAAGCAAAGCATCAGGCAATATTCGTTTGTTCTGAAGAAACTATATCTGTAGAGAGAAGACAGCATCAAAGAAATCCACTGGTAATACCTTAATTATATCTTTGCCAGTCTCCTGACGGGCACCTCTGATTTGCAACCTCACTAGACTGATAATCTGATCTATGACAGGGTCGAAGAGGGCGCGCAGGTCATCACTACGCCAGTACCTCATCAGCGAGATTTGTATGGTAAACTAGGCTTTCCTCGATTCACTTACCTTGATATGATGACCATTCGTTCTTCGTCATCAAAGTGTGCGGGATCTGGATCCGGAACAGTCATGTTCAAAGGCAGCTCGAAATAATCCGATTCGTCAGAACTTCCAAAGTCCCTTTTGATAATCTCAAACTGTTTCATGAATTCACTTCCAGGGCCTTTTCTTCTCATGGGTAAGTTGTCGAATGCGTCCCCGAAGCGGTCCGACATCAGTTTGTAGAAATTCCGGTCTACTGCGGTTGATCCGCATTTACCACCTGTGTTCAATTCAGCAATATACACGCAATGACAAAGATGTGGATACTTAAGGCATACCGATACCCGTGCACAGTTCCTCGAATTTCAAGGTGGGAAAGACCTGATTTACAAGGTAGGTGGTAATATCCTAAGCTATAAGCATCCGAGCGAGATGATGCCGCGATCAGAGTACTTACTACGGTGCCTCCACCACAGTCGCAGACAAGTATTCCCTCCCCGACCTAGCACATTTAGTCCGATGAGAACTGAGACTTAGAAGCATCACCCACTTTAACAGAGCCTCCGATACTGTTCGTGCTGTACTTCTTCAGAGCGGTGATTGCCGCGGCTTCAGGCTCACTAATTAAGAAGATTTCATCCCTTGGTCGTTCAAGACTAGCTCCAAATCCTGCTCGTTGTGCCGCAGCTTTCGTGGCATCCTGAGCTTGATCTGACCAGATAGCTGGGACTGTAAACCAGAATTCTAGGGGAGTTATGCTTAACTCTTCCTCTGTGATTTGCTTGGAGATTACTCCAAGAATATACTGGTAGATTTCAGCTAGATAGTCAGAGACAATATCAATCGCAGTCTTCCCCTCCGGTAATCGCAAGATACCCGCCTGGGAAGCGCTTTCGAGCGTAGCATCGTCATATTTCGTTAATGGAGTACTCTGATCTAGGAGTAACTTTGTCCACGAATACCCTGCCATTCCAGGTTCCACCTGGTATCCCCAGCGTGTCTTGCTAATACGCGGGTTATCGGTGGGATATGCGATACGAGACGGTGTCTTGAAGACAGTATCAGTAACTCTGGAGGGACCGGGCCAAGTGCTTATAACTATGACGTCGCTAAGCTCAGTCCCCTTTGAGCTAACATAGCTTGCCCCTTTTATACCCCTCTGTTAGTAGTCCAGTATTTCAGGCAGTAAGAATGGGACTGGGCTGTCTTAACCTGTAAACGTCGTGCCATAATCGACACCCACAATGATCTTGTGATTGGAGTGGAGGGCAAGTGAGCCCAGCCTATCGACAAGCGCCTTATCTAGGGACATTTTCCTTGACTTTCTTATCACAAAAAAGGCAGAAATGAGATTCCTTGCTCAGGTGCTGCCCACTTTATCTATGATTGTTGTCAACCTTGGATGAGCTGGACTACTAGTTCACATAGCCGCCCGCTAGAGAATTGGCCTAATTTAGTAGCTAGCCACCATGACGACTCCAGTACCTTTGGACAAGGGGCTATTTTAGACTGCCCAAGCTAGTTGCATTCCAGCAATTGCTGCGGGGGCATTTAAGTGCCCATGGCACCAATGGAGGATCGGCTGATTCATGATGAGCTGTCTAAATTGGCGGGAACTATACGCTCCTGGGCAAAACGACACAGTGCAGCATCCCCGAATACCTTGCAGGGTATCCCGAGAGAAGATAAAGATGTGATTATCGAAGGACTAGGGGAATACTGCAGCGAGCATGATTGGGACTCGCTTATCCAGAAGATCCCAATATCTTCTGGTAAAGTCCCGGCGATTCTTGTACAAGCCTTGTTATCCAGGCTTGTTTTTGAAACATTATTCGCGGATTGTTTCTTTGCTTTCACAAGAAATGGAAATGATGGCACTACACCTGAGCGGGCTGAAATGGTAAAGGTCTACAAGGCTATGCGACAAGGTGAGAAACCAAAGCACAGACGCTGATAAAGGCTAATCAAATGTCTGGGGCTAGTTGACGAGACATATGCACACGCTTGGCGCTCACAGACTTTGTGAATCCTCTCCACCACAGCTGGCCAAAAGACCATTTCTTTCTTGCAGGAAAGGATTGGGAGACTCAGTCGTGAGCTTGCAACCAAGTTCCTCGCCAGCCCAGCCAGTCACATCTTCCGTCAAACTGCAAGAGCTGATGATATCCGCACACGTGAACAGGAGCTACAATCGCTATTAAATGGCGCTGCGCAGCTGGCATTATCTCTCTGGACTCAGCGGCCATTCATAGTCTGCTGGATAGAATATCACGATTTCGCTATCAACCACCGCAAAATGAGCGCCCACCGTCTACACCATCTCGACGAAGATGATACTAGACTGGACGGTAAGAAGGTACTCCTTTTCATTCAACCAGCCATCCTAGCCTATGGCACCGCAGATGGCCAGGATTACAACCAGCGCAAAGTGTGGATGCGGGCGACTGTCGTGGTGGACGAGGGATCCTGAATGTTGACTTAAAAACCATCCCGTTCGACTATCTTGACAGTGTCCAGACACACAAGGTGCCGTATAGGGTATTTTATAGAGTGCTATTTCTGGTTGCTTGTTCGTCAAGCATTTCGTTTAGTGCGCCGAGTGAGGTCAACCTTGCGAGGTTCGCCCTGTCAGGGGGGCTATCGGAGACGACGGAGTAAACCGGCGCTTGGTACATGTTCATCAGCTTGACTGGTTGATTATCCATAGTAATATCAACCCGTAGTATGTGTTGCGTTTCATGATCCGACCCTGGCGTTTCCAGTTCTGGGTATGGCCCCCGCTTCCTCCCAGTAAGCGAGCTGCAGACTGACTGCGCCGCAGGGAGAACTAATAGTGAGCCAGAAAACAATACCTCGATTAGTATTAGCAGGTCTAATGCACTCCAATCATTTAACCTACAGGGTAATTCTCAGCATGAATGATTATAATAGTAGCAGCCAGGAGTACTGTGCTAGTAGGGGTAGTTGTCAGGCGACGTCCCTCTCTCGTTAAGGGCTTTTTGCCTTAGCTATGATCCTCGCCCTTCCGGTTCTCTACTAGCGCTGAGTTTCAGACAGGCAGAGTGGCCTCACTCTTACGAACAGCCCTTCGCTCGCAAGTGGATTACTCGTAATACTGGTATACCGTCTTCGTCCGCTTTATCCACCATCCTCAACATGAACCATCTGTCCCAGGAGCAGGCCCGGGCGGTTGTGGACAATGTCCGGGTGATAAACGGAGGCTTGACGGCCGAGGTTCAAAATGCGCTACCTAGAGAAGCAAAGGATGCGTTTAAAAACCTGCAAGCCATGGCGGGCGGCTCGATTGTGCACGTAGCCGAAGATTTGTACGACGCAGATACACGGTTCATCTTTGAGCTTATTCAGAATGCAGAAGATAATCGTTATGTTCATGCTGCTAGTCGTAACGAGGAACCATCTCTCCATTTCACGTTACACCAAGAGCATATCACAGTGGACACGAACGAGGATGGGTTCTCGGAGGATGATGTGCGGGCTATATGCAGTATTCACCGAAGTACCAAGAAACAAACAGGCGGCTATATCGGACACAAGGGCATTGGCTTCAAATCGGTCTTCAAGATCGCTTATAAGGTGCAGATCCAGTCAGGACCTTTCTGCTTCTCTTTTGAGCACCATAAGGGAGAGAGTGGGTTAGGGATGATCACCCCACTTAATGAGACCCCCGAGGATCTTCCTGCAGGAGTAACTACGCGAATATCACTTTTCCTGATACAACCGGAGGACTACGGTGCCCGAGCAAACGATCTGAGGGAACTCGCAGACACGATCTTACTGTTTCTCCGCAAGATGCGGAAACTGACGGTTGAGATAGTCGACCTTGAGTCTCGAATTACCTACCAACGCCACGAAGATACATCACGGCATGTGGCTACACTGGTAAAAGATACGAATGGCATTAAGGAGGAGAAATTCTATCATTTAGAAAAGACAATTCTTCATGACCTCCCAGAGCATCACAGCCGCCCCGTACAACATGAGGCAGAGATCATTCTTGGTTTCCCAATAGATGTCGCATCCAGCCCCCTCATTGAACCGCAGTACGTATATTCATTTTTACCCATGCGCCATGAGGGGCTTAATGTAGGTGGTGGGTACCCTAATAGTCTCTAGGTGTAAGTGCGCTGATTATTCCACAGTTCCTCATTCAGTCCGACTTCATCACTCAGGCTAATCGCCAAGGGATTCATCTGTGCCCTAGAAACTATACCATTCGTGAGGGGATTGTTGATTTGTTTGTACAAGCTGTCCGTTACTTCTGCAGTCACCGGACACTTAAATACGACTGGTTGCAGTATCTCCCAGGACCGCATATTCAGGATCGCTTCTGGGCCGATCTTCGGGACATCGTTTTTGACACCCTCAAGGAGTCGAAGATCCTCCTTTCATGTAAAGGCGTCTTGAATTATCCGCAAGACCTTCAACGACTATCTCCTCGACATTGCAATCGGGATGGTCAGCCTCTCTTGGATGACATAGATCCTGAAGCCTATCTTTCGATGGACTATGATTGGTCCACGCACGCTGAGAATTTGATAGAGCTGGGGGTAACCAACCTATCTTTTAAGAATATACTTGACCGACTGGACCCATACCTCCAAGGACCGTCTCCGCGATTCCTCGACCCGACCTTGGACGACGACTGGCACACAAGGCTAGCGGTTCTGCTAACACGCGCTATCACAAGGGACAATAACAATTCTATATTAACTGAGCGAATCAAAAGAATGGCCCTTATTCCCATGTCAGATGGCCGTCTTTTGTCTGCGTCTTCCACTGATATATTCTTCCCCAAGGACAACGTAGGAAATCTCATTCCGGACGATTTGAAACTGGACATTGTTAAAAGAGACGTTTTTGAGCATCCGGAGAGACGGAAGCTTATGGAAATGTTGGGAGTAAAGGGCTGCACACCAGCCCGAGTCGTCCAGGCTATCCTAGGGAAGTACAATTCTGCTACTGGTCATACCCTGACGAGCTCTGTCAATCACTTGGTTTACCTTTTCAAAACCCTGAGAAAAGAGGACAAGCTTGATAAGCGGGTTTTCATCATGGATCAGATGGGCAAGCGTATCTATCATACTTTTGTCCTTTTCGGTGCCGATATAATCGTGGACGACGTGTATTTCGAGACAGAGGGAGATTATGGCACAAAGGATCTTTCTCGGAGGCTGCGCTGCGTACCTGAAGGACAGGAAAATGTTGATATCAACATACATATCATTCATAATGCATATGTTAATGCGGTTCCACCTGAGGCCCGTAGTAATGGTCGTTCTTGGGAGCAGTGGCTGGAAGAGGTGGTACTGGTGCGCCGTATTCCGAGACTAAAACATCGCCAGCAGGACCGATTATCCACATTATGTCAGTTGACTGCGAAGCACCAGCCGATGACCTTGGTATGGATCTTGAAGACATATTGGAATAGCTACCGAGACGAACTTACAACTGGGGTGATTAGTGGCATTAGATCGACCAAAGTGGCTTGTCGGAATTCAGCAAACCTAAAGAAACTCGGGTTGACCTATTTCCCCTCAGCCGAATTAAGAAGGCTTTGCTCTGAAACACACGTTGATAATCTTTTTGACCGCTTCCTGGATGTACCTATTGGCTTGGCTAGGGATGACACTTGTGAATGGGGCTTCCTCGCCTCGTTTGGACTTCGCTTCGACCCAGACCTTCCAATGATCGCTGATATATGCAGCTGGCTGGCGGTCACCAGCAACCCACCACAGACAGCTTTATTCAAGATGTACAAGGAAATTTCAACTCGGTTCTCCGATGAAGATCCCGAGGATATACAAAGGTTGGTGTTCCATTTAATAGCGAAAGAGACAATATCTGACTGGCTTCGTGCAGCTACTGTTTCTGGGGTCGCTCAATTATTTATATACCAGTAGCCACGGGGAAGCCTCCTGTTTTGGCATCACTCAACGATTGTATCTGGGAAGGACCCCCCTGGCTTCGGACAAAGCACCCTCTCGCTATCCATGATCAATATTCTAATGACCCCCATATGGTATATTTGTTCAAAACCAAACTCGGACTTGCGGATGCCGACCTTCATACATATTTGAGCGAGCTGCGATCGCGCAAAAGTGATCTCAATGTGCCCATAAATGATGACCTACACAATATATACTGCGTGATCTGGCAGAACATACGGGAGCCCAAGGACCATAACCGAATTCGGTATGAGACCTAAGACAATGGTGGTAAAATTAGTTCAATGCTTATAAAAGTATAGGCATATGTTTACAGAACAAAATCTAGTGTACCTGCCTGCAGAACGAGCTTGGCTGACGCCAGCGTCTTGTGTCTGGGCAGACGCCCAAAGGATTGGAGAACGATACGGCATCAGCGCAGTGTATCCAGAGCTGGAAGACTTCTTCCGGACTATACTCAAAGTGCAGGTTCCCACTACAGCTACCTACATAGAACAACTCCGGAGATTAGCCTCCCATGACCCCGAGAATGTGGCAGAGATCAAGAGTGCCATCGACAAGATGGTGGCACTATCCCCAGGGCTTAATGATCTCGAAGCCTTACATGAAATTGCATTCCTGACAGTTGAGATACCCAGTGGAAGTGTGGAGTTGTTGCGGCCTACAGATACATTCTTCATTGTAGACCGAATTGAATACAGATCTACATTTCAAGGCAAGGTTCCCATCCTCGACTTTTCCCTCGAAGACGTCCGACGGCTGGGCCGGCTACTGAAGTTCCTATCTCTGGAAGACCGGTATATCTCCAGGATAGTTCAGGAGAAGACAATGGTTGAACAGCCATCATCTGAACCGTCCCTCAGTGAAACAAGGGCATTCCGGAGAAAGGCGAAGCACATCTACCGGTGAGTCGTGAAACAGAGAACTGGACTTTTCAATAATAACAGGTCTTCAGTTGCGCATTGCATTACCATACATGTAATCTGGAACTAGAGGACTCGCAGACACTTCAACAATTGAGGAGTGCTGTGGTCTATGAAAGCGATGGGTTCAAAAAGGTTTCAGCTCTTCAGCTGAACGAAATTTCAGCTAGCGTGCAGAGTGACACGGGTTTAGTGCATATTAATGACAGTAATGAGACGCTACGCATCTATATTCCCAGAGATCGTAGTGACCGTCAGCGTTGCTACTGTCTAGAGCTTCCCAATGCACTAATCCGCTTGTTTGGCCTTCGGGACCCCGCCGCATTCCTAACCTTGCAGCTGGTGTTTGCCTCCTCAGAAGACATGATTGACCATGTGTTAGATGGTAATGGTATTATTCGGATATCCGACGAATCTCAAGTATCAATATCGTCAGACTCCGACGGTGACGCTGAGACCTATTCTCTCTCCGATCCCGAGGACATGGATAATCTTCAAGAGACCTCCTATACACCCCAATCAACACCGGCAACAGTGACGGAACTATCCTCTATCTCTAGCTCGACAGATGGTGACATTACGACAAGGCCATTTCATACTAATTATAGACATGGGCACTTTTCATCAATTGCCAACAATACAGTGATGTCAAGCCATTCATCCCCTCCTCCCTTGGAAAGAAGCGCCGAGCCCGACGCCTCCGAGCAAATATACATTCAGCTGTTAGACAAGGTTATACAACTGGCACGGCGAGTTACACTTTCTCAAGCCTTACAGCGGCCAAATTTCACAAATGAGCCAGTATTCAGACTCCAGGGAGAGACTCAGCTAGAGCATGATTTCAAAGTTGGTGCCGCAGGAGAGCTGTTTGTCTGTAACTCAATACACTCTTTCCAGTATCAGAAACTGACTTCCTGTTGTCTTTAGATATTTGAGCTTCTTTTAGCGGAACTACCAGGGTTCAACCGCAGCAACTGGCGAAGCAACATTCGGAAGAGGGTCATTGTGCATCCGGAGTATCAAGATATTACCGCATGGAATGGTGCTGAAACCGCAGATATAATATATCAGGATACCAACTCGGCTCTCACGAACGCCCTGATTGATACAGGGTACCTGTCCAACGCACGATGGCATGGTGCCCGCCCGACATATTATATAGAGGTGAAGACCACTACGGGAGAATTCGAAAGCCCCTTTTTCATGAGTAAGGGACAATACAGGCGTGTATGTTACTCTCACTATATTTCGGACTCTATTTTGTCTTTCGATAAAACCCATACTGATGGAGTATATATAGATGCAGAGAATGCAAATTTGGCCTACCGCTGGATTCCCGGACGAGGTCTATGTGGTTTTCAGGGTATATCACTTAGGGAGAGACAGTATGAGAGTGAAAGCTTATGTTGATCCTGAGAGCCTACGGCTACAGGGAAGGTTGACATTTACATCAGAAACATACAGCGTCTGTCCCAATCTAGCATAATTGGAAATTTGCAAAAAGATGGTCACAGTATATCTTTGGAAATGTACTGTAATATCGAGAATTGCCGTTAAGATCAACAATATAAGACCATAACATGTTGACGCTGCCTAGTTAAGCCTAGCACTGTTGGTCTTCCTAAGCGATTTCTTCTTCCCACAGTCATGTTGATAGAACCAAGCAACATAATAATCTAATCAAGGAATTCAACCTACAGGACCATTTGTCATAACACAACTAAATAAGAAAAGGAGGACGAAGCAACTCACAAGTGAGGATATGTATAATTACTGAAAGTTTAGCTATGCAGACACCTCTCCTTGAGGCAGAATTCGGGTCTAAACATGAAAACTCCCAAGCCCACAGATAAGAGGGAGCCTGAGAAACGGCTACCACATCCAATGAGCAAAAAGCCTTGACCTACGAAAGCAGCTGCTACAATGTATTACCCCTATTCTCAATATTCGTCTGCGCTCGTGGTCCTCTGTATTATCGTGATTTGCTTAAATTTTATGCCTGACAGTGAGCTATACCTAGGTTACTACCCTAACCATTGGTTTGTGATCCTATATCCAGTGTCTACAGATATCCTATACTTACCATTTCAAAAGGGTCATAGTTAAAACTAGTTAGCATATGCCTTTTTAGGATGAGAGACCATGTGCTGATGCAGCTAGTTCTCTTTTTGAAGGATCTCTGTCAAACAAGAACAAAACATTGTGGCATTTCCTTAATGACCTTGCACTATACATGACCACCCCAAAACCACCCACTAACTGCGGTATCGCTTAACCCCAGACCCCATCTTACAAAGAAGGGTTAGCGTTCTCAACCAGCTGTTCGAAGTAAGCCTGCAGAGTCATGTTAGTACGATACTCTCAGAAAGCTAAAGTGAAGAAATTCTCACCTGGAACCAAGTACCAGCCTCAGGAGCGGGCGTCAACGCATCAGCATATCCACAGTGAGCATCGTAGCGCTCTGCAGAGGAATCAGAGGTTCCGTCACTCTCACCACCGGGCTTAACCCAGACGAAAGCATCGACGAGCTCATCACCAGTATCGGTGGTAGGACGGACACCGAACCCGGTGTTCTTCACGTTGCACCAGTCGCCCCATTGGCTTTGGCCGGTGGGTTGATTTCCGTTGCGGCCTGTGTGGATTTGTTAATCAAGATTCAACAATGCGAAGGATTTATGTTATGGACATACCAGTATCAACGATGAAGTGAGCATCGAATCCAGCGCTCTTCAGCTGCGGGGCGAAGTTGTTGATGTAGGTCTTCTCATCGCAGACCTCGCTGCCCTGTGTGTATGAAGGGCAGGAGTCGATGGACCAGGCGTTGTAGTTTGCCACGTTCGTGACTAAACCGCGGACAGCGGCAGGGGATCCTGCGTCCTTATATACGGAGGCGAAGAGCTCGGCTGCTGGGCCAATGTTGGCTGGCCAGCCTAGCCATCCGGCGTGGCCTGTTGAGTGTTAGATTGGTAGTTCTAGAGCATTGTCTGGGTATATGGTGGATGCTACGCACCGGCATCAAGGTACATCGCAACGTTGGGCAGGTTCAGCTGCTTCAAGGCATAGTTGGTGCATTCCAAATAGGCGTCGTGGGCGTTGGCGCACTTTTCTACATTCAGGTTGGTAACCAGGTTTGCCAAGCTGTCCGGTTCTGGTGGATATCAATAAGTTACTTGGTTCAACAGGCGACATAGGGTAAAAACTTGAAATGATATGTGTACTCACCGATAACCAAGATGATTTGAGTATCCGAGTACTTCTCAACCTGCTCCCGGATGGAATCAATATACGCCTTGTACTTCTCGACTCCACCATCACTAATCAGGTACTCTCCGTTACTAGCCAACGCCGCACAATCCCGATCCGGCAGATCGTAGACGACGAAGATACCCGCAGTTGGGGGATTCGCTCCGGCATCGTTCTTGCTCTTGATATCCTCGAGGAACTCGCCCATTTGGGGGACTTTGTCTGCTGTGTCACTGTGAGGTTCCCCATTAGTAACTTGTTCGGTTCAATTGTATGGAAAGAAAATCATACAGCCAGTGGAAAGAGGGAACATTGGCTGCAGCGCTGGCCTTCTCAGCCAGCGAGCCAGTCATGGATGGAATGGCAATATTCTCCACCTCGGACTTGTAGTAGGGGTTTACATAGAGGTCATATCCCTCGAAGGGATTTCCACCTGCTGTTGCCGTAGGAGCAGGGGCGCTTGACGAAGGAACGGACGACGAAGGAGTCGGAGTGACGCTCGCTTGGGGAAGTGCTCTGGCAGCGGAGAAGAGAAAGGGCGACAGAGCCCACAGGGCCTGCATGTTGAGGGAATGCATAATGAACGGACAAGATAACTTGCTATCCACAATACTCTGGAGATGGTGAGTTGGTGTATCGAACTCTGGACTTCTGCAGGATATTGAGCCCCATTTATATGCATTTCTCCGTATAAATGCATGACATTCAGATGACTTGCCGAAGACCAGAGAAATGCGATTCGGCTAAAGGCAAATGTCACCGGCTCTTCAGTTCATGCATCCTGTTTCATCCTTCTCATTTCAGATGGACATGTTGTCACTTCAGTAGCAGAGGCGGATTCGCCCCGTAGCGGAAAGGGAGCGGAGTGGGTGATCTTCATCACATCGGTACTTCTCAAGGCTTAGTGCGGTGTTTATTGTATGTACCTTGCAGCTCGGGTAAAATTCATGTCCAAGTGAACGGATTTGAAATTGTCATATGTAAATAGGCTATGTGCTGTCCAAAAAAAAAAAAAGGTGACACCGCAGGCAGCATCTTATGCCGGGATATTACAAACAAATTATCAATAACCTCATGATCAAAAAGACTTGATAACAATGTCTGGGGAAATTATTATATTGAAAAAAAGCCCAACAATGCATACTTTAAGAGCTGAAGGAACTCAAAACATTTCCCGTTTCATGTACAGGGCTGTCCGCCGGGAAATCTGCATAATTTCTCCGTCTAGCTAGAATAATGAACGACAGGATAATTCCGGAAAGATGCATCCAGGATCACTACAACACCTTACCAGACACCATTAAATACTGCATTTAGGCTTTGCAGATCTCTGTTTGAGGTTCAGTTGTTGAGACATCCTCGGTCCGTGACTTGTGTGTATCTATCTGGAAAGGAGATGTCCGTCAGTTGGTGCCAAGATGCGGAGTAGTTTCTGCAGGAAATTACTATACAATCAGATGTAGACGGTTCGACGGGCCGAGTTCCCATGGGGAAGGATCGCCACTTTGAATATTTTGCATAATATACTGTGGTTAAACCTAGTAAATATGGAAAGCAGCTGCCTGCCTGCCTGAATTTCGATTCACATAAGCATATATATGGAAGAGCAGTACTTCAGACAAAGCCTTTCGCTTTGTATCCTACCTTCATTGTTACCATATAACACCGCGGTTTAAGCTTCTGAGCAATGTAGAGGTAATGCCGTGAGATATATATTCAAGTCATGCCCCGCGGTGGTAGTTAAGCAGTTTACTGAATATATACAGTTGGTTTGTAGAACTATTATACCCACAAAATCATGTACCCGTAAAGTTGGTACAGAAACCTGGACTCTCAATGGATCAACTTGATACTAGTATTGATATCTTCACCTTCAGTTCATAATCTTGTATCCAAGACTTAGGTGGTTTGTTCTTCTGGTGCCGTACAGCCTGACCGGGAATATCTGATTGGCTCTTTTAATCAGTCAGCCTTGCGCTTCAAACCCCTCATGATGCCCGCTTTCATGATGAGACATCATTGCAGTACTTTAACTCTATCATCAGCAATGTGCTGTCAAGATGGAAGCCTCGGATAATCCACTACATGCAGATTTTATGTTTGCATGGATCTGCGCCCTGCCGCTCGAGTTAGCCGCCGCGTCGGCAGTGCTTGATGAAACCTATCCCAGCCTCCCTGCTACCACTGTTCATAATGCCTACGTTCTCGGGAAAATTGAGAATCACAATATTGTTTTGACTTGCTTACCTGCCGGCATATATGGTACAACGTCGGCAACAGCTGTCGTGTCTCACCTACAGTCGACTTTTCCAAATCTTCGCTATGGGATTCTGGTCGGCATTGGAGGTGGTGTACCAAGCAAGAGAATTGATGTTCGGCTAGGAGATGTGGTGGTCAGCAAGCCTATTAGCAGTTCGGGCGGAGTTATACAGTACGATTTCGGAAAAGCAATCAAAGGTGGACACTTCCAGCGTATCGGCATGCTGAACCAGCCACCGATGGTCTTTTTGACTGCCGTCTCGCAAATAGAGGCGAACTATATGAGGAGTAAAGATGGTCTCATTCTCGCTGAGGTGGCCGAAGTGCTCCATCGGAATCCAGACATGGAAAAGACCTTTTCTAGACCATCAGTGGGGGACCGCCTCTTTCGCTCAACATATGATCATCCAAGCTCCGAGAGTTCTTGCATCGCATGTGATCCCACAGAAGAAGTTAATCGTGTCCCACGGGTGTCGAAAGAGCCGCAGGTTCATTACGGCACCATAGCATCTGGAAATCGGGTGATCAAAGACGGTCGCGAGCGAGATACGATCGCCCAGGAGTTTGATACGCTCTGTTTCGAAATGGAATCTGCAGGTATCATGAACCACCTCCCATGTCTTGTAATTCGCGGCATCTGCGACTATTGCGACTCGCATAAAAATAAGGAGTGGCAGGGATATGCAGCGCTTGTTGCTGCCATATATGCCAAATCCCTTCTCTCTGCGATACCGGTGGTCCGCAGCCAACCAGAGAAGATGCAAAAGAGAGGGGGTTGGACGGTCCCCTTCAGCCGAAATCCACGATTTATGGGTCGAGATTCTGAAGTAGACTGGTTGAAAACTCGAGTCCTTTCTCGAAACTACGCTAGAAAGGCAGCAATCTCAGGTCTTGGGGGGATTGGGAAAACCCAGATTGCAGTTGAACTAGCTCACCGGATTAGAGGGCATTATCCAATGCGCTCTGTCTTTTGGATTCGGTCTCTCAACTTAAAGTCCGTTGACCAAGCATTTTTGAACATTGGGGAACAACTAGGAATGAAGAATGCGAAGGCCACAAACGTAAAAACATGGGTGAAGGCATATCTAAGCTCCAAAAAGGCTGGTTCGTGGCTACTCATCATTGATGATGCAAATAATCCAGATATGTGGATATGCTCCAAATCCTCATCACCAGCACTCACAACCTTTCTGCCCCAAAACCAAGATGGATTTATTCTTTTCACTACTCGAAATCAACAGCTCGCGACAAAATTAGCAGGACCTGATATCATGAGGGTATCTGAAATAGACAATGTAGCTGCAATCAAATTGCTACACCGATCTCTAGTCCAAGACACTTTGTTAACAGATGAGACATCTGTTTACACACTACACTCACTAGTAAGATGTTTTCCTGCCCAAGCTATACGAATTTCCCTTCACGGAACATAATTAGGCGGTCTCAGTAGGCAGAACTGGCAGCCCACCAGGCATCCAAAGTTGTTAACACTGGATTAGAAGAATAATTTATATTATTGATAAATGTTTATAAAATAATTAATCAATGGCCTAATATATATATATTTATATACTGCTCCAGTAAAAAGAGCCGTACTCAAATTGGGTGACAGAGCCCAACTGGCAGCAAAACAGTTCACTTATACACTAGCGAACTGTTTTCCTGCACAAACTATAGATGAGACATCTAGACTAGTGTGCAAGCTAGAGGGCTTACCACTAGCACTCATACAAGCAGCCAGCTTTATGAACGAGAACTCAATCTCCCCGGAAGCATATTTATCTCTGCTCAACAAGGATGAGGACACGATGATCGATTTGCTCAGCGAAGACTTTGAAGATGATTATCGATATCCAAATTCAAAGAATCCAGTAGCCTTTACATGGCTTAACTCATTCCGGCAGATCCAAGAGTCAAGCGACTTAGCAGCAAAGTATTTATCCTACATGTCATGTCTTGCTCCGCGGGACATTCCACTATCCATCCTTCCACCTGGCCGGTCAGAAATTGAGCATCATAAAGCACTAGGGATATTGAAAGGTTGGTCTTTCGTCACAAAGCAGAAAGACAACCGATTCATCAGCATGCATCGGCTGGTTCATTTGGCAACAAGGAGTTGGCTCAGAAATGAAAACCTGTTTGACAAATTGAGTACTGAAGTTGCTCGGCATTTGTATGAGATCTTCTCGCCCGACAACGAGCGCTGGCAAAAATACCTTCCTCATGTTCAATTCATCTTGCAGAGTAACGAACTTCAAAAAGATTCACAGATTAGGGAAGCATTATTACAGAGAGCTGGACAATGTCTCTACAGCCAGGGAAGATACAAGGAAGCAGAAATACATTTGCGAGACGTGCCTTGAGGTCTGATGGAAAAATGTGTTAAAGGGCTGGGTCATAGCAAAATCCTAGGCTCAGATCACCCACATGCCATAGCATATTCTAATGTGTCTAATGATTGGGAAACAGCAGCGAAATACTTATCAGGAAATAAGACACAACAAAAATTCGTCAACGTTTGTCCTGCGCTCTTCATGCAAACTCTTCCCCCCCAAGCATATTGAATTGGATGTATGTCCGTCACGGGCCACAAGAGGTGGCCATTGATGAGGGTACTTGGGAGATGATTATCTGTATTTGATCCTGTTGGTATAACTGTAATTTGTGATTCAAGGCTGTGCTAGACCTCCTTACAGCGCTCATAGTATAAATTGCATGAATTCTGGAACAGTTTGTCCATGGAAATCGTAAGGTAGTACTATAAATATCAGCTATGTATGCTATAAACGAGCATATAACATGGCCGTAGAGGCTGCCTGAGAGAAAGAAGGCCAACCGACGGTCCACTGAAGCTGTATCAAGTACCTCACGCAGGTTTGCGCCGAAGCATTTAATTTTCTGTATTACTTTTACACGTATTGTACTGTAAGAGCAGATTAGTATAATCCTGAACAAAATCACTCCCTTTTTTTCTCTTGTCGTTTCCTTTCGGCATCGACGATGTCCTCGAACGTCATGATTTCTGCTCTCCTAATGACGCGTCGACTTTTGATGCTGACGGCCCTTCTTCGCATTATATTACTGGAATAATTCCTGGTTCTATGGCAGACAAGTTAAAAGTTCTGCAAATACTCTTTCTGTCGCATTCAGCGCCTCCTGAAGTTGAAACCTAGCACACTCACTGATGATATTCGCATTATCTTCAACTTTGCTGCGTAAAATCATGGCCAGTGGTTCGGGTAGCTTAAAATAGTAGTAGCTCCAGAAATAACCACACTACTCTCTAGAGGTACTGTTTTCGACATGCGGTTTCGAGATGCTTGCACGAACGCCTCCAGGCTTGAAGAGGCGTAGTCTGGTTTTGGACTAACTCTTGAGATTATTCTTTTAGGGTAACTGTCTCAGCCCTGGGGCGGCTGGGGGTTGTGGGATGTATGGATGGGACAGCAGCCGGCAAAAAATGATTTTATTCACATAACACGATGTTGGAATTCAAGTGGTTCGTGAGTATGGAATCCATTACTGATCTGAAGATGTGGCGTATTCCTGGCCTGAGATTTGGTCTGGGGGTTCTATAAAACGTGTCTGATCTAATAAAAGGCTAGTCACGCTATCGTCATAGCTGGATTGGGCGTGGGCAAAGTACCAACCTGGAGATGAATGGGTAGTAGTTAATACACGAGTCATGGCTTATTTACGCAGTAGGTATACAGGTAATTGATGGTTCAATTGATTTATATTCAGTAATAGCCAATAGATTGAGCACACCTCGCATATATGGTGTCTGCCTCACAAATTGATGAACAAAAGAAATTATGGTAAAAGACTGTCAAAGCCTGTGTAAAACAATATGGAAACGCAAGTAGCTAAGCAATTGGAGGTGCACGGTTACATTCGGCAAGGAATCGATGCAATCCGTCCGATCCTTCATATTCAGAAGCACTGTCAGGGAGCCCGGTGCTGGAGATCTCATGGAAGTATGCGCGATCGCCGAGTTCGCTGATGTTGATACTTGAATATCCAGAGGACGAAGAGGAATGCTGCCACGGATTCTCACCGAACATGGTTACGTCGTCGAAACTGAGTTTTGGCCCAGAGTCTCCGAGAAGCTCAGGTGAAGCCTCTGTGTTGTTCTCTGAAGACATCATAGCTTGCCAATCAACTTCTTCGGGCGCTTGCGGCTCAGAGGGCCCCTTTGAGAAAAAGTAATCCACCGTCTCTGGTGACGCGGGAACACTGGGGGCAAAGGGGAACAGAAGAGCAAGGTCTGCACCTGTACGAATATCGAAGTCTTCGTCCTGCATAATCTTCCCTCGTTGAACTCCAACCTCATCACAGAGCCGTTCGACAGTGGCTGCGTCACACCCAGGGAATCTCACCCGGAGCGTCGACTTGTCGTGAAGTAAAATAGGAAGGTCGCCCAAGGTTGACAGGCGTTTGAGGTCGTTGAGTACAGCAGCCAAGTCCTTAAGAGCACGCGCAAAATCGGCAGAGAGGAAGTCCAAAAGACCATCCGAGTTGATAGTCTCCGAAGCGAAGGCTCCCGACGGATCGAACTTCTTCTGAAGGCCAAAAGCTGTGATGGTAGGGGAGAGCTGGAAGTCAACGAAGGATCCCGGTGCAGTGCGAGGGATTCCCGTCATCTTCCGCTCGGCCTGATGTTGAAGCGCGCTCACGGCTTTGTACTTCTTGTTTCCACTAACTTCGTCAATGCCATCAAACCGGACCTTCTGTCCCGAGAGGAAGAATGCCCGGACACCCATGGATACATTTTGAATGACCTGAGCGGGTGCAGCTGGGCCATGTGAGAAATACCGGGCACCCCCGATCCGGCCGGCTCCTATAGTATAGCCTCCCGCCGTACGGCCGAGAGTACCGCCGGTCAAGTTTGGACGAAGAGTTGACGCAAAGGGTGCTTGAGAGGTGAGACGGCTGATGTTCGACGCAACACGGGATGTCTTATAGGCAGCGCGGTCACCCTGCAGCCCAGTCCGGATATAAGAAACGAAGGCTCTCGCTCGAGTGGAGTAGTGACGGCGACGGGCCTGGCGAATTGCTGCAGCGCGGTTGATCGGCTGATTTGGGGTTATACGTGCATAAGCTGGCTGAAGTCGAAGGGCTCCATGTTGGACTTGTTCTGGAAACTTGGTCCTTATGGCTTTGTAGGCCTTTTCGTAGGCAAACCTGGGGCGGCGTTAGGACGGAGATATAGTCCGGATAGAGTGGATAAGGGATTACTCACCTAGCTGCTCTCCAAAACTTTGGGAGCAGCAGGTGCCCGCTGGAAGGCGGCATCCTGACGCTGATGAGGAGAGATGGTCTAAAATAGACGCAAAGATGGAGAAACCATTTACGAAATGGAGAAATGGATAACAAGAGATCCAAGGAGAGGAGACGGAGGAGTGGATGACGGGTGGGTGCCTGATGATAACGGCATAACGTGGCGGTGCAGCACATGATCGCCACTGCGTCATTCGAGTCATCCTGCTGCCACGTGACTCGCCGGTTCCTCCCGCCGATTCACATTAGTACAATTAAGTACAAGACCATTACTACTACTATGTGTTAATGGTGCGTGGCGTATATGTGACAGCTATGTTGCCTTTTTTGGCATGGACTTTCTGGCAGTATACAGGAGTCAGCCAATAATTCATTCAGTCGTAAGGTGCCCAGAAGCGCAAGCCTTTTACAGTTACTCCATGAAAACAACGCTTGCCTTCAGCTTTGCCCTGCCATGTCAATTTCGCCCCATTGCTTAGCTAGGACTTCTCCTGCTGCCTCTGGGCCAGGGTGGGCTTTCTAGAGCATATAATACACAAAGAATTAATTGTGTTTCCCAGGTGTTTAGACCTGGAGTTGGGGATATTGTAGGACGTGTTCTAGGTGGTCTAACATCAATAGATCCACTTCTGCCACGATGTCGTGAGGGTGGTGAACTGTTATAGCGTGTACGTTGAGCTTATCAATGGACGACCTTGTATATACAATTCAAATTGAGGGATATCTATACTCTAATGCCATCTGACCGTAATATCACAACATCATAATCTACTCATCATCACCGAAGAAAACCTTAATAGGAAGCCAGCTATCACCGCAGACCTTAAAGCGATCCTTCATGTTATCAAGCTGGCTAACCTCCTCATCAGTCAAGTTCCACCCATCAAGTTCAAAGTTAGCATCAATGCGCTCCTTGCTAACAGACTTGGGAATAACACTACAGCCCCTCTGGATACCCCACTGCAACAGACACTGCTGAGGTGTCTTGCCCTTTTTCTCCGCAAGCTGGAGCAGCGTAGGATCCTTGTACAGGGGTGAGTTCGTCGACCCCAGACAAGAGTACCCTGTCGAGTGAATACCCTTAGAGGTATTGTAGGCAACCAACTTCGGGGAGGGGTTGTTAGGGTGCAGCTCGATCTGGTTGACGGCGGGAACGATCTTGGTGCTAGGGTCATTGAGGAGCTTCTCGAGGTTCTTGATGCCGAAGTTCGAGACACCGATGTTGCGGACCTTGCCGGTGGCGGGAAGCTTCTGCATCTCTTGCCACGTCTTGATGAAGTCCCAGTTCGGGAGGTGCTTGGACGTGTCATTGGGGTCGGTGCTGCTGGGCCAGTGCACGAGGTAGAGGTCTACGTAGGAGACACCCAGGTCCTTTAGCGAGGACTCAATACCCTCGGACACGCGGTGGTGCCAGGTATTGTCCAGCTTGGTGGTAATCCAGATCTCTTCGCGGGGCACGCCGGAGTCCCTGATGCCTTGGCCCACTTCGGCTTCGTTACCGTAGGCGAGGGCGCTGGTTAGGTTAGTTTCACAGTTTGTATCCTTGGTAGATCTGGGTTAATTGAGGATGGACGTACGTGTCGATGTGGCGGTAGCCCTTCAGGAGAGCATTCTTGACAGCCTCACGCACTTCGTTGGGCTTGGATTGCCAGGTTCCCAGACCAATGGCGGGGATCTTGGCCCCGGTGTTCAGGGTGTAGGTCTTCCTGTAGTTTAGAAGTCTTGTTAGTTGATGTTCCTTTTTTTTGGACTTGAGGGCCCTCGGGCACGCGGGCACTCACTTGGTGTGCTGGAGGCTAGCCATTTTGTGCAATTGAGTAGAGGAAAAGAGATATTTTATTCCAACGTGTTAGAATGAATTGTTAGAAAAAGCGATTCAGAAAAAGAGCAAGAGTAAGAGATTATAAACGAGGGGTAAACAAGACCATTTATAAGCTACCAGAAGAGACCGAATGTTAGGGCAGGTCCATCCAGCGGGATGATGTCAAAGGAGGGGCGCGCGCCCAGTTTGCCCCTCCAGCGGTGGGGAATTTCTTACTACTAAAAGTTCAAAGCCGACATTAGCCCTGGCCGACTCTATCCGACCGGTGACTTCAAATTGTCCAGTGAGCGTTATTAATGACAAAGCTTGATTGAGTCGAGACCAATAATTGTCTTCCACATCTTCTCAAGGTCTCCGTTAACATTAGCAAAGCTCCACCGTGGTCTGAGAGTTACTGCTAATCTCGTCTTGGAGTTTTTGTTGCTTCAGGTGCCTGGATGGGCAACGTGTTCTTTCTGTCGAACTAATCATTCTATTATGGATTCGTGATCCTAGAGTAGAATGGCATCAGGGGCTTGGCCTTATCATGCCTTCATGGATTAATTAAAAAGCATATTCTGCTATGGTGAAAGCCTCTAACCCTGACGAGTAACTCTTTCCTGGGTTCCATGCCCGTAAGGAGAACACTTGTTCCGAGTTCTTGGAGGGTCCCTACACTAGCTTATTAACTTACTGTGCTTTAATAGATGTAATGTGCTGCTCGACTTACTTTATAGTAATGACCAACGTCCTGGCAAGATTGTGGTATACCGAGAATATATCCTTACGCCAGACATTTAAAGTCATGGATAGATATAAAATGTAAAGGCTATCTATACCATCAAGCATGATCTCAGTTCGAGATCTCCAAGAGAGGGAGGCCTAAAGTATTTGAAAACAGGACATGGTATCGAGGGGGAAAGCGAGGAACTTGACGTCTCGTCTTGACTTCAATGAAGGAGTAACTTGTCAATAACGGCCACTGCATCCTGCAGGTCCAGTTCCCGCGGGTTCCCATACTTGACCAACACTTTCAAGGCGTCGTGGTCTTCCAGCTCTAATGCCTTATTCACCATCTCCTGTGACAACTTGATATCCACCTTGTGCTCGAGGAATGTCTGCAGGACTGATCCATGGCGTGCATTAAAGGCACTCATGATAAGCTCGTTTGTCACTTCGACCTCGAAACCACTTTCCAGGATCAGGTCAAGAATAGCAACATAACCCGAATCTTTATTAATCTTCGTGGTTGACATCACGGCATTTAAGATTTCCTGGCACTTTTTCGCATCTTCCACCCGGGCAAACAGGAATTCTAAATCCGTTGACTCTCGATAATGCCGATCTGCGGCGTTGATAAACATCTCGGGACACACTTCAACCTGGGGGGCGAGTTTCCAGAGGAGTTTTAGCATATCGGTAGTACACTGGGTATTACCCGATGCTTCGATCAGTATTTCCTTGGATATCACAGGGTGATTTAACGTCAGAAGATGTTTCATTACTGCCAGGCTTCCCCTGGATGCGGCTTGCACTAAAAGGGACGGAGTCGCCTCAGTGATCGAACATCTGTCGAGAACTAGTCGCAGTGTTTTGAGGCTGTCTGTCCCGGCCGCAATGTGTACATCTGTCTCGTTGAATTCACGGTGGCCGAATTGAGCTTCAAGCAGCTGTATAATCTCGTAGCTAGAATGGCTGTTCCGGAGAACCGCCTCTATTACCTCCGGAGATGGCATCTCGACCGCTGTATATCGATCTAGTAGAAGCTTTGTCATTTCATCACCAAATCGACGATTCTTAACTGCGCCAAGCAGGAGTTGGTTTGATACTTCCGTCAACCTGTGTCGATCCAAGAGCCTTGGGATTGTCTCATCGTAATCCAGGAACATTAATGCGTTCTCTATCACCGCGTCGGTGATCTCCAACTCTCGGCCGTCCTCGAAAATGATATCCAGAATGATGTTCCCTTTCATCGAGTTCTTCGTAAACGCAATCAAATTCCGTTCTGGAACCTTCAGACCAGGTCTCATTTCAAGCAGCGCCTGGAGCGTTTCTGGATTCCCCCATGTATTTTCAGCGCATTGCAGCATCATTTGGGCCCACAGGTTATCGTCCAACGGACGGTCCATCAATGAAACAACGAGCTTAACCATGGCATTCCCGTCATAAATATTCTTCGCACTACCTGCGATCATTTCGGGTGTAAGTTTGCCTCCGGCCTCGAGGAGAAGCTTAAAGGGGGCTGCCATTCCCCATTCGGCGGTGCGTTGAAGAATATTCTTGGTGACCGGCCATCCATGATCAAGAAGCATCTTCACCATCTCCCAACTCGGGTTTTGCTCTAGTGCCATCGCCATAGCTGCCTCGGTTACTCTTATTGGCCCAGCACGCTTCAACAAAAGCTCCATTTTCAGTCTCATATTTTCTTCTCCATCTCCGAGATATCCCAGCATTGCAATGGCGTCACATGTGATGATGGATGGACCATTCCTGTCGAGAATATCTTGCAGAGTCTTCATCTCAATAGGACCGATAGCATTAACCAGTATCTGAGGAGTGATAGCAACATCTGGGGCGCGACTGAGAAGTCCCTCAATAGCCCCATAAAACCAACCACATTTTTCAATCAACTCCGACGTGATCTGAAGATCCTTGTTATGATCAAGTAATATATCGAAGATTTCCCTATCTGCCCGCCTTGCGCGCACGATAACTCTCTCCGTGATTAGGCTAGGCTCGACCAGACTCAAAAACCATCGGAGTGGCTCTATGTCATTGTTCTGGACCAAGGCGTTCAGGACGCGCTTTTGCAGCATCTGGTCTTTCATTTCTCCTATCAGAAACTGCAGAATATCATAGTGGCCATGAATTGCGGTCGCCATGATGCATTGTTCTTTCACGTCGACGTCGAGATCATGGTACTGGTCCATGCGAAGAATCTCGCTAAAGCCGAAAACGCACGAAAGTAAGAACCCTCGGTCCTGGGATCGATGGTAGTTCCGTAATAGCTTCAGCATGTGGCCACTTTCCACGCTTTCCATCTTCTGGCGTTGGCGTGACCGCACCCAACAGTTCAATGGGCAGTTTGGTCCAGAATCGTCGAACAAGAAATACCGGAGCAGCTGAGAAAGACGTGACGTATCGTCTGCTCTTTTCTCTTCCCCAGCGTGCACACAGTGCTCTGCCCAGTTTCGCAAGGCATAGTTATATATGTTTTCCTTATAGGAGTCGGTCTCGGATAGTGTTGCGGGGGCGTTCACACTGAGACCGAGTTGCCCAAGGAAACGATCTGCATCTGGCGATCCACATGCCCCGATTAACTTGAGAAGGCACACCTCTGCGGCGAAGTTGTTACACTCTTCGCTGCAGTATTCAGGCTTGGTCTCCAAGAACTCTCGCACAGAAAGATGGGCGAAGCGGAAAGTATGAGCACCTTCTTCCATTATGTCGAGGATCACGAAATTAGTCAAGAGACTTAAGATATCATCCGCGCAGATCGCGGAGGCCTCGATGTCTACGAAACTTGTGATGGCTTGTGAGAAATTCGAGTGACGGAGAGTTTACCAGGAAATTTTGACACAATAGATATGTATTAAGACATATATCTTTCGCAAACTGAGGCTATATCACGAAAAGATATCTACTGGTATGGTAAACAAGGAAGTGGAATTTCGGATCAATGTAATTCAGCGTAATTTTTGTCCTAGGGGATCAGGTTCGTAGCACGAGCCACAAAATAGTTCAGAATTAGCCAAGGCGATCACCCTCGCCAATGTATTTTTCGGGTGAGCTATAGTATATGCTCTTGTGCCGCCTGCCCTAAGGGTTCGACCTCGGTTAGTTACCAGTAGTTCGGGCCGTCCCGGCTACCCAATAGAAACAAGTCTTGAAGCTCAGAAAGTTTTTGGGCGTTCATTGTTGATCTCTATTAGTGTGAGGGAGGTTCTACCTAATCAAGCTATCATACAAAGAACGCTCAGGCGTTAGGCCTAACCAGGAAGGTTAATTTCAACAACCTTGAAGCTTTCATTCGCTTCCACACCGTGCCCTGGTCATATGGATCGAAATCCCTGCTGAACGGCGATCAATGACCACAGTGCTTGAGGGATTTGAACAAATCTCGTTGCCACCGGCCTTCTAGTGCAGGTAATGATTTTCCTACATTAATTGACGTTTGTTGTGATTCAGGGGAAGAAGGGCAGAATGAAGCTGTATCAGCTACACGTACGTAGCCTACTGAGCACTGGATATCATTCGATAGATACGCAATTATCTATGGACGACTCTATCGTAACCGCTTGACGCATCATATCAATAATATCAATAATTACCGGGCCAAGCCTTCAGGGTTTGGTTTGGTTTGGTTTGGTTACTATTTAACGTCACTCGGCGGGTCACGCGGCAACGTGATCCGTGGCCTCCCTAGGGGCAACTGGACGTGCTACCTTAAAATAAATATCACTAGGAGCACGTGGTCTCATATAGTTTCGTATCAATGTTACATCGCGTTCAGATGCGAAGCAGGAATACTTTCATGGACAAGGTTGCCTTCGGGGCCCTCTTCCAATCGGCCCAAAATGGAAATTGGACAGGAAACACACAGCCCTTACGGAAGCTCGATGCCAAGGGTCCAGTGTCAAAAGTACCGTATGGATCGAGCATTAGCCATGGATGATCATACAATCATAATGAAGCTGTGAGCTACTCCACTTTTCTGGAGACACTGTTGTTATTAGCATAAGGCTTGACGTCGGTCAAGCCTGTGCCGCAATCTCCTTAAGACAACGCTAATGCATGGGCGTATGTTTCTCGTTTAGTGCGGGCGACGATCTCCCAGGATTCGGTGCGTGTCCACCAGTAAGATGTCAATAGGGGATATTCACTAAGGCCATGCATTTTCTGGATTGGTACCCTTCTCGGTTGTGCGGCTCGGGGAAAGGAGCCCGCGGATAGTCCACTGCGGAGTTGGCCGGTGGCTGTATACCAACAATCAGCTAATAATATAGCCTCAAGCAAGTGGGTAACTGAAGCAGCATATTCCTTCTTTGGAGAGACGCTTGGCATGTTGGGATGGTCTAAATGTTCCCATGTACCTTACTGTTGTTTGCGGGTTTGCCCAGATACCCAGCTTTCATTGACTCGTAGACCTCCGACTGTAGTCCTGTCTAAGAGCTCCCACCATGGATTGAAATCGAGCCTATATAAGATGACTACAGACCCGACATACTGGAGGTTAGATGAAAACACAGATTCCTTTTCCAAAACACCAGTCCTGCTTCTCAAGTAATAAAAGGTGCACGCTGTCATCATGAAAGCTTTTACACTTACGTCTTTTGGACTTGCCCTCTCTGCTGCTCTGGGAGTATTAGCTAGCCCAGCGAGCTCTGGGTCTCCTACATCCAATGACTTGGATGTCAGAAACGAAGACAATCGCCAGGTTCGGTACCCAGGAGTAAGTCTCTAAAATTCATTGAGATACGATACGAAGGGCCTGAGATTTTTAAACTAGGACTGCGATCCAAAGACCAATCAATGCCATTATAAGTCACATAGTGGCCCGAACGCTATCTGTCGTTGCGACTTCAAAATAGTAACTTGCCCTGGACTCCATTGCTCCAGGAGTATGCTAACTTCTACACACAGTGTACCGACGCAGTTGAGGATAAAGGCTGCTACTATGATTCTTACACTAGAAAGTGCGTCTGTCAGGATGTGGTTAAGGGAGGCGGGTAGTTCTGCTGCTGCTACTGGGTTGATTGAGAAGTAATCACTATGTAGAGGGACACATACGAGTTTGCTGCGTTTCAGTATATGTTGTCCTGGTTTCTATGCTATACCAGAATTGAGCGAGAACCATTATCTAGAATTCTGCTGCCTATAATGCGTCTCATTGTATTTCACCTCTGGTATGGAATAATACAGCACTAGATAGAGTGTAGTCTCACCAGGTTTCCACTCAGGTATCGAGTCATGGCCACATCTTCTGCTGACCACTGCGGATCTCCTACCCTGAACAAGTGGCGTGTCACCAATAGTAGACGGTTCTGATTTGGAGGCGAAACAATATTGCTGCCTGCCGTAAGGACGACATCCCCTTACCATTCTTCATTCATTCCTCAGCCTGCTCTTTTCATAGATGATATATCCGTTGAAGTCTATCTCTCCTACACTCACCTCATTTTCAGAGATTCACCCACGTGACCTTTATCAGCAATCGGTACTGCCAACACATTCACGTTCCTGAACTCAGGATGCACGACTTACTAAGAGATTCACCAAGCTCACCGCCGCGGGATATACCTTCCAGCTTCGCCGCCTCAGAGGATTATTGGGATCTGGAGGAGGCTGCTCGAGCAGGGAATTTCGACCTCCTCCGATCTGTAGCATTTAACAGAGCATGGTATATGGGCCAAAGCTATTGCCGGAGTCAGGTATCTATTGATTCTAGAGAGCCATATCTACATTCTCTGTGGTACGTGCATTACCAATGCGCCAGACATATCTCCCACGAAAACTTTGAGCAAGACAGATGGATACTCGACATCCTCCGGACGCGGGGACGCGGGCCCCTAACAAGGCCCGCACCGGGCGCTGGTATTGATATTGCTAGAACTCCCGATGGTACTGTCTGGAACGACCTGCCGTTCCTCGCGACGGATATGACAGAGTTTTGGATCAAAGACTGTGCGGCAATGGGCTCAAAGCAGCGTCTTAATACTGCATCCTTCCTTGCGAAGCTTGCGTCCACGCGTATTGCGAACGATCGGATTTGCCAGATTGCTCTGGTCCTTTTTCGTAATATATTCGAGACCGAGCGTCCCCTTGGTAGCTCTAATGAGCCCGACGACGAAGACCATCGCCGTCCAATGCATATGATCACTATTGCTTCGTTACTCCCATCTGCATGTGCTTGGATCCGAGAAGCTGGGCATAATATTATACTCTTATCCGATGTCTCATGGAATAACTGCTCCAACAGTATTATTGGGAGAGGTGGCTTCACTTTTACCCAGTCGGAGCTAGGTCAACGAGCACCTGGTGGATTTAGTCCCTGGAGATGGTTATACTGGCTTAAGCGGTTGCATCAGATTGCCGATGAAGCATTCAAAGCAGATGAGAAGCTTCTTGCAGAGCAGGCCGCGACGGCAATTGAAATTATGTTGAGTGATGTCAAGGAGAGAAACTCTCAGATTCTCAGAGTATTTGAGAAAGCGGGCGATGCTATAACCCAGGATAAGGATTTCATGGGCCTAAAGAAGAAATGGTAGATACAGCGCAACCAGACTTGATCCTATGTCCAAGGGCTACTGTTTTCTTTTTTTTTTTTTTTTTTTTTCCCATATCAATCATATTGTGAGCTGCTGTTCTAGTGTAGCATGTTTCTACGGCCTAGTATACGACTATTAGACAGGGAGAAATTGACTAAATTGAGACTTTAAGACATGCACTGACTCCACATACGGCCATGTGAATCTTAGCTATTTCCTTTACTGTGTATGGACTCGTGGTTGGTGGTTCTGAGATTAAGCGTATAGACCAGGCTTATGAATCATGCGATGGATGCTTACACTGCTAAGGAGGGACTAACTCAAAGCATACCAGGTGCATTTGGCAGGTACGAGACCAGCTATATTACAAGGGTAGACGCCAGCAAATATACTATATAAAAAGAAATACGCAAAGCCAGGTTTCAGCGGAACTTTGTACTCAGGTTGCAACGGCTGAATACTAGATGTCCTCGCATGCTATCAGTGGTGTCGCAGCCTCTTTGAGCGACGCGGCGGTGGCATTGTAATGGTAACTTTTGTCGAGTTCCAGCAAGCGCGTGTCGATATTTGCTGTTGCAGGGCCAACAGAGGAAGCGGGAGTGGTAGTGCCTGACTGCCTATATAAAATTCCAGGGAAGTATATATGCCGTCGATAGGGAAAGTATTGCTGTAGGTTAGTAGAGGTCTCTTTGGGATATGTTTTAATTTCATTTATATATAAGTTTCATGTTGATGCTGCCTAATTACCTAGGCCTAGCGCTGTTGTTCTTCCTAATCGATATCTTCTTCCTACAGTCATGTTAATAGATTCAGGCAACATAGTCAATCCAATGAAGGATTGATCCTAGGGGACCATTTTGTCATTATATAAGTGCACGTTAACAGCATGCGCCAAGACTTCAGTAGCCTCTGTGAACTTAGGGGACATTGCAGCAGGCCGCCCAGGTGCAGCTAATTCCCTTGTGCACACGGGTAATATGAACATCAATGAGATGGCGACGGAGTGAATCTTTTCGCCTGGGAGGGAATTTATGTGGAGGCGGATTAGATGCCGAACGACGGGACGAACTGCAACAGACATTGCAGCAGGTGACAGTAAGATGGTGTCGGTATAGAGGGTAAGTTGACCACTCGTGGAATGGTGTGAAAGATGACAACCCGCTGACAGTCAGAGGTTGGCGGTTAAGATAGTAATACAGTTCGCTATAGCCACAGGGTGTTTGGAACACCGGAGATAGGACACTACAAGAACTCGCGTAATTAAACGACCTACAAACTTAGCAAGGAGGCTACATGCAGCCTTATGTTGCGCACAGCCGGAGGAATAAAACCAAACCAAACCCCGAAGACTTTAGTGAGATAGAGCTTGAGTGTCAACAGTGTGTCGTTCATAGAATTGAGTATCTACCGAATGACATCCGCTCCTCAGTGGGCTACGTATAGTATCTACTAATCATGACCATGTTATTCTCCATGTTGTTTGATACCAACTTATATTTATCTGTCTGGTTATTATATCTCGCCGTTGATACAGAATTGGACCGAAGGCTGAAGAAGTAAACCCTGAATCAGGCAATAAGGCAGCGACGGGGGAGATCAAGCTGAGTGTAGTGTGCCGAAGTATATTGCATGTATCTCAGCCTACGATATTGAATCTAGCCTTTACAAGGATGACTCTCTGTTTTCTAAAACGTGAATTGCTTCTTATAGGTTATAGATACCTATAATCTGACATTCAGACTAGGTAGCAAAGATGCTGCGCCCGAGAAGAGCAAAAAAAATATATCAAAGGCGTTCCTCAATGAAGAACGGTAGAAGAAATTGAATGATAAGAAGAGAAGCAGTGCAGATGGTCCAAAACCGACCATGTGGAAATGGGCGATGTGCCAAACCGTAAGATAGCCATTGACCAACTATAGGATCCTTGCCTCGCCTACTTAGTTCTTGTTGACATTGTCCATATGGTCCATAACGGCACACTTCCAGTCATCGGTGCCGAAATAGATGGTGTAATGATCGTCTGGAGACTGGCCACTGGACAGCTTCTGACCATACTGCCAGAACAGATCTGCGGCGGTACCCGAGCTCAGGGAGGTCTTTTGCCACTTCAGCTCGTCGGTGCAATGCTTGCCCTTCATGCCATACTCCTCGAACAAGCAGGGCTTACCGGCAGCCTTGCAGGCCTTGGCGTGGTTCTCAACCCATCCATTTCCCCAGGCGTTGTCCTTGATACCCCCTATAAGAGTATGTTAGATTTCGTTTATTTGCTAATGTATGCCATGGACAGTCACTCACAGTCAGTGGTGTAAAGGTGGAGCGTTCCAAAGTCGATGTCAGGGATAGCCAGGTTCTTCTCGAAGTCGTTTCCTTCGGTGGTGGAGTACGGGTACGACTGATCCGAGCCGATGGTCAAGCCCATGCCCTCTAAATAAACAATTAGTTTCATTGCCACATTCCTCTACATGTACGATATACGTACCATCACCCATGGCGACCATGTGGTTGGGATCCAGCGACTTGATGTAGGCACTGGTCTTGGTGGCCCAGCCGTAGATAACATCAGGACTGCATCCATTGCAGCGAGGCTCATTGCCCAACTCCCAAGCGAAGATCGCCGGGGAGTTCCTGTACCGAGAGACAACAGCCTTGATATAGGCCTGGTACACGCTCTGGATCTTCTCGTTGGTGAACCACTCAGTCTTGCTGCCACCGTAGGTAGTGACGTAAGCGTTAAATCCACCGTAGTCATCCCAGCTGTTCACAAAAGGAATGATGAGCTTGACGCCGTGCTTCTCAGCGGCAGCAACAACATAGTCAAGACGCTGAAGACCGTCTTTGCCAGTGTTGATGGTGGAAGTGCCCTTGGCCTTGTCGTGGAGCTGGAAGTAGACCGTTCCGGGGCTGGGAGCGGTGGTCACGTCGTTGAAGCCCCAGACACGAAGGATCTTCAATCCGGTTTGCTCCAGGTGATCGAACACGGCATCAATGTCCGCATCGTTCATCTGGAATGGGAGCCAGTACGCGTTTGTGCCGGCGAAGTACTTGGTCTCGCCGTCAATCGAGAACTGCACTCCATCCGTCTTGGCGAAGGACCCACTGCCCGTCGGGCGAGGGGTTGGCGAGGCCGACGACGAAGACGGCAGGGGAGTAGACTTCGACACTGTTGAGATTGACTTGTTGATGCCCGTGCTGACGGACGCAGTAATGGACACCGAAGGAGTGACAGACGGTGTGGGAGTGCTCGACACGGCGGGAGTCGTGGACTCGGCGCCTGAGGTATCGGTTAGATCTCGTTTATTCTTGGCATAGGCACGGGTAAGTCAGTTTCACTCACCAGGTACACATTGGCTAAACCACTCGCTCAGCACCTGGCACGTCCATCCCGAAGGACACGCAGATGAGCCGGAGAAGGACTTGCCTCCACACTGGGCCCAAGGACCAGCCTGGGCCGACGCAGCTCCCACCACAGATAGGAGTGCGATAGACGAAAAGGAACGCATTGCGAGAAAAGAGCGAAAAGAAGAAAAAGAATGAATGAAAAGATTTAAAGAAAGTTATCGTTTTGTCGAGCAGAAAGGCAGGGTCTCAAGGTCATCGCCAGCAGCTTTATAGTTTGCGCGGCCGACGCTGTCGTTGCTGCATCTCTCAAGCCGAGACTATCCACAACTCCTTGAAACCATAGAAATTACAGCAACGCTGTCATCCTATCTAAAGTCCATCGGAGTTAGAGTCAATTAACGTATTCATTGTTCTGATTTTGTTCAGTGGAATCCACATGGCGGAGCAGATTCCATGGGAACGGGTGCCGAAGCGGACCCTTCTTCCTTGTCCGTTTAGGCAAGGATTGTCTTAGTTTGATACTCCGAGAGGGATCTTTTAATTTATTTCTGGTCCCTGCGTCGCACGTGCTAAACTAGCTAGTCACTAGTTTTTTAAGCCGAAAGTATGCTTAGAATGCGATATCGAATAGACAGACACCAAGACGAGACAGAATTTCCCCATACCCAGTCTAATGCACCTTGGACAAAAGGTTAATTCCAGAGTCACATCAAGTGTACTAAGACTATACCTCCAACCATACACTTATACGAATCATCCCTAGATGAGGAAAAAGAAAAGTACCAACTGCAAAGAGAAAAACGGCACGGTATAAACAACAACCTCATGCCACAGCCCGGCAAACGTCGGCTCAGCGTCCCGAGGAAGCCGAGACGATGATTGGTACAACGCCATTGGGATGATATGAAATGGTCCCAGCGTTCATTATCCTGAAACATTTGCCTTGTTCTTTCCCCGCCCAGCGGACCGTTTCCTTTCGAGAAAGGAACTCTACAAGGCCTATACAACTATCAGGGCCAGGAAACAGGTACAACCCGCGCAAAAACCGCCTGTCTCACAATCGCAGCCACCACCACACTTCCAACAACCACGAAATGAAGGCAGTCCTACACAATACGCCACTGGCTCAACTGAACCACACTTTAGGTGTGGAAAACATAGCATGGTGGTTCTAGAACAAAGGGATCATGAGGCTACACGGGAATGCCCCATTGACAGGTCCTGAGAAGTAAAAGGACTAGCCAGATCCAGCAATACACCATTAGGAGTCATGATATAGTCCAATTTGACGTGAATATAAAGTCGTACAGCGTACTTCCATTCTCACAAGCTTTTTTTTTTCACACCAAATAAGTCCCGGAGACATAGTCATTCTTTTTACAACACTTTCTTTTTTATAACTATCCAAGATGAAGTTCTTCATTCCTTGTCTTGCTGCCATCTTCGCCACTGGAGTGCTGGCCGCTCCAACTCCCGATGCCTCCCTCAACGTTTCCCTCGACAAGCGAGCTGATCGCGGACAGTACACCGTCTCTGGCCTCGGATCCCGCAAGAAGGCTATCATCGAAGCGGGTGGCAACTCCCTTGATCTCGCCATTGCCATGCTCGAAATGTAAGCAAGCACAATTCGGCAAAGGCTGTTCTAACACATGTACCAGCGAGGATATGAACACCGCCCACTATCCCTACGGCGACGGCAAGACCTACGACGCCGCCAACTTCGGTCTGTTCAAGCAGAACTGGGGCTTGCTCCGTGAGTGCGCCCACCGCTATGGGTTCAAGGGGAAGACGGAAGCCCAATGGCACGATGGAGCGGTCATGAAGTAAGATATTCTGTCTTGAGATGTTTTTTCCCGGCGTATAGGCTGATAGTGAAAAGCTCGAATGTCTACGCCGATGTTGCCTCTCGCTGGGATTGCCAGAATTACTACGGTTACGATAAGTGGTTCGCTGGACACCGCAACGGTGCTTCTGGTCTTGCTAATCCTTACACTGCGGATATCAATAGTATGTTATAGTTGTTTCTATTTATATCCTGTTACTTTGGAGCAGAAGCTGACGAAGTTAATTTATAGCCTACAAATCTGCGGTTCAGTGGATCCAGAAGCAGATTGACAGCAACGAGAAGTACAAGTACGATGACACACGCTTTTGGGTCAGCGTCGTTGCCATTTAAGCGTAAGTCTTGGTGGAATTCGCAGGTCTCTGAACCGTGTTGGTTGCAATAGTAACCTCGCTCTGTGTAGTATACTTCTTTTCTTGTTCATCACCCTTTGTATCATTCGTCCTTGGTGTTATTACATGTACTAGCTTGGGGAATTGTATCTTGATAGACTTACCTTTTTTAACATCCTGCTGTAAGATAATAAATCAAGTAAGAATTTTTACAACCCTCCAAATAGTAGCCCACCGCAGCACTCTACTGAATAACTAATCAATAAGCGCCGTGAGAATACACGATGCCACAAATCGGAAGTCAGACATGACAACACGGCTCAGCACTAATTCCGCACTAGCCCTAAGTCTATACTAGTAACAAATAGTGATTCTGACTATGCTCCACAAACAGGATTATAGATGATATGAATATATATATTCTCGTTCACCTCCTTAATCCCTGTCCAATTACACTGTCTAGCGGCGTCTTGAGAAACTTAGCTGATTCCACACCTGCATACTATACTAGACTGTGATACAAGCTTTCAGTAACCCCACCACCTCACACATAGGAACTATATATAGCTAGAATCTAATCACTTTGTCTCTATACACTGATGATATTTATCTTCTTAACAAACATACTCCCATCTACCCTCCCAGTTCAAACCTCTTCGATATCCCATAATGCCCACAACCCCAACAATCCTCATAATCCCCGGCCTCTGGGAAGGCCCCACAGTCTTCGACCCCATCTCAACTCTGCTAACAACCTCAAACCTCAAAACTGAAATCGCCACTCTCCCAAGTACAGGCACTATCTCGCCCGGTAACCCAAGCCTCAAAGACGATGTCTTGGCAGTACGCACACATATCGAGAGATTAGTCCAACAAGGTGGAAACGTACTATTGGTCCTCCACTCTGCGGGCGGGTTCATTGGCAGCGAAGCAATGGAAGGGTTTAGCAGGAAGGCCCGTGAAGCGCGGGGTCTCAGCGGAGGTGTCGTGGGGATTGTTTTTGTGGCTGCTGCTGTCGTGGGGGAAGGACATGTGCATAGGGATTTGCCGTTTGCTGTTGTGGAGGTTTGTT